TTTTAGCTTCCTAGCATGTGTTAGGTAGCTATTGCGATAGCCGTTTTTTGAACATTTCAAAATTTCATCAAATGTCGACGTTTTAGACCATTTTAAGCAACTTTTAAAGAATAAAAAATTTTTCCGTCTGTATGTACGTACGTACGTACGTACGTTTGTTGGCAATTTTCTGAGAAAACGGCTCGACGGATTTTGTTGAAATTTTGTATATATGTTTAGGCATACCGAACAGAAAAATAACGGGCCGGATTTTTGAAAAAAAATTTTGGAGCGCCGTAACGGCATCGAACTTTTTTTTTTCAAATAGCAACCTAAAATTTTTATTCTATTATTTGGAAGACCTTGTTTTCCTGTGTACAACCTACAAAAAATTGGGCCGGGTTATATTATCAAAAAACGGAGACAAAAATTGTCAAAGTCAAAAAATTGTGTTGCATATGTGCAAAAAGCAACGATCTTGTTTCTGATGCAATTTAAACGAAATTTCTATGGTAAGTCCCTTTAATAAAAGCAAACAAAATTCATGCGCAAAAATCGTGTTGCGCATGCGCAGAAATGCAATTTTCTTATTTATGGAACAATTTAAACGAAATTTGGATGGTAGGTCCTCCTAATAAAAGAAAACAAAATGCATGCGCAAAAAATCGAGTTGCGCATGTGCAACATCCAACTTTCTTATTTATGGAGCAATTAAAATGAAATTTGGATGGTAGGTCCTCCTAATAAAAGAAAACAAAACGCATGCGCAAAAAATCGAGTTGCGCATGCGCAGAAATGCAACTTTCTTATTTATGGAACAATTTTAACGAAAATTGGATGGTAGGTCCCTCTAATAAAAGCAAACAAAATGCATGCGCAAAAAATAGTGTTGCGCATGTGCAACATCCAACTTTCTTATTTAAGGAGCAATTTTAACGAAATTTGGATGGTAGGTCCCTCTAATAAAAGCAGTGCGTACATATGTTGGCAATTTTTGGTTTCAGCTAGGAAGCTATTCTGTCAAGAATTTGACACCTGGTTTTTAAATTATACACAACAATTTACGCGATATTTTTATTTTTTAGGCATGTATAGACGACAACTTGGATATGGTAGAGTTTTTGGTGGAGCATGGTTCCGAAGTAAACCGAGGTGACAATGAAGGTTGGACGCCGCTACATGCGACTGCCAGTTGTGGTTTTTTGTCGATAGCCAAGTATTTGATAGAACACGGTGCGAACGTCGCCGCCGTCAATAATGATGGAGAGCTACCGCTTGATATTGCCGAATGTGAGGATATGGAGGACCTTCTTCAAAGCGAAATCGATGAACAAGGTGACATAGAGTTCGTTATCGAATATTTGCTTTACCCAGTTCGTTTAGGTGTTGACTGTGATGCTGCGAGATCTGAGGAGGAAAGACAAATGTTTGGCGACGCGAAAGAGTGGCTGGCGAATAATTCTAATCTGGTAGATTCGATTCATCCAAAGACCGGCGCGACAGCCTTACATGTAGCGTCGGCGAAAGGTTATGTGAAAGTCATCAAGTAAGTAGTCACAGGAATCGTGGGGTTTTCTGAGACTACGCCAATCATTTCAGGCTTATACTTCAGTGTGGCGCTGATGTGGATAAACAAGATGTTGACGGATGGACGCCTTTACATGCAGCTGCCCATTGGGGCCAAAAAGAATCCGCTAAAATATTAACTGAACATTTTGCAGATATGGATAGTAAAAACTATGTCGTAAGTATTAGCTGTCAGGTGCACGTACGTTACACTGCCACCTACTTAAACTTGATTTTTTCGCGACATTCTAGTTCCGATTTCATACTATCAACTTTTGAGATTTTTAACGCTCCGTTGGTGGTTGGCGCAATACTATTGACACTACATGCTAATTTAAAAATATTTAAACTTTTGTCAGTCTTTCAATATACTTTAAACATTGTAAAGAATACATACCGTTATCTTCTCACGAAATTTTTAGAAAAATCGTCCTTCGCGTGCTTTGAGAATATGCAGAAATACGTAAGTTTTTCAGACTCCAGTGCGACGAACTTAACTTAAATAAATATTAGCGGAATCATAATGGTAATTTAACAGAAAAATAAATAAAAATACAAATTAATAAATTATATATATATATTAATATCCTGAGAGCGAATGACCGTAGCAGCAGTGGGCGGAATGAAACATACGGGCGAACGGACCTGGGCAGTCACCTCGCGCCTAGCCGAGGTGGGCGATAGCAACGGTCTTGGGTGTGACCTCAACGGCAGCTCCAGGAATCAGATGGGTTCAAAAGATGGCGGCAGTCACTTATGACAACTTAAAAAAATTACAGAAAACTCCCTAGCGGGAATCAAAGCATCAAAACACCAATCGGCGGAAGCAGCGGGAAAGCGAATAATATCCCCCCCCTTATAATTAGTGAAACGGAAAGTAACACAAAACTTACCTTGAACTTAACAGAGGAGTAGCTACAAGCCATCGGAAAAATATGGGACTGTTGTCAAAGTTTTTTAAGCGCGCACCTAAAAGATGTACTCTCGACTAAATCGGCGGTTATCTGTAACCCATTTAAATAGTTACGGCTAATTATATTTCTCTTCTACACTCCAAATAAAACCTCCAAATACGAAAGTCTAGCAATGCCGTTTTGTTCCTTGGAATAATGGCAAGCGGCGCACTCGGTTATCACCTGATATTTTTGTATACCATTAGAAAACTAAAATCGATTAATTGTTTATTAACAAACCTAAAACTTATGAAAATTGATTCTCTCTCTTCCCTGGCACGAGAGCTTTCGGCGGCTGTAAAAACAATTTAAATATTCCTACAGCAACGGTTGCAAAACGGATCGATCGTTATCGACGGTAAGACAAACAATTAAACAAAATGAAAACGAAACTACTTAGTAACGAAGCGCCCAACTTAAAACGCTTCTAGATACCGGGTGTTCAGCAAAACTGGCGGACTTCACAAATATACAGTGTGGTCATAACTTCGGGTATGAAACTTCAGGACAAAAAGCGGGTGCCACGTTACTTCGGTACACATAACTAAGAAAGGTGGTGTGAGTTGATTGTTAATCATTTTCAGGATATGCAGACTTCGTATTCACAAATAAGAAACTTAGGTCCGTTTGCACAAACCGATTTCATTTCTGTTTAATCCTGATCCGAGTGTTAGGAACTGGGATGGGTTAATACCAATCGCTATCTAACACCCATTATTCTACTTTAAGGTACCATTCCGATCTTGGCAGTCCAAAGTCAGAGTGAGTCGCGCTGCCAAGATCGGAATGATTCCTTAACATTCAGATCAAAATTAATCTTTTATTAACACCACATTATTTTTGTGCAACTGGACCTTAGTTTTCCAGGCGCCAGAAAAATTTCTACGAAATCTAGTCTATATCTTTCTTCTTTCTAAAGTAACCACTCACCTCTCTTACTGCTGCGTCTTGTGGACCACCATTATCTCTTTCTCGTTCAAAATAATGAATAAGATTAGAAATAAGTTGCTTACTTTTTCTTGGTAAACCCGATGGCATTTTTGGGTTACACACCTTTGGGCGCAGAAAGTCGCAGTGAGACTTACACAAGTTATGCTTGTATAATTGTTCGTTATGAAATTGGCGGATTTTTTATTGACTAATGTGGCAAAACGCGATACGGTAGCAAACCGTTTGTCAAATTTAACATGTCACAATGTAAACGTAAACTGCCACAATTTTGATCGGCAGGTAACCTAAAAAAAAAACCTATTCGCTAAAGGTTTTTGGTTTTATTTTTTAAACCACGCCCAACTCTGCCTCCAGAACCTATATTTTGTAAAATACATTCTAAAATAAACACGTAATTCCAACGTTTATTGTGGTTTAAAATGATTTTTTTTATTTTGTTAATAGGTTGGCATTACAATGTTCCCCAAACACAGAATACTACTCTATACAGGGTCATTCTTGACGAGGGTCAGTTAGAAAGATATGGAAAACCGTTGAAAATGAAAATAAACTGATAAGTTCTTTAAGGGTCTTGGTACATGATGAATTGAACTAAAATATTTTCAAGATGGTGCCACTTAAACGTCTAGGAAAAAGGAAAACAACGGTGAAGAACAAAATGGGGGGTGCCATTTAAAAAAATGGAGTTACCGAAATTTAAAGTTTAAAAGTTGAGAGCTGTGAAAAAGTGACGTAGTCTCACTTTTTTAGACGGTTTTGTATACCATAAGAAAATTCGATCTTTCCATAATTTAAACGATCAAACGAACTTACCTTAAGTGAAGTTCGATCGTGATTATATGAAGCGTCCAGTCCGAATATATTATCTTGATTTTACACACGTAGTCCGGTCCTGGCTACTCAACGTGCACCTTGTTTAAAGTAAGCTGAAAAAGAAATCGCCTCAATCGGCGACTCCCGCTGTCCCCTCCGCTAACGGTACAATATTGTTCATTCTTCAAAGTAAAGACCTGCAACCCTAGGGAATTCCCTGGGGAGGGTGGGAAGATAATATATTCGGACTGGACGCTTCATATAATCACGATCGAACTTCACTTAAGGTAAGTTCGTTTGATCGTTTAATTATATTCGCGTCCAGTCCGAATATATTATCTTGATTTTACACACGTAGATGTTCAAAGTTTTTCAAGGTTGCAGGTAATGGGCAAAATTAACGATAGGTTGATAATGCAGAGTTTAATAAGTAATCAACGTAAGTTTTGACATTTATGTCAATACTGAAAACCTTAAGAAAACGTAAAATAAAAGTATTCAATTTATACTATTCTACAAATGAAGCAACAGTAAGTAACCAAATAAATAGAACTATCAGTCTTTGTTTAGAGACATGGTTAAAAGCGCTTTCGCAAAATCAGTTCTGTCGGTGAGGCGACGATTATAAAATTTTGCAAAGGTGGCTGTATGCTCAGACCATCCGGCTGTCCTACAAATTGTTTCCAGCGAAACTCCCCGTCTCAAAGCGGCCGACGTTGACGAGTGTCGCGTTGAGTGAGGTTTAAATACCGATGTATCTATTCCCGCTGATGACAACATTTGTTTTACCCACCTACTTAAAGTTTGCTTTTTAGCAGTCGCGTGCGGTTTTTTAGCCGTAAGAAAGATGAAATCCTGGTCCTTCTTTCGAATGTCTTTTGTAGCCGCTATATAAGCTTTTAGCGTTGTCGCTACACAAAGGCATGGTTTTTCCTTAAATGACGGTATATGCAAAGTGGGTTGTTCGTTGTTCACGCCTGACGTTTTGATTGGATCTGTTATATTGATTTGAATTGTATCCATTTCTTCCCTTATATTGGATAGTCTAATAAGCGATATGGTTTGAAGCCTACCTCCCGTGATTAAGGCTAAAAGAGAAACCACTTTCTGTGAAAGCTGTAGTAGATTTAAATTATCCGGTAGGGTTTCCAGATATGAAAATAGCCTTTGCGGATCCCATGTATAGGTATACCTTGGTTGCGCTGGTCTCAGTCGAGATATTCCCTTCATAAACCTCTTAACTAATGGATCCGTTCCTAAATCATTTGGCAAAATGAGACTCAGAGCAGATCTGTGTGAGTTCACAGCGCCGTACTGGTATTTATGTTCGTCTGTGACCTTTTGTAAGAATCTAAGGACATCTATATTTCTTGCTTCAAATATTGGAATTTTTTCTTGGGTACAAAAGTTCCACCATAAACGGTAGGTAGAGCTATATTGAGTGATTGTGGATTGGGTAACTGAAGAAATGATGGTCTCTATTGTTGTTTCCGGAACACCCCTCCTTGAAAACGATTCCCAGAGAGTTTGGCGGCCACCAGGATAAGCTGGTTGGCTAGTGGGTGGACTCCCCTGGAAGGAGATAATAGTAGGTCAGGTGAAGGTTCTAAAAATAATGCCTTATCGATTATTAATTTGGTGAATACTGGGTACCAAGGTTGAGAGACCCAGTGAGGAACGACCAGGATTCCTTCAGATTTTTCTTGAATAATTTTTTGCAACACTCTAGATATTAAATTAAAAGGTGGGAATGCGTAGAAGTTAAAGTGGGTCCAAGTTAGAGTGAAAGCATCGACTGTAAAGGACCCAGGGTCCTTGTGCCAAGAAACGTATTTAGCGCATTTATTATTAATATATGAAGCAAAGAGGTCCACCTCGGGGGCCCCAAAAAATTTTGATATAAGTTGAAAGGCCTCCTCCGACAAAGACCATTCACTTTCTGTGTTGGATTGGCGTGATTCGATATCTGCTTCATAATTTTCCTTGGAGCTTATGTACGAAGCGAATATTAAACTGTTTCTGCTTTCACACCACTGCCATATCTCTTTTGTTAATGAATTTAGTTCTGGGTGTTGGATGCTACCCATTCGATTAATATACGATATTGCCGTGGTGTTATCACATCTTAAAAGAATATTACAGTTAGAAATATTATTCGCGAAACATTTTAGACCATAGAAGATGGCCCGGAGTTCTAACAGATTAATGTGCGACATCCTTTCCAAATGGCCCCAAAAACCAAAAGTCTTTTCCAAGCCACAGCAAGCGCCCCAGCCTGTCAGGGAGGCATCGGTAAACAATTCCGTTTCAAAATTATCTTTAATTATAATATTTGAGGAGTTTAGGATCTTTTCCTCCCACCAAATTAGGTCACTTTGTAAATGAGATGGGATGGGCATAATGGCATCAAAATTCATGTTCTTCCTGCGAAGGGCCAGGTATTTTTCCCGCTCTAAAGATTTTAAGTACAGCCAACCGTACTTGACTGCGGGACAGGCCGAAACGAGGATGCCTATAAATTTTGCTAGATCACGAATTTTACAGCTAGACTTATTTTTAAAACGTATAGCCAATTTTCTAATGTTTTCTTTCTTTTCTACTGGTAGTACGATTTCCATTCCTACCGAGTCAAAAATAAAGCCCAAAAAATGCTGGGCTGTGTTAGGTGTTAGACAACTTTTCTCTTTGTTCACTGTAAAGCCAAGTGATTCTAAAAGCTGTACGAGACATTTTGTGTTTTCTAGGCAGTCATAAAAAGATTCTCCAAAAACGAGAAAATCGTCTAGATAATTAACGCATAAAATGCCCTTTTCTCTTAAAAGAGTTACAATTGGTTTCATTAATTTCGTGAAACAAAATGGAGCGGACGAAAGTCCGAAAGGTAAACAGGTGAACTGGTAAAGTTGTCTGTTAAACTTAAATCTCAAAAACCTTCGATAATTTGGATGGATGGCCACTGAGAAGTAGGCGTCTTTTAAGTCCACAGATGATAAAAAGCAACCTCTACTAAGTAACCTCATCACTGTTCTGTAGTCCTCCATCTTAAAATGAGGAGCAATGACATATTTATTAAGATTTTTGAGGTTGAGAATAAATCGCTTTTTACCGTTAGATTTGTCGGTTAGAAATATTGGAGACACAAACTGATTAGCGCATGGCCTACATTTCTCAATTGCCTTCATACTTAAAAGATCAGCGATTGCTTGATTTAATAAGGGTATGTCTTTAACTGAAGAGTTAGATATGGATTTGATGCTTGTCGGAGGAGGTTTCTTGCAAAATGGGATCCTGTACCCAGAAATCCAAGACAGAATTGTTGGACTCTGGGTCACAGCTTTCCAAGAATTTGTAAAATTTTGGAGATTCCCAGCAAAAACTTTTTTGTTACTTACCGCTAGCGTCGTCGGTGAACTGTGGGTCTTTGTGAGTGTGAGGGTCGCCCCCTTAGTGACTTCATCTCCCTCCTTTGATGAGCCGGGCGTCCTCTGTTTAACTGATGGCCACTTGTTATGGTATGAGGTTTACCTGTCCCCCCTCCCCTCCTTCTCAGTAACTCGCCTGAGTAGCTGGGTTGGGAGCGAGAATGGTTCGTCTGTTGGATTGGTCGTATATCTCTTCCCACTTTTTCCAGGGTTTTTAACGTTTGGATTTTTTCGCTCAACTCTGAGCCGAACAAAAACTCTCCGGGTGGAACATTTTCCAGCAAGTTTTTAAGTTGTTTGTTTATCAGGGGAAGGATAAACTGACGACGTTTATTCGACATTTCATTTATTATTTTGCATAACATGCGTCCAGAGTCTGCAGTGCTTGCCAAAATTTTTTCCCTTACCTGTTTCGGGATGCTCGTGTCCTCTTCTAAAATAACGTTTATTGAGTGTCCCAGGGAAGCTAAAACTTTACCGAGCTGTATTTGGTAATTTAAATGCGTCTCATCCCTGGCTGAATGAAGAGTGTTCATGCTAGCACCGATTTCAGGGTTAATTTTAGGTGGAGATAACAGTTTACAATTCTCCGGTAACTCATATTTTCCGAAGAGTTGATCGTTTTCCTCCTTAGGGAGACCGTAAGCTAAGGTATGTGACCATATCGGCTCTACGGCAACATGGAGATTAAACTTGCATTTTTTCTGTTTATTGGGATCGGGTCCCAAAATATGCCTTATCTCTTCGGAAATTTCCTCGTCCTCATGGAGAATTAAAATTGGCGAGTCATCCGCCTTAATATTTTCAAGCCCCTCTTCCTGAACCGGTCCTGCCCTGGTCATTGACGCCGTATCAAGCAGATAACGGCCCGACTCCTCATCATTTCGATGACGGCTGTCTGTACTTGTGCGTCTGTAACGACTGTGTAAAGAAACAGGCAAGCTGGGGCTGCGACTGCGACTTCTGGTTCTATTTTCAAATGATAACAGTGAAGTCGCCTTACTTGAAGGGCGACCTTCACTATAAATAAGATCGGGCACGCGTAACAATCGTGAATCCGCTTTACGCGAAAGTCGGCCTTCACGTTCTCGACTCCTAGAGACGTGGTATGCGGGTGTTTCACTACCTGAGCGCGTCTCCCACGGAGAACGGTCTCTGTCTCTTTCAAGATTTCTCAATTTCCGTCGCAACTCCCTATTCTCCTTGCTTAAAGATCTATCACGAGATCTACTTCTCTTTCTTTTCGATTTGCCCATCTTAGTACCTACAAATTTAGTTAATATACTCACGTTTATTTTTGTGTTTCTGTACCTAAGCGGCGAAAAACTCGGAGCTCGACGTCTACACGGTTGAGTGCACCAAGAACGAATGAACAATATTGTACCGTTAGCGGAGGGGACAGCGGGAGTCGCCGATTGAGGCGATTTCTTTTTCAGCTTACTTTAAACAAGGTGCACGTTGAGTAGCCAGGACCGGACTACGTGTGTAAAATCAAGATAATATATTCGGACTGGACGCGAATATAACTACGTGTGTAAAATCAAGATAATATATTCGGACTGGACGCGAATATAATTTAAGCATTGAAAACTGTTTTGCAATATCTCTCACCGTTTTCGAAAAATAAATTTTTAAAATGACCCCTGCAAATTCAATTTTTGACATAAAAACTTGAATATCGACGAAGCCCTTGGAGCAAAGGGTCAACTATGGGGTATCGTTGTACTCCAAATTCGACGTAGAATCGGAAAATGTAGAAAAAATAGGGGATCCCTATTTAAAATAATAAAGTTGATGGCCACTTCCGGTATTTCCGGAAGTGGCTCCATCTTGAAAATATTTTAGTTCAATTCATCATGTACCAAGACAAGGGTCTTATCAGTTTATTTTCATTTTCAAAGGTTTTCCATATCTTCCTAATTGACGTTCGTCAAGAATGACCCTGTATATCACAGGACTAAAGCACAAGCACCCAGCACACTTAGTTCCTGAGTATAATATACTATTTCAAAATGGCGATCGTAAATTAATGTGATGCTACTGTCATTTTTGACATGAACGTCCTGTTATATTCCTATTGACTTATTAAAAGCCCCTTATTATATCCCAGTTTTTGGACTAATTATATTATTTTTGCATGTGTTTTTAGTGATCATATTTCAGGGTCAGACTGCTTTCGACGTTGCGGACACCGACATGTTTCAATATTTGGAGGATCTCCAGAAGAATCAAAACAAGGAGGAAGTATTAAATAGGAGGCAGGCTAAGAAGCGATCCGAGATTTCGGCGGAACCCGAAACGCCGACGAAACTCAAGAGGATCGAAGTCGAAATCGAGGAGAAGGAAAAGGATATTTTGGAAATCGGTACGTTAACATTTATCGCAATTAAATCGTACATGTGGCATTTGATAAAACCGTTGTATCGTATAAAGGTGGAATGGATGTCTCCAGTGAAAGTGAAACAGAGTCTGACACCAGCAGTAGTGATACGGAGTCCAACTCTGTTAATAGTACGGATGAGGGTAACATCTTCTGGTTCTTTTTTTTTCTCGGCGCATTTACGTTTTTGTCATTTTTTCAGTAGTTTCGTCTTGCACCCGTATATTTGAATACTGCTGATGCCAAAAATATGTCTTGCATGAATGTTCACTTTATGTAATTGGTCACCTTCCTTGACCTTTGCCAGGTCAATTAAATTTAATTGATAATTGTCACTTACTTGCACCTGCAACCAAAAAAGTAGAGCACAAATTTAATGTGCGCATGCAGTAACCTGCTTTTGCATGCTTTAAGATCTTCACTTCTAGACATTACCAGGTGGTAGTAATGTTAGTTTGTTCTAATTATTCCATCAATTCTGGTTTAGATATATAATATACAGTATACAGTGTGTTCTAACTAAAATTGCTAACTTTGTTATTACTAGTGATAGAACGATATCACTTTTTTTTGCCGATACGATATATCGGCCGATACCGATATTTACGTGCCGATATATCGTATCGTATCGTATCGGCAAACAATAGATGGCGTTGGGTAATATTTACGAGCCTAAAAGAAATAGACTAAATGCAGATAGGGCTGAAATGTTAGTGTTTTTGCATCATAATATCAAAAAGTTAAATTTTAAGTATTAAGTATATACTGTATTTAGAACCTGCTATATTAGGTATATTTTTTGTTGTTTTTTTTTTAACTTTTTTAGTAAAAATGTTAACTTTAGAATAAAACATTTTATTTTCTTTAATAAAGTATTTCATTTATGCACTGAAGAGTTAAAACAGCTAAAAAAATTGTTTGCCGATATATCGGCGCAATTACCTTGCCGATACGATACGATACCGATAATCGGCAACAATTGCCGATATACCGATATCAATATCGTTCTACCACTACCACTAGTTATTACACAAGGTCGGTTCAATTAGTAAATGTGTAAGCGGAAAAACAATTTAGCATATTCAACAACAAAACAATTTTTTAATGGGACACCCTATATATTTTTACATACACGTTGGGCAGAAAAATAGTTGCTGTGCTGGAAGCCTAACATGACTTATATAAAAGAACATGTGTAAATGTCACGCAACATTTCAGAGAAACAAATAAAACTGTCACCCAGTATTTATAATTGAAAATTATTGCTCGACTTCCCAAACTAACACGAAACTCAAAATTGACTGGGTTTGTAAACACATGTGGCAATTTTTTTGCAAAGAATTACAATAACCATGAATCCAGAGCTGGGTACTGCTCGCGAGCGTTTCGCTCGAAAAAGCGGTTACGCGCGATCCGCTCGCGAGCACCTTTCGGAGCGGCCGCTTGGTGCGCGATTTTTTTTTTCGCTGCGCTTTTAATCGCCCTCAAGCGCTGATGGATTAAGCGCCGGTCACGAGCACTTTTTCCGAACGCTCGCGATAAACCACTTGAGCACTTTTAGGAGTGCTTGGGACTCGCAAGCAGTTTCTCTTTGCAAAACAACTCGATGCTCGCGAGCATTTTTGAGAAAATTAGAGTGCTTGTCGCTCGAGCGGTTTTTTAGAACGCTCGACTCGGCTCTGCTTGAATCTAAAATGAAACCCCTAAGCTTCCTAGAATTAGCTACTTGAAACAAATTTAATGTTCATCAAATAACCCCGTAATGCCCCAGGAATTAACATGTTATTGGTTGACAATTAACATGTGCAATGTGCATCTTTCTATCATTGCAGCTAATTCGTTAATTTATGTAGATGCCAACTGCTTACGCAAGATTGCGATTGCTTACACTAGAAATTGACTTAATTGTGAAGTGACATTGTCGATTTTATTTTTGTAGATAAGAAGAATAGGGTAAATTCATTAACGAATAACGAAGTAATTACGAATAACGACGAAGAGGCTGTGAAAATATCTGTAAATACCGCCGCCCCTACTATTCCGCCGAAACCGTTGGCCGACAATAACTCGGACGACAATCTGCCGACGTGGAGGAGGCCTGTTACACGACAAACCAAAGTTGACCCTATCAAAACTTCTAGCTTTAGTGAGTATAAGTATTCGCTTTGGCTAATTTGATATAAGAATTTCATGTTTTGACGCTTTTGTAATTATATTATAGTGTATTCTAAACTTTAGGGTTTGTTCAAAGTGAGACTAGAATTCTCCTAATGAAATACACAGTAGTGATACTCTGAGGTCATTTAATATTTGGGAGTATCGTTCAATTTTTTTTTTGTCTATTGTATGATAGTTGCAATGGGGGCACCTTTGAAGAACGCTAAAGTTTAGATGCATGTTGTTCATAACAAGGTAGTTTATGCGCCATTTTGTGTGAAAAAATAATAGGTAGCTTCAGTATCCATACTGGATTTTTACGGAATGAGATAGAGGACAAAAAAAGAAAAATTATGACGTGTCACATTCTACTCTTTTACGTAAATTTACAAGAATGTCAATTTTACATTCATTCCTCAACAAAACATCCACAGGTATCTAGATCTTGCTGACTCAACATAGCTATGGACTGCAACAGAGAGTGAGGTAGTGAAATCAGAAAAATGAGGTTTATTACGCACTAAATTTGGTTTCGCGGAGCAAATTCAAACCAAAAAGCCAGGGAAAAAAAGATCCAGCAAGAAAAAAAATCTGGCATAACACACAAATACTAGAAATAAATCGGTGACGTGACGTTATTAAGCTCCCCAGATACAATCGTGAAATCGATAAAAATGGCAACACGAGACAACAGCTAACAACTTGTAAACTGATAAATTGCATGTACCTAAAGAACATCAATGGGCATGACTTTGTTTCAACATTGTTCCTCATTAATTTAACACGGAAAAGTGTAAGCCAGAATGCCAGCAGTAGCTATTCAAGTTAAAGTAGACAATCATACATACAATCCCGCATTTTAAACGTTAAACATGACGTTTTAGACAGAAAATGAGTACAATAGAAAGTTTTCTTTTTGATTTATATGGAGGTCACGGTATAGTTGGTGTGTTGATTTGTTAAATTCTAGGAGCATGGTGATTTCTCTTCTGTTTCTAGACTCGTCAGTGGCTTTAATTCTGGCAGAATGTGTACAGAGTGTACCAAATTGCTTGTTTCGACGCTTCTCGGGGATATTTTGAGAACTAAAAGAGACACGAGTGATGCGGTTTGCATTTCTCATAGTTACTTTTCAAACCTGCCTGACGACCAACGTGATAAATAGGAAAACTGCTATTCAGTCTTGATAATGTAAATTAAATGTAGGACATGGAAATACTCCAAATAATAGTATTTTAATAGAATTTGGTGATTTATCTTATTCATTTCAGATTTTATAAATCTAAAGGTTAGTCTCTGTAATCAATGAGTAAGCCATAGACATCGGTTTCAGTCAGATTTAAGATAAATGAGCAAATTCTATTAAAATAACTACTTACCACAAGATGGCGCAATTTCTCATAGACAAAACTAGTTGATTAATTTAAATAGTACAGACTGTAAATGGTTATTTTCTATATTTTTCCAACAGGAGATCGGAGCAGTACGGGTGAAAACGCTGCTAATAACGAAAACGAAGTATTATTAACCAGGACAAATAGTTTCCAAAACGATCCTGTGTAAGTATTAACGAACAATAATCTTCTTTACTAACTCCTACGCAAAATGACGCAAATATTTAACGATTACATATTAACAAATAATTGATTTTTGCTTTTTATTACTTATTAATTAAGCTTATTGCTTTCATCTTGCAAGGGAGCCATATTCTAACAAGTTTCATTGTTCGGTAGAAATTTCGTCGATTTTAACAAATTTTCAAATATTTTTTGCTTCTACTTTCTTTATAATCTTTTATTTTTTAGGGTTAATAATTAATACTACTTTAGAATGTATGTAACATTTTCTTTTTGTAGCATTGTAGCACTAATTTTTATTGGCGCAATTTTATTTCAATTGCAGATTAAATTCTTACTAATAATTAGAGAAAGTATTTTAGGCGTTCTACACAGTATTAACAATTCGATATAGTTAGTGTCAGATAGCGTATGTTCTAAAGTAGTATAGCTGAATGCATCTGAAGCTGACACTTGCTTGCATGTTTAGGTTCTACACGAAATATCAAGCGCTGCGTGCACGCATTCGGGCCAGCTCGTTATCCCAGAACAATTCCCAATCCTTACGCTCCCAATCCCCATACATTATTGCTCCCTCTAACAATGTCGGGCGGCAAAGCAGGTATGCACGTTATTAACTTATTTTCTAGTTATTTATTAATGCTACGTTTTTGCATGCGATTAATTCGTATTTTATGTTACCGTCAGTTTTTGCTTGCTGTGCATGCTTTGGGTGTTATTAATCGTTCAATTTCAGTATTACATTTCACAAGGGTCATTCTGGAATGTATCGAGCAACTGTTGCTTTTAAAATGGAAGACTCGGATGCATGATTCTATTTTGTTCATGTCTTTATTGATCATTCCTAGCAATTAATACCGACTGTCGAACAGAGTACTAAAACTTTCCATGGTCCACACAATCTGATATTAAAAAATACTCACTCCTACCAGAAAATGTAACTTTCCCGGTTTTTGTGTTTGAAAGTATCGCAACGTGTTTCAGTTTGACCCTTATTAATGATTGTTAGTTGTAAAATGCTAGTACAAGTATTCCCAGTAATAATACAGGGTGGTCAGTGTGTAAGGAAGTTGGATATCTCTGAGTGCATACGAAAATTCGTGTTGATTTCCCCTTTGGGAATACGACACCACCTTTGGACTTCTAGCAAGTAAAGCCAAATATTGTACCATGTGGCAGAAAACCTCTACTTTTTGTATTAAAAAAAGAATGTTGTTTGACAGCTGCTTCTCAGATTCAATCGGTTGTACAGGGTGAGTCAACGATTGCGCGGAGTAACTTAATGCCTTGAAGATAAGATTTTTCAGAGTGCTTTTGTATTATGATATGGTTGAATATTCTCCACATTTTAAAAATATTTGGAATTATACCGGGTGCGCCCACAAAGTAGGGCGCAAAATGGTACATTTTTTTAAATAGAACCCCCTGTATTTGAATGCATTTTTGAGTTCTACGTGTAATTGTACGTCTTTTTTATTATATGGTTAATATCCGAAAAGCTAGTAGTTTTAAAGATAATTCAATTTTTAAGAAAAATTGGGCATTTGCAAACGTCAGTATATTGTCAAAATTATTACTTAAATTTTGATTCCAGGTTTTATATCTTTTATCCTGGGTTAAGTAAAAGTCAAATAAATACATCTACTATAAAACATTAAAAAAATAGCTTTCAGGGTGTTTTTTTTCTAGATCCAAAGTTACAAAACTTCATATTAAAAAATCTCACTTTTTTTAAATGGATCACCCTGTATATGTTTCTGCCATCTTTTAACTCCTCCAAAAATGCCACTTCACTATTATGTAAATTACATATAACTTATTTAAGGTTAGAATATAAAACCCAGGAAAACCAAGATATTTCGAAAACCATCAGAGATAGGTATAGGAGATTATTATCAAAAGTTGAAGATTTTTGGAGGAGCTAAAAGATGACAGAAACATATACAGGGTGATCCATTTAAAAAAAGTGAGATTTTTTAATATGAAGTTTTGTAACTTTGGATCTAGAAAAAAAACACCCTGTAAGCTATATTTTTTATGTTTCATAGTAGATGTATTTATTTGACCCCAGGATAAAAGATATAAAACCTGGAATCAAAATTTAAGTAATAATTTTGACAAATATACTGACGCTTGCAAATGCCCAATTTTTCTTGATAATCGAATTACAGTCAAGTCCGGCTATAACGAACCCTTACTTGTCTTAGAAACAGGTTCGCTATATCCAAGGTTCGCAATATAAGAAAAGACGCAAATTCGATGGCCAAAGTACAAATCCTCAAAAAAGTTCGTTATAGCCGGGAGTTCGCTATAAACGGGTTCGTTATAGACGGACTTGACTGTATCTTTAAAACTACTAGCTTTTCGGATATTAACCATATAATAAAAAAGACATAAAATTACACGTAGAATTCAAAAATGCATTCAAATACAGGGGGTTCTATTCAAAAAAATGTACTATTTGGGCGCCTTATTTTGTGAGTGCACTCTGCATAATAACAAATATTTTTTAAATGTGGAGAATATTCAACCATATCATAATACAAAAGCACTCTATGGAAAAATCTTATCTTCAAGGCATTAAGTTACTCCGCGCAATCTTTCACTCACCCTGTACAGTGTTCTATGTTGGTGTTTTTAAAGATACAGAGTTGCGGTTTTCGCGCCTCTTTTTTATGAAATGTTTAATACCACAAACAGAATCAATGTAGTTACGTTTGTTAGATACAGGGTGAAATCGAAAAGTTTGACTTTTTGGGATGTTATCATATCGTACTATGTGAGATTTTAGACATTTTTACATAGAAACCCAGTGGCGTACTAAAAAAAATGTTCTACTACCGTTTCTGAGATTTAACCACGAACTTATAAATTAAGATGAACTGCTAATGCTGAATTGACAAATGACACCTACATGGGGGCAGCCATGATGTGCACTCACTTGGCGCGAAATTCAAATCAACTAATAAACAAACATTAACCTCACGTTTCCTAAATAAATTACTGTGACACATGTCATTTTCCCAATGTTTTCCAAGGCTGCAATAGTCTCAAAACTTGAGCACTAGGAAAATTCCCCTAGAAAATACCTAAAACATGCACATCATGGCTGCGCCCATGCTAGGGCCATTTCTACCTCTATGCAACTGTTTGATCAGCAGTCCATCTTAATTTATAAGTTCGTGGATTTAACCCAAAATTGGCATTTTTTAAATGCAACATCTTGTATATTTTAACGTCAATTTTTTCTGCTATTGACCTGCAGTTTTGGTAGTAAATGCCTTATAGTAATAGCCCCTGCGTGACGAGATACCTCAGTTTGTCCGGCTATCGATTTAAATTTTAGTCTTTATCGCCTTTTATGTAAAGATTGGTTTCGTAGGAGGCTTACTGTGAGTGAATTTTTTGCACCTGGGCAGCTTGGGCTATAGATGGCATTGAGTGTCTGGTTCATTTAAAAAGGTGGTGTATTCCACTTTTTTTATTAGTCTAATCAAATGGATAGATTTTGCTGTGGTTACAATTTGTGTTTCTAAGTTAATTTCTACCAATCACTAAGTTCGTTCAGTCTGAACGAATTTGATTAAATCTTTAAAAAAACATTTTCTGTGGCTAGCACAGATACCATCCGCATACCTACGCATGCGCGTTCTGCCCAAAAGCTTTGGTTCCAATCGGTTCAGTCGTTTAGCCAGAAATGAGAGTACAGACGAATTGACATCATCGAGATTTGGTTTGATTGGGATTCCTGGTACTTCAAAACGTATACTAGGTACTTACCGTAAAAAAGTGGAGGGTCATTTTTTACTCCAATGCAATAGCTCCTTTACTAACATGTGGGTGTTAAAAAACAATGTGTCAAATGTTTCCAAATTGAAAATGAAGCAAATTTTTAGTAACTTTTAGCACCTAATTCACATATATGACACAGGTCTTGGAAAATATTTTAAGATTCTTAGGACTTTTATGTACCTGATATTGGTAGAGATTTCCAACTTTTTGACACCTAAAGCCATTTCTCATACCAGACGACCACGCAGATATAAAAAATTGTTAACATTTTTAACAGGGTGAAGCAAATTTGTTAACTTTTTTTAGCGAAGTGCCATAAGCTAAAATCTGATTTGCTGTTTTCATTCTTTGTTTTCAAAATCAGCAGATCAAAATTTCATTCCCTGCAGGTTTGTGCCATTGGTTGATTATTTAATAATAAATTGTATATTTTATACTATGTGCCCTCCTAGAAAATCCCAGCTCTTTTGTACGCAAACACTGTGGCTTCTATACCGGGTGATTCTCAAAAGTGGCTCTCTCCTATAATTTTGGTACTTTTTAAGGTAAAAAAATGAAATTTGGAATAAAATAAAAAATTATACAAAAATAGGCCCTCTGTCAAAAATGGCAAGTAGCATGTCATTGTACTCAGAAGTCTAAATAAACAAAACAATACAGTCCCATTTAAAAATCAAATTATTAAGCAAATTTCCGGCTAAACCGAATGTGACAAAAAACAACTGAACTGAACTGTTTAAAATGTTTTGTTTGGAAGGTACGTACCCAATAGTCCCACATAGTAAAATCGTACGAAAAAACTGTTCAGCAGTTGACCGCCAAATTTGATGAAATTCCGACCACTTTTATCCTTATCAAGAAGTGTAGTTGGAATTTTTGTTTTACAGAAACTAATTTTTTCATGTTAAAAACCACCAGATGTCAAATTTCAGATTAGAATTCTTTTGCACTCCCGTTTTAACAGTGGGTTTGGAAATATTTTTACAAAATCACAAATGGCATGCCCAAAAAATCTAGACAAAGCTCCAAGTTTCGTTCATCTATCTGTTAGTGACGTGAAAGTTCCTGAAAAAAGGTTTAAGGAAGAAATGGAATTTTGGGACCTTTAGGGAACAGCTCCCAAACGGTCCAGTTTTCCAATAAAGTTGGGTGCGCCTATTGCAGCCACTTTCTCTGTCCGTCCGTCTGTCCGAGGCCTTAACTGCTCCTACAATTTACAAGATATTAAGTTCGTCGTTTTTGCATTCGGTAGCGTATAATAGCACTAGCACCTGAGCCATGGAAAATCTTGTCAATTAAATTGCGCATGCGCAGGCTGCGCAATGTCAACTTCTTTAATTATTAATATATTTTGTTGAAATTTTAACCACAAATACTTCTGGGGAATGCAAATATATCGCATATAGTAAAAATCAGTTGTGCGCATGCGCAGACTGCGCAATGGCAACTCTTATTTATGGAGGTATTTCTTTGAAATTTTACCCAAAGATGCTTTTAGTGTAAGCAAACGTATCACATATTGTAAACGTCAGATTAATGTGCGCATGCGCAGGCTGCGCAATGTGAACATTCTTATTTATTTTGTTGAAATTAAGTGGCATCTATTCAGAACCAGAACAATAATAAAACGCCCATTACGAAAATAAAATTGCTATCAGCATCCTTGCTAGGGCCTCACAACTTCACGTATAGTTCAGTCTTTTATTGTGTGTATTTAACCAATTTCTAGAAAATAGTCAGTTAATTGGAAGACCACCGTGACTCAAATTTGCTTCGCCCTGTCAAAAACGGAGACCCAGTCTGATTAATTGATATTTATCAATATAAGCCATTCATGAGCTTATTATTACTGAAACCGAGTATACCTGATTGAGCTAGCACCCACTAACAAATAAGATATTTTGACCTTACGTGTTGAGAACAATCCTGAATGGCTTATATGTAATCTGAACAAAAACAATAACGATATGAATATGTAAATGTTTTGTTAAGTTGTGTGTTATTGTATTTTTTACCTATATTTTTTACGATTGGAATTCTAGAAGTGTCGGTAAAGAAAATACAATTGATCACACAACCGTTAGCAGTACACCTTCGTCTGTGACAACAAGTTCGTCAAACTCTCCAACTCCTACCAGTCCGTTACCTGGCAATCAACCCGTCCGGAGGTTTGTAAACATGTAATTCTAATGTAACAGATTAATACTCACGATCTACTTATCACCACAGCGGTTTAAAGTTGACTTTGGGAGCGACGACGCTCCTCCCTACAAATTCTGTCGCAACTCCGTCAACCCCCACTACCCCGGGTGGAACTAGATTAGCTGTCATTAAAAATTTCTTCAAGTATGAACGAGTGATAGTCTAAAATTAGTTTGTTCTTGCTTTTTTAGTATAGTCTAACGTTTGTAATTCATAGGGTGTTGATCGATCATTCTCTGTACTAACAATTGATTGTATTTTTCTGTCATTAATTGCTAGCGTTGTGTTGACCAGAAAGCGATTTAACGCCGATTTTTAAAACAGATCGTTTGTGCCGCCCGTAAGGGACGAGGAGAGCGAAACGCAGCGAAAGGCGCACGCCAAGCGAGTACGCGAAACTCGGCGGTCCACGCAAGGCGTCACGCTAGAGGAGATCAAATCTGCCGAACAGCTCGTTAAAAAGAAGAACCAGACCGGCGTCAACAACAACAATAATAACACCAACAACAATGAACAGGTAACCGATTTCTCCTTAAATCAATTTTTTTAAGTATACAGAAAATGGCGACTTAATGGTCTTTTTAATCTGACCTTAAACATGCATTAATCTTAACATTGATTACGAATTTGTCGCTTATTTACTAATCTACACACGATCGAGGTCAAATAAATATATTTTCTGTATATCTTATCTGTCCTAATTTTCACATTGGCTAACATACGGGTTCAACTAAGGCCGATTCCTCTAACGGTGTGAGTGTGACTGCCACTATAACCACAGCCGCACCTACTGTTCCTACGCGTGATAATGAAGAGTCTGCTTCTGTGTATGAACGCAGGCCTTCGTGGAGACTTAGGGTTGATAATGGCGTCAAGGTAAGTCGATTTTTGCGCTTTCTGTACATTTTTTCGTGTGACTAATGTAGTTTCCCCGTTCACTTAATTTGATTGTCGATTGTTTTGTCTATTAAGTGTGCTTCATGTTGCATGTCTTTCATTCATTTCTAAGTAGTGTTCCTCGGCTTTGTACAAAATTGTAGTGGGGTCAGCCTAAATCAATAAATTTGACAGTGTATAAAACCCATGTCTCGTGTTTGTGCCCGTAATTTACTAAAAACCGTTAAGGAACCTTCAAGGTTAGCGGGATTGGGGGTAGGATTAAGCAAATATACGCTAAGAATAGCGTCGTGTAAAGCAGCCTTTGCAAGTTTGAGAAATGAGAGAGAGTAAAACTGGGGCTATGGATGATACTAAAACTTCAACTGTGAGTATCTCGCGAATGGACTGTCGGAAGAGGATACTCCCAAAAGGTTAATGGTAGTGACTAAACTCTGTTAGTGAAGTCAAAACAAAGCAAGGCAGTACCTTCAAAGAGAAAGTATAGGTCTCCCTGGGACACATCCACAACTTATTGAATACTAAAATGGACTCTGGATTGGTTCCATGGTTTGTTATGCCCTACTAATAAACTGTCCGGAAAATGTCCAAAGTACTCTGGAAAGGCATTAGAGCAGTAAGCTATCAAATGCAACAAAAAAGCCAGATCATTGTAGGAGTAGTTAGGATCTTGGGCCAGAGTATGTAATATCTCATCTGATATTTTTAGAAAATGCGCACCTCCAAACTGATTAATGAGAATTTTCACCTGCCGACTGATTCATTCTCAGTTACAAATCCACCATAGTGCCAAAACTTTATTTAAAAGATTTGATGTGTCAGATGGAAAAATTACCTGTAACCTTGCAGTCTGTGTCAGAAGAACTGCAACTTAGCCAAATTTATAAACGGATGCCTTTGATTCATCATATTTATCAAGAACATTTATGGGACCTAATATGGCGACCGATTCCAAGGTTCCTCAACTTTACATACTGGCTGGTCAGTTGACTAAATCATGAGTTCGCAACAAATAACGGTTGCCCCCCCCCCCCGGCCTTATTTTCTCTTTTTTTAGTGTGTGCAAAAGTCATGATCTAGGTTGACTCCACGATTAGTTTTAACACATCCATATCGCTATTTCAGTTGCTATTAAAATCCAAATGGTCTGCTATACAGTGCGTTTGAGATAATTTTATATTCTTAGATACGAAAAATTTGTCAAATATAATTTTATATGTGACATTATCATCTATCCGATCACATATTGAAACTTCCAGCGTCACACCGGAAATCGATGCAACTTTGGTCTCTCAAATGCAATGCCTATGTTTTTTTTAAGATATTTGAAAAGAGTAATCAATTTGCTATACGACAACATAAAATATGCATATGGGCGATACAACATGCCGTGTGCTGTCAGGGTACGCTGTGTATTTTGCTTAAAATTAAAAGAATTGATATAAAATATTGAACTATATACAGAGTGTTCCAATTTTGGTATCCCATTCCTTTATGACCAACCCTGTATAATTAAAATAATTACTGCTTAGTAGTCATTAAAAACCCCTAAAGTTTTGTATCAATGTTTTCAATATCTTGTACATTTTCCCCGATAATCGACAGTCTCCAGACTTGTCAGCGACCTTGTATACAGTTGTTTTGAAACGCATATGAATTAATAGTCATTAAAAAATAAAACTAATGTTATACAATGTATATATATTTGTAATCAGAAAATACAGAGCTACTCAGAACTATAAAAATATACAGAGTGTGCCATTAAAGATATTGAAAATGTATTTTGTTGGGCACTCCCTGTGTATTGAATTCAATCAGTTACTACATTTTTAGTTGGTACAGATGAAATACTTAAAACTTTTATTTGAAACCTGATTGTATTACCAAAATCAATGAAAATAAGTGGGGGGTCAAAATATACTCAGAAACCCAGTACACGTAACTGTATATTCACCTTTGGTAATACAGCAGAACCTAACAAAACTAAGCAGATCTTTATTTGTTTTAAGAAGTTATGTTAGTTGCATAAAATTAGGCGCCCTTCAGAAGCGATTTTGTCATTTAAAATTAAAAGTAGACATAGGGAAAAAGATTACACGTAATTATATATCTACTTTTAAATAAATAGCACTGTATATTCACTTTGGCTGTTTGGGCGGGCGGTTGATCGGTCGGCTGCAAAGGTTTTTTAAGTATAACTCTCAAAGGAATCATCATAGAATGCTCAGATTTGAAGCATTAGCTTTGTTTATACATTATTGTTATATTGCCATCTGCAAAAGACACAATCTTATTTTCAAAAAAGTTACTTCAAAAATCTCATCCGATCTGTATTACGAAAGCGTGATGTACCGCCAAAGAATTGTTCTTGGAAAATTGTTGACTTAACTTTAATGCCATTTCGTGGTCAAACGTGGTCATGAAAACAAAATGGTTTTGAAATGTTGTAATATTTCGTTCCACGCCAGGAGAACATGATGGGTGAGGGAGTCTTTCCATAAGCAAGGAAAAAACTTCAACGGCTTATTTTAGCTTAAAATTTTTCAAAATCAGGAAAATATACTGTACGAAGAGATACAAGAAGTATCAGTGAAGTCATTTGTCAAATTTCTTTGGCTACCAGGAGAATATGATGAACAAGGAGGTCCTTTCTCATCATCGAGAAATCTGTTGGTTTAAATCAAATCTTTTATCGAGAGAATATAATGAGGGAGAAAGTGACTTTCTGACCATGCACATGGGTGCCAAAATCATGGCGCTCTGCGGAACTCTCTATTTTCCTAAGACATTTTTTTAAAATCTCTTAGGAATATTTTTTAAATTTTTGGAATTTCCATAGAAGTAAATTTCAAAAATGTCATGAAAATCGTAAGATTTTCTTAGGAGTGTTATAAAGTAGGAATTACTGAAGTCTTTTTAAAAAATTCCATAGGAATCTTCTTGGAAACATTCATTGGTTTTAAGAATTTTGTTAGCTGGCCAAGACGACAAACAAAGATTAAGCACTTACGGACTGTCACTTTTTATTAATATCATTTTTACTATAGAAGAAATATTGCATAGGCAATATTTAGAAACCTCAACATTTTTGGAATAGACTACTTTATACAAAATGCCCTTTAATTTTTGTACTTAATAAAATTTTAGTTTATGATCCCCCTGCATTTATTTATTATCAAAATACCAATACAGTCCACTAAACAGGGACCTCTTCTTAAAGGAAGCCATCCCCAATTGCAGCTCTCATATACAATAAAAATTATAAACATTAAAATGTCAAAAATAGAATAATTTAGGTATAGGACATTATACAGGATCGTTATTAAACATGAAACGGAAGCACTCACGCTCAAACCGTTTATATAGACATGAAAATTAAAACGCTTCCATTTGAAAGTATTTCACATGTTTTAAGGTTAAAAAGAATTTTTTATACAAGGTGTTTCAGTGCGACCGCCATCTTGAATTTTTTTAAATGGCAACATGGGTCATATGATAGGGCATTAATAAGCTTATTATTTTCATCATGTATAGTTTTCAATAATGCAGAAAAATTTGAAAAACTGCTGTACGTTCATTTGGCTAATGTATTGCACTTTAAATTTAGATACCTTTAAAATAACAGAATGTGTAAAATAAAGAAAGGAACAGTAAGCATGTGTGTAAAAAGTATGGTTTGTTTCCTTACAACTATTGTATTGTAAATCTTAATTTTGTGAAATATGGCAACGGTTTTTCAAATTTTTCTGGTTTATTTTCTAATTTAACACCATACATGATTAAGGTAGTAAGAAAGAGAAAAATATAATATTTCTAATGACGTGTCACATCCTCTATGTTGCTATTTAAACAAATTCAAGATGGCGGTCACACTCAAACACCCTGTATAAAAAAATTCTTTTCAATCTCTAAATATGTGAAATAACTTCCAATGGAAGCCTTTTAACTTTCATGTGTATATCTCAAACGGTTTGAGTGCGAGAGCTTCTTTAATAACAACCCTGCACGTGAAATGTATGTTGAATTTTACATAGTGTAAAAATTAATAAACCCCTTTAGCGGCAGAGCACCTCGGTTTGACCCTACATACGGGTCAAATCCAATGACCCATTTTCAATAGGCATGTGGCATATAGGTCAACTGTGCAAAGTTTGAGCCGAATCGGTCCAAGCGTTTGGCAGTTATCGTGTTCTTGAACGAACACCATCAACTCACCTATAAAGCTTACATCGCTTTGCTCTGCCGCTTAATAATTCATAGGGTGTTTAAAATAAACAAATGTGCATCAACTTCTGGAATACACAGAGATGACTCCACTTGAACATATTTTAGATTAATATTCCTCTTATTGACATTAGTATATGTCAAATTTTATAAATATATAGATAGCAGACATTCGTCAAAGTTCTGTCTGTCGCTAGTTTTGGTAATATCTGAGATAGCAATATGGACATATCAAATCTGAGGCACACACTATTCCTTTATCTCAATAGAATATAACTACCGCAAAAGGTGGCACACTCAATAATTCTTTGGTTTCAATTTGCGGATTTTCTCCAATTTTTCTTAACAAGCCGCTAGCAATGTCTTGTAGAAGACAATGGTTAATTAATTATTATTCAATTTAAAATACGTATGGATAAAATAAATTTCATAATCACAGTTAGAGCAAATGTGCAACAAGTTTTATTGAAATAAATATGTAAATCGAAAATACGCATTGTGTTTTGTTTGAAAAATTTACATTTGTCTCAATCACTCTGATACCCAATTATTTTTGTCGTCAATTCAATAATGGATGTTTAAGAACACCCTGTATGCAGTAATTTTAGGTTTTTTAAGTAGATAATAATATCCTTATATCGCATTGAAAGCGAGTTAAGAAAAACTGACGAAAATAGCATGCCAAAAATTTAGATTTTTAGTTCTTTTCTAAACACCATCCATAATCAATTTCATTCCATTCTGGGTACACTTAACTGAATTGCAAAAGTATGTAATTATTCAGTTTTTTTAAATTAGACAATCTAAAACAAACTGCCTACATTTTGAATTGTTTGGAATGTCTATTTTTTCTCAATGTCTCACGTAATACAAAATAGTCTCCTCATTTCTTGTCGTTTCTTAAGCTAATGACTAATAAATCACGGTGAACTTGATTCCCTCTATTTAAGTATTTTAGTAACATCACTGTTAGCTGTGCCTGAATTGTATTTCTTTTATTTTTACAGGTTGCACCATTTGTTCTGATTTTTTGCTTATATTGCCTATACCACCCCCTCTTTCATCTTATATATTTGTTAACTCTTTTAATAAGTTGTTATAATACTGTTTAGAAATTGATGTAAGTATGAAATACTGTTGTCGCTTTACACTAACTATTTATTTATTATATAAACTATTATTAGCTGTTTTTGCTATTAAACTTTGGCTTTCCCACCTGTAGCTTTACTAGTGTAATTTTGAATATCTTTTCTAACATTCAATAAACAGTTAAAGTATGCCAAGAGATTATTTACCTACGCCTCCAAAAAATCGCGCGTACACATTGTAACAAAATACTTGTTTTTTGTTTAGTTTAAATTAGAAGACGCGACTAAAGAAGAAGAATTACCGTCGACACCTTCGTTTTTGAGAAGGCCCTCGCCCGTAACAAACCCGCCTCTTAGACCCGTTTCGAATCCGGTGGAATGCGCCGAAGCGACCATAACGATACCGTTACGTAGGCCAAAATCACAGGACAATAAAGGTTCGATATTTCCCCTTTTTCGGGAAGTAATTCTAAAGTTTACCCTTGCAGAACAAGACAAGGAAAATGACGCTCGTAACGCACAGGCCACTTTGGCGACGCAGGCCGCCATACAAAGGAGGAGAAGGCCGAAAAGGAGATCGACGGGAGTCGTGGCATTTGACAATCTTGACGTGAGTGATTGCGATTAACTTAAGAATACAATTTTGATTTGGTGCGTGTGTTTAGGACCTAGATTCAGAAAAGGATCAGGGTACAGGAGGGGGCGATTTTGACGACTCGGCGAAACAAAATCATGACGAGGTGAGTAATTGGACCACCCTGTAGAAAGATTCGATATTAATAAGTTAAGTTCATTTAACCCACGCCGACTGTAAATATAATTCCTTACGTTAGACAAATCGTATTTCATAGACTGCAGCCAAGAATAACCTGTAGTGCATCTAATTTTAGAGGTGCTATCATCGCATTATGCATGCGGAATAAAACTCAGTCACTTTCAAATTACCAAAATAGTTATTGACAGCGATCAGTTTTACTGCTTTTTAATTGCACAGGTAACCTTGACTTAAACTTGGCAAATATCGCGTTTTGTGTATTATTCTTGGAAGTCCGGCACAAAATTCCCCATTAGGTGTGATTATCGCACGGCTCGTACGTCTCAAAATAACACTGTGTATCTTACGAAATTTCAAAATAAACATGGTAGTAAACTCTCTAAACAATATCTGGCCTTTTTTTAAACACTTGCCAATTCACTATACAAGTGTTTAACTAATCGACTATGAATACATCTTTAATAATAAATATTTCGAGACCGATCTGTAATGTTATGTTGCGTTTGTTTACGTTCAACAAGCTTAAGATTTGACTAAAACATTCTGTGCACAGGTGGACGCTTTGTGTAATTGGCACAACTTGATCGGCATACATGCTTAATGGTGTGTAAAATTAAACGTTAATTTTAATGCAAAAGAAACACAAATCGATCAACTGGTTTGCTGTGTTTATTTGAAAATGAGTCGAACAGAAACTGATTTGTATTTTTTTCCAATTTAAATATAGGTCCATCTAAATCGTCTGAACTGTAAACAATTGGTTTACATGTTTTATATGGCTTGAAATAGGGCAAAATTAACACAGATTGAGCTGCAAAAAACCAATGTGTTTTAGAAAAAGTATAAAAAACGCTTGGTTTGGTGATTAGGCTATTGTAGAACCAGAAATTTTCAGTTTGCACCACAGTGGAATCTTATATCATTGTATACATGTACAGCAGGTATAGCTTTTGTTGTTTAATTGCAACATTCGGAAAACAATAAAGTTCCAATGATGGAAAATACTGTACTGTCAATTTATTTACTCTCTCAATGGACACTTACTGATTGGCAATTAACAGTGTGTCAAGTGACGACACTCGGTGCCTGTCAGTTGACGTTTACAATTGTCGTTTCATGAGTAACGTGCCTTCATTGATACATACGAGCCCTAACACATAAATGTTCGGACACTCAAAATTTTACAAATGTTGTAATTTAAAAATCATTGTATGTTCATTTTTTTTTTCTGACTATAGTTATAAATTAAACATATTTAGTAGCTGTAATTTTATATTTTGTTGCAATATTAATTAATTTCAACTGTCAAATAACACAAAACACCATAAAAATAGAATTTAAAGTGACACAAAAATGTTCGGACACCACCCCTTAACAATGAGTTGGATCCTCTTTGGCTTTAATAACAGCTTGGATTCGTGTAGGCATGGTCGTCACAAGAGCTTTACATTGATCGATGCCAAAGGTATCCCAAATCTCTTGTAACTTTTCACTCAAAGAAGCAATATTTCGTTGCGAATGAATACGCAAACGTTGCTTCATTTTGTCACACTGTCTCAATGACATTGAGATCTGGACTGCTTGAGGGCACCTCTAAAACACTATTATTGTGGTCTTGTAACCATTTCTTAGTCGTTTTTTCCTGTGACATGATGCTCCGTCTTGTTGAAAAACAAAGTCTGCATCAGGTGATAGTGTCGCAAGTGAAGGCAATCAACTTTGTTCTAAAATTGCTTGATATTTCTGAGCATAAACATTACCATTTGTAAGTGCAATTGTCCCAGCCCATTTGCAGACATACTGCCCCACACCGTTACACACTGGGGAATTTTACAGAACGCTTTAAGCAATCTTTGTGAAACGCTTTGTTTTCCGTTGTGATAACTCTTTCTCGATAACCGCCTACATTCCGTACTGTGTCTCTTCGTCCAGATTTGCAAATGGTTATCAGCGCTTTCTGCATTCTAGGGGTAACTGTTGGCCGTCTTCCTGTGTTGTTTCCTGCAACTTCGATTGATGCTGTTTTCCCATACTTTGTTACAATATCTGCCACCGTGGACATGGACAAATTGAATTCCTGACCTATTGTCCTAAAGGATTTTCCCTTATGAACCCATTTTACTATTAATTGTCGAATTTCTTTCCGTGTTGCTTTGCCATGTGCCATTTTTCCTTTAACAAAATGTCAAAGTGTGCTGACAAGTTATAAAAATTATAATTTTTTTTGTTTTTATCCTGTTACGTAGATCAAACTATCAAATATATGTGGTGTCCGAACATTTATGTGTCAGTTAATTTCGCTGGTTTTCCCATTTTCATGTTGTGAGAGCATTAAAAAAATTGTTTTTTGGTATTAAACATAAACAATAAACTTATAATACATATTTCTATATAAGATATCTGCGGATTTATTGACATTGGACTGGTTTTATTTTTTTTCGGTTTTATTTTAAAAATGCTAGATGTCCGAACATTTATGTGTTAGGGCTCATAGAATTAGTCTATTGACTAAATATCGAAGATAAATAGACTTTATGCATCAGATAACCGTCTCGTTAATTTGGGTGGTGTTAAAGGGGTGATTTTTAGAATACATGATATGCTCGCTTTTACTAGAAGCATCTGTGGTTAAAATTTCAAAAAATATCCATAAATAAAAAAGTTGACATTGTGCAGTCTTCGCGTGAGCACATCTGAATTTTACAATATGCGATATGCTGGTCTTTACTAGAAGCATGTGTGGTTAACATATCAAAAAAGATCTCCATAAATAAGAAAGATGACATTGCGCAGTTGGCGCATGCGCACATTAATCATCAATTTTTCTTGGTTGAGGTGCTAGAGCTATAAGCTACCAAATGCAAAAAGAGCGCACTAAATATTTTGAAAACTGTAGGAGTAGTTAAGGCCTCGGACGGATGAAGCGGCTATAATAGCGCCAAATGAGTTGGAAAATGCGCTAAAAAAATGATGCATGTCCGCTTTATCTAACGAAAATCTCCAGTTTCTCCTCTGGTCTTCCTTGCAGTTATTGGACATTCCCGTGAACCCAATTCAAAAATTTTGCAGTTTTTTTGGAAGTAGAAAAACCCCCCAGATATGAAATTTTGTCAAAATAAATTTTTCCCATACTCCCGATTAGTGAGGCATACCCAAAAACCTAGGTAAAACTTTGATCTGTTATCATTACTGTGGGAACAATTTTATTTTATTGAATTTTGCTCTCGGATGATACATTTTGGATCTTTGTCTTATTTGGAAAAAAATGCTTATTTTGCCCCCTTTCACACCACCACAATTAATGACATAGTTACCTGGTTCCTCCTGTAGAATACACCACAGGCGCCAAACACACAAGCCACGGTCCTGAACTCTCACAATGACTTCATTATGGTCCTGCAAGTTAACAACATTACAGTTAAAAATAATGGAAATTATTTAATTACAGCTTAAGAAAAACAGCTCAATGTACAGGGTGGTTCAAATTCGTAGTTCTCCATTTGGATCTACGTAACGGTGAGAGATACAGTAGTGGTTAAATGGGGGCAAGATTTCCCCTTTTTTTGACTAAAAACATGCATTTGACATTTTTTAAAAATATCACGGAAAAACTGAAAATGTTAAATTTCGTTTCCATTTTCCCTAGCTTAAACGGTCGGAAATGGACGGTTCCCGGTTCTATGGCCATTTTTGTTCAGGGAATCTGAATCTGTCATCAGAATTTCTAGAACATGCTACTTTCTTATTTCTTATGGACGCCATATTCGATCTTTACGGAATGAGATAGAGGACAGAAAAAGAAAAATAATTACGCGTCACATGCTATACTTTTACATAACTTTACATTTCAGAATCAAATTCATTCATGAACAAAACATCCACGGGTAACTAGATAATTTCAAATGCGTTTTTTTAGTTACAAAAATGGGCAACTTTGCCACCTACACTGTATCTTTCGCCTTTACGGAGCTCCCAGTGGTGAGCCCGAATTTGAACCACCCTGTACAAGAAAATGTGATTTTTTTTATACAAGTTGTTCATAAATCATATGATGTAAATACGGAAGGGGGTAATTCCTTGGCTTATTTTATGACCAAAAGTCCATATAAACATAGGTTCGAGAACGCTTTGTTAATATCTACAGGGTGTTATAATTTCACTGTACATTTTACAATTTTAACCTCTAATGTAAACACAAAACGCAATTTTTTATTATTTTGGGCTTAATTTTTAAGCGGGCGGGGTTTCAACCAAGGGCTGCTCTACCACCCCATCCCACTATACATTTATCTACTAATATTCATGCCCGAACCAGGGATCCTTAGTGACACAGTCGAGCTTCCACACCACTGCGCCACACAGGCCGGGTGGACTGTCAAAAGTAATAAAAAGAAGGGATGATCCAAATAAAGTCACAGTCTGCAGGACACCGAAAAGTTGCCAAACAAATCACAGAATCAAATTCTCATTTTACAATCTACCAGAGGCGCACCGAAAAAAAGTTCAGTGGTAGAAAATGGAACACGCCCAATGATTTAAACTCTTGAAATGTTAACACCGTGTATAACGAAGCGTTTGCAAACCTATGTTTATACAAACTTTTAGTTTAAAATAATCCAAAGAATTAACCCTTTATCATCATATTTAGGAACACCCTGTATATGAATTAATACAATTACCCAACATTTTTTTTTCTGTGCTTGTTTCATACCCTGGCAGGTGCATGGTGGTATTTGCTATTGGCCACTTTTGAGGTACACTCATTTTTATTTACCCAACAGACGCAATCAAAACACAAGTTTAGATAATAAACCACAAACTTAACTGTTTATCACATTTTGATAACGATTACCTGCTCTTATCCAAAAGTTTTCAATAACTTGCAGTTATAAGTGCTCACTTGGTGAAATAGGTATTCCACTCAAAATAATCTGTATTTAACCCTCGTGGCGATGGGGAAAATTGTGAAATTAAAAACGAAAATCGGCGTTACTCAATCACTATTTTTATAGGCCAACTGTGAATTCACTCAGCTGTTATAATTCAAATGTGTAAGATTTCCCATCTTTTTTACTTGCGGATTTGGTTCTTGTTCGTTTGATTTGATGTCACCTGTGAATAATAATAAGAATTCCGCAAGTGCAAACACAAAGACAACGAAAACAATTGCAAGGTCTGAAAAAAATATTGATTATTAATTTGTAAAAACCCACTGTTAAAAACAGAAGATTAAAATTGCAGTAAAGTACAAAAATTAGCGTATATACCACTGGACCGAAGTCCGTCCTAATCGCTCAGATGCTTGTTATCCTCAACTTAATTTCGGGCAACAAACTGCACCCTCGGGAGTAAAATACACACCCTTGGTCCAAGATAAGGATCTCCGAAAACATAAACGTTATGACAATGGTGAAATTAGAGAAAAGATAGGCAGTTCAGATGTTATTATCATGTTTTAAAAAAATCCAGAAAATTCCGATTACTTCAGAAGATATACCAGAAAAAATCTAAATTTACCAATTTGGTTTTTATTTATTCCACATGTTATTTAAACAGATATTTTAAAAATCAAAAACACTTTCTCATTGCCACTTTTTGAGCTCTACAAGACACCGTTGAGGATTTTCAATACAACTTTCGTTTAGAAGAAATCATCAACTTAATTTTTTTGTATGCCCCGCAAAAAGTAGTATTGAGTAGCATTTTTTGCTACGAATACAACGATGTATGGCACACAAAAAAAACAAAAGGTGGAAACTGTTGATTTCCATAGAATAGTTTATCCGCACAAAACACCCTAATCTTGTGAGAATACTTATGAAACAAATTTACTATTCTTCAGAAGATTTGTGTGCGAGTGCACCACCCTGTTGAAACCAACAGTTTCCAACTTTTGTTTTTTTTGGGTGTATGCCATATATCGTTGTATTCGTGATAAAAACTGCTACTTAATACAGTATGTACTTTTTTTGCCCATTTAAAAAAATAAAGTTGATGATGATTTCTCCGAAACGATACGTTGTATGGAAAATTCCTTAACGATATCTTGTAGAGCTCAAAAAGTGGCAAAAAGAAATGTTTTTTTTATTTTTTGTAACTGTTCAAATAAGTCAGAAAAAAAAACGAAATTGATAAATTTCGGTTTTCCTAGCATATCTCCGGAAGTAATCGGAATTTTCTGATTTTCTTTAAAGCATGATAATAACTGTTTAATTGCGCACCTTTTCTCTAATTTGACCATCGTCGTATCTTCCATGGTTTCTGAGATCCCCATGGTAATACAACCTTATCTTGGACACAGTGTATATATCACTTTCAAGAAACAGTCGAACTTTTGTAATTGTGAACCGATTCCGACCAAATTTTAAGGGTCGCTGTAACCCATAAATATCTCGATCAAGTTGGTGAATCAACCAATTCCACCATATTGGAACAAAATGGGGGAAAGAAATCTACCTATACCTGATCGGCCAAGCCGAAAGGAATTTTTTTACCTTAATAGCTCTCATCTATATACGCTGATCAGTTAACCATTCTGTCTGCCCTTATCTCTACATATCTATACTTTTAACCTAAAACCTATAAAATATAATGGTTAACGGAGAAAGGTGAGTGATATGTTTTCAATTAGTCTATTTATATATTAGCAGATACAATTTCCTTTGACAAAACATGTGAAGCAGGTTTCCTCTGGAACCGAATAATTCATGTTTCTTATTCTCTCCAAAATTTTTGCCCTCCCTTCGTCAGATTTGCAACCGCTTCCAAAATTGTCTGCGTTAACAACGTATAAAATCCTGTTATTTTCAAAAATTGATAAAAACAAGAAACAAATAAAATATCAAATTGAAGATGCTCTACAATTCTGAATAAAACATGATTTTACCTAAGTATTGCCGTTAGCGAGTTATGATAGAAAAACCATCAAACTTTTTCGTTGATTTTTGACCACAGAAATTTCTCCCGACGTCAGTTCCAGTGGCAAACTTAGATTTTTCTTTCTTTACCATTTAAAGAAATCTGAAAAACAATAATAATAATAAACTTCCAGACGAGTGGAAAACTTATTGATGGTGAAAATCTATCATATGAAATTTAAACAGTGATGTCTTCATGGTCTCTATTGTCTCCATTTCCGACAATTCCAAAATCCCTCAGCAACAATTTCATTTTTGACAATTTTCATCTAAAATTGTCTGTGAGCCCAAAAGCATAATAATAATAATAATATTGCCTTTATTGGAGGAAATAGAAAAAAAAAATGTGCACTCGATTTACCTAATGGTTCCACTGAATTCTAGGGATGGATAGGAAGGCGCTTTTCTTCCCTTCAGTTGCGCGGAAATTTCCACCTCGGCACTCGCCCAATCGCGATCCTAATCTTGTACAGTGTCACAGTTAATTAAGTTCAGGGATAATTTTTTCTGAAAATCACATTTGTCAAGAGGTTGAAAAATTAAAGTGATTCCAATAATCATTTATTCAACAGTTTCATGGAGTCTTGATTGAACTAAATTTTATGCTCTACTCGCTATGGCTCGATGGGACGCATTTCAATCTTGTTTTAGGAGTGAATTAGTGTTCCTTTAGGATTAATTGTTCCACTTACGGGAAGCAACTTGATGATCTTGATCCGCTTTGACAATACCAAAGAAGAAAGTATAAGAGTTGTTTTTTTTTGCACCAACATTACATTAAGCAGATTGTCGGAATTCCACAAATTACTTGTCGTTCTCGCAAATATAAATGTTTACGTTCAGGTTTTCCAAGTGAGTGTTACATTGTATGTAAACTGTTACTAGTTAATCGCATATTTATTCATAGATTTGCTATGTTGAGTATAGATTGTAAATTAGTATATGTAACGACACATTTGGAGGATATCCAATAAACGCGAGATTTTATAATCATTAATTACATCTTTTTTTTGTGACTTTTACGCGTAATAAAATGTTAAGGTCGAAATAAAAATCGAAAAAGTGATTGATTCCTATCGAAGAAAAACTTGTCGTAAAAGACGTATGTTTATTTAAAAATAACTTTTTTTGTTGGAATATTAATACCTAGAAATTGCTTTAAAGGAGCATTAAATGTTATTTTTGGAACTTCTACTTCTATGCACGCATAATGGTAGAAAAAGATGGAATATGTGAAAAGTTTTAAATAGCTTTTAAGTTTGTTGCTTTATGCCTTTAGTTCAGTTAACGCGGCAGATGCTGTTTCAGTCTCATTGAAGGCGTTAATTGTGCGGTTCTGTGCCAATTTTGTAAACAAGACATCGCGAGTTTCTCTAGTATGAAGAAGTGATTGTTTTCGCGATGTCCTTTCGCAACACGCCGAGCGCCCGACAGCGCTCATCATCCCTTGTGCGTTTCGGAAGTACGGGCAATGTCGGGTATGGGCGCCCTCGAAGCTTGGGCTTTTTTAACGCTAACAAATTTTCCCCTTACGCCACGAGCCAGACGAGCAACTTTTCACCCTATAGTTCAGTAAATAATAATTACAGCCCGTCGTATTCCTCGAACTACAAAAGTCCTTACTTTTCGAACGATTATCGAGGCCGTAACGGTTACGCCAGTTTAACAATACCTGTGAAAGCATTCAGCCCGACGAGTGTTGTGCCAAATTATGCAAAGTTGTTTGATAACACACACGTCAAGAGTGCCAGACAATCGCGACCCACAACTAGATCAGACAGTTTTAATAGAAAACGTTCATTAAGCTCCGTTAGCAGTGGAATGGGGTCTAGGTCTCTCAGTTTAACATCACTCAATTCCGAAGGTTACGCCGTAAGACTTAACAGTTGGAAACCACTTTCAAATTGTAATCAATCATTTTTTATTTCAGAGTGGCACAGATAGATCAAACAGAAGCTCCAGATTAGGAAGTACGACCGATATCCGCGGTGAAAATGGAGAAATAGATTATAAAAAATTGTATGAGCAAGCAATTTTAGAAAATGATAGACTTAGAGATAAACTTAAAAAATCGGACGAGGAGTTAAGGGACACCAAACAGACGCTGGAAAGACTTAATACAGTGGTCAGTATGATGATTTTTCTATACAATTTGCATACTCCTTAGATCCACCTCTGGTTCCTAACGAGGTGATTGAGTCATAAGTATGCTATAGTAGAATACCTCCATCAGTGAGCGTCTGTTTAAATTAATACCGTTTAAATTTGTTCACCGATGGGGAACAGTCTTTTTTCGATCTTCGAAAGTTACACGATTAATTTTGTTATTTTTTGACAGACAAGTAAAAATTCGCTATCGGAATTAGAGAAGAGAGAGAAAAGAGCTATGGAAAGGAAACTTAGCGAAATGGAGGAGGAATTAAAGGTAATGTTGCACACGCTTTGGTAGGAACTGTTACAAGTGCAAGTGGTTTTTTGTTTTAATTTTTTTGTAGCCGCTGTTTGCTGTAGTTGTGTGACATTTAAATATTCTTTCAGCATTTCAGCCAGCTTGCAGATGTCAGCGTACATTCATTTTTTTTTACCGCACTTGTAGGTAGAGTGCTGAATGCTTTAAGCATAATCGACTACTCGATTTAACATCTACTAACACACCTAACCGATTTAAAAACACTCATACGAATTTTTGATGATTTTTTCCTTCGAGATTTTTTGAAGACGATTTTTCACCAGCTATCGCAGCTCTATTAAACAAAAATCCTTTTAAATTACAATCGACATTGTACATTACAACATTAAACACCTTAAAAACATTAATACGTAAACACTGTTACTTACTTTGTTTTTTTTTTGTTTGTGTGAACTCGATTCTTCGCATAATCGAATGGGGAAATTGTTGTTTTAGCAATTGCAAAAACTGAAAGCTGAGAACGAACGGCTACGGGCCGAAAACAGGGCTCTCACACGTGTTGTCAGCAAACTTACCAACTCTGCAAATAAATAGGTAACCATATGATGCTGCCGACAATATTGTAGTCACCGCATATATGCAAGCAAGCCTTTTTGTTTTATAGTGCGTCTTCACGTTCTGTATTCTGTATTTAATACATTGTGCTTTCATGATTTAACATAATCGTTACATGTTACACATTAAAACAAGAACTATTTTCTCTGGCTACTACTTCATTTGGGAAATTGAGCAAAAAGAACTAAATATTTATTCTGAGAACAATGGGCAACTGTGTTCAAGTCAATTCATTAGCCGAAAATTAAACCCAATTTGTACATCTTGCATGTACTTTTCTTACAGTGGGTTTATGCTACTTATGCAGGTGTCGTAGGTTGGTATCATTGGTAACTACTTAACCTCAATTTCCTTCAAAAGTTGTTTATCCCTTCAATTTAGTTAAATTCAATTAAATAAAGTTGCATAAACCCACCTTAATTGTGCTATGTGATGATTCTTTTTATTTGAAGCACGTGTAACCAAACTTTAACACTAAATAGATACACAACAGGGTGGCAACACTGTATCTCATTAACTGGCGGTTTTTTGACACTGTCCAAGAACTGTTCTACCACAATTGTTTTTGAAGTGCTTAGTTTAGTGTTTTTAGTGTGTGTAGTCATACCTACAATAATTTTTATTGAAATTTAACAGTACATTTTTATGGTTCCATCAAGGATCACATGTGAGCTCAAACTTTATTTTTTGTTATACCTGCATTATCATCAGCCCCTTTTGAAACGTAAAGCGTGAATAAAAGACTGTATATAGCGCGCTGTGTTTATAAGTATTGCTCTTTTTTGTTGACCATGCAATATATTAAAGAGAGAAAGAAATAGAATGAGTTAGAAAGTGTGTCAATGCTGCCCGAATGGTGTGACACGTCGCGTGCATACGAGACACTTTTTCATTATGCAGGTCTAATCAAACATAGTACTTGATCAACGCCCAATTGCGCACATATGCTTCAACCTCAAGGTCATTGTTGAATCTTTACCTCAGAGCCTCTTTGAGCGGACCAAAAAACATGAAAGTCGCCGGATGAAAGGTCTGGACTATAGGCAGGATGCTGTTTTAAAACCAAGTTGCTTCAATTTTTGATGGGTCAGGGCTGCAGTATGTGGACGAGCGTTGTCTTAGAGTAAAATCACATCTTTTACAGGTCGATATGCCAACCTAACCTCACTTAAAATTTTGCAGTAGTAGTCTGTCTTTATTGTTCGTGCAAAAAATCGATGTACAGTGTATTCTATTTTGGTTGAGGCTGCAGTGTATCTCAACTGTTTTTAAAGATAGAGACTTAAGTGTGGTGTCACACTATGCGTTTTTACCGCTCCCGCTAAAACGCTCCTGTTTGACGGGATGATAATATCACACGTTATTAAATGGTACCAGTCACATATATGCGTTTTCGCCGCACCAACCGGATGCAACCGCATCCTGCTGCCGCTGCGCAGGATGACATGAAACCACGTGTTGTTGCACGTTGGTTGTCATCAGTTGTCACACTGAGCGTTGCAACCGGGTGTTTTGTTAGGTTTACAATGTTTGATGTCGGTTTATTCATCGAGTGCGTGCATGCAAAAACTGCACTGTGGGAAAAACAATCTAAAGAGTATGTAGATAGAAACTGTAGGGAGAAATCATGGGCAGAAATTGAATTTTTGGACATTCGATAATCTACAAAAAAATTTTTTTTGTTCATTCGATTTTTTTCATAAAACTTCACAAACCTATTATTAGATTCTCGTCCTGAATTAAATGGATCAATCCAATATTGATGATATATCTGCTTCCGCAAATCGCAATAACCCCTCCGCTTCAAGCGCACAAACCTTTAACAATAATTGAGACATGACACTACTTAGACTGCCGAAATATAGCGAAAACGCATCCCGTTAGACCGGAATAGTGTGACAAGTAGATCTCATCCTGTCAAACCGCATCCGTTTTAGCGGGAGCGGTAAAAACGCATAGTGTGACACCACACTAAGACCCTGTGCCACTTTTTTGTGAAACTTTTAATACCACAAACAGAATCAATCTAGTTTGTTTCTGAGAATACATGATGAAAACGAAAAGTTTGACTTTTTGGGATGTTATCGTATCTTACTACCCTTGTAAGATAGAAAAAAGGTAAAAACTGTTCATTCTAGATATTTTTACGTAGAATCCAGTGGCGTAGTAAAAAAATTGTTGAGCACCGTTTCTGAGATTTGACCCAAAGTTGGTATTTATTAAATGCAACACCCTGTATATCGTAACGTCCATGTTTTGCTTTTTTTCCTGATTACAATGATGTATCACAACCTTTATTTTTTTTAATTTTAGCTATGAACCATAGATAAAAATCCTGTTTTTTACAGTTTTTAAATAGTAGGCCATGGATTCATGGAGATTTTGTTTTTGTAGTATATTCACGATCACGGCAGCCGATACCAATCAATAAAAATGGCTGACTGTAGAAACATTTCATTTCATTGCTGAACTTGAATAAAAACAAGACTGTTGAAATGAATAATGATGTTCTCTTTAAGATCCATAGATACAGTTAAAAATGTGGACTCAATTAAATTTTTAGGAGTATTTATTGACCCGGCTAAATCTCTTTGCAAAACAATTTTCTGGTTGCGCAGTTTAAGGTCACATGTAACTAAAAATGTGCTTATTTTGCGCTGTTTCTCAGATGATATTACGGCATTGGGTCATACTCCTCATCTAAAGGAAGTCTTTTCTGTGCAAAGGAAAGGTATCAGAAAAAAAATATCTAATCCATTTGGGGATATATTGCGCTATGTGTGGCGACACTGTTAGAAAGAAACAAAACTAGGGTAGAACTTTCCTCTTTATCCTTTCAAGGTCAAACTTACGCCGAAACCGTCTATTCAAATTACAGAGAGTAAGACAAGTTCGCATAGAACTAGACATTTTGACAGTTTCATCATTCTATATTTGGTACTGCTTAGTATACATGCTTCATTGTAAAAAGTACAACAATTCTTCCCACCACTAGTACGGGACCAGAATTTGCAATCAAATTAAAATGCGAACTTTCCTTAACAAGAAATTGTGCAAATTATATGGAGCACTATTTTTTTACCTGATAATTTAGAGTACAGGAATTCAAAAATTTAAAAAAATAAAGCGTTTTTTAATTCCAAAACCATTTTACACCATTTTTGAACTGTAAATTATTAGTATTATTACCTACACATTAGGTAATTGCATGTTACACCTGAGTAGACTATGATAATAAAAAACAAAAGAATGCCAGAAAGTAAACAAGTGTCACAAATCAATTATTTATTGCAATTGTATTTTCTATTGCGTAATAAAATAAGATTAATTAAAAAGGTGAATTTTGAAAATGATGAACTAGTGTTTTTAGATAAATGCGGAGAGCCGCAACTTTATATCAAAAGAGCCGCTGGTTGCCGACACCTGGTCTATACGCAGGTCGACTAAGTATTGTGACCATTTTGGTATGACCACATCACATTCACCTCCTGCCATGTTCTGGGTGTGTAAACTAAACAGAAGCTGTAGAGCTTCTATATCCATATAGTTTGCAATATGTGCCCAACCACCTTTTGGACGAGTGCGGGAAACATACCGTCTCCACCAAGCACCTTAAAGGGTTTGAAGACCATTAGGGCCCATTCTACCCTCTCTCGTGTGAAGATTTTTGAGGCTTCGCTTTTATCTCTGGAGCAAGGTCTTACCTGACCTTCTGCCTCTTTCTATTGAAGAGGTGAGCCTGGAAAGTGAGTACTTATGAGGAGCTCTAAATGTTTCCCTGGCGCCTGCTGTGTATTTCCCATCAGGTTTCTTAAGATTCTTATTAATGCCATTGGAGTGGTCTTTTTGTAGAATTGTGCCAAGCCCTTCTTTTCGACCTTCTTATAGCGGAGCTGTACTTGACTAGGACACTTCTGTACTCTGTTGTTTTCTAGTTTCTCATTCCACCAGGGAACGTTCCTTGTTAACCTTTAGTTTTTGTGGGGCAGCTCCTTTCATATACGCATTAAGTCTTTGTAGATCATTTAGGACTACTTCCAGTTCCTCTTTCTTGTGTACCTTTTGAGTGATCTCATCTACTTCATTTGATTTGCCATTGTAAAGTTGAATTGCGTGTTAAAAATTAGGGGCATCTAGAGATAATCGCATTTTGTTTTGTAAAAATGTATCTTCCAGTCTTTGCGATAAGAATTTGTTATCTTTGCGTGCAGCTAATTAAGGTAGATAAGCAGATGAGTGGTAATGAAGAGGAACGAAAGAAAGTCTTAACAACTGAAAAATGGAGCATCAATCATCATGCAGTTTTCACTAAACATATGACCATCTAGGGGAGCATACTTGATGGCGATTTCCATTTGTTTCCCACTGACTTTATCTCCACTGAAACCAACTTTAAAATTTTAGGTAGCAGCACCACATCCCACGTAAATATTTTGTTGTCCTTCAATGTAGCAAATAATACGAAATATCATCCAATCTGATTAATGAAACAGGTATCTCGAATAGTTCAAACCTATTATGCAATTGTGCATTAATACCATTTGGTTTTAATGTGTATATCTATCAAAAACGTAAATTTTGTTGTATTAAATACAGAATTCCCTTCATTACACCATCACTGATTGGGTTTAAGTTTAAAATTTAATACACTAATTTATTCACCGTTGCTGTAGCCTTCTTATTTGGATACAGCCTGTTCATAATTTTGCATTTTCTTTTGTTTTTCTTTTTGTTTGCAGCTTTTTTTATTTGAGCAAGCGCACACTTTGTTTGTATGCGTCTCTAGGTCATCCGATGTGCAATTAAAAGTCTTTTCCGTAATTTTGAACGAATCATCCGGCATGTTTTGTACATATTACACGTGTAGCCGTCGTTTGTGTACGCTCGCACTGATCCGATTTTTCTGATTTTCTAGCAATTGGAAATTTTAAAGTCTGAAAACCAGAGGTTAAAAGATGAAAACGGAGCCCTAATTCGCGTAATTAGTAAGTTATCTAAATAATCTTAGAAACGTAGACGTGTACACTTCCTAGATGATTTTATAATAATTTGTAATTTATATCGACTATAGCAATGATCCTTCATTTACAATTACGGCATCCTACGAACTTGTCGCCTAGTATTACTTTTATTTAGTTCTCGATCAGTTTTTCCCGTTTTTAATGAACCGTTTGCATTTCTTTGTTGTGACTGTTATTTTATTTGTTGCTCTTTGTAATTTTAGGAAAATTTTCGATGTTGTGTAGTTTCTTTTTATGTAGTTGACTAGTTTCGTTAATCATGTATTTTATATTTTCGAAGAAATTTGTCATTTTTTAAACTGTGTCTAATGTTCACTGATTTTGACGATTAGAGAAACCAATTGAGTACAAATTTAAAGCAGTTTTTGTTACAATCATTATCAGTAATGGGAAATTGACGGACGATACAGGATCTTGCACGGGCTATCTGTGTGGCTTACAAAAAATTCGTACTTATAATTTGACTGGCAGGTCACTGCATCATCCTGTATTTTACAAAATATAGCAGCTTTCAAATTGAAGAATTTAACGTTTTCACTTTCCTGGTGCTATGTACGATAGTGTAATAAATCATTAGCTGTAAGTTGTAGTATTAAGTTAGTTTCCTGTTGTCAGTATAAAAATGGTGGCGAGATGTACTTGTAAATATAGCTTTTATATGATTGCAACTACCTACTACAAGTTCAATCATGTAAGAACGATATTCGACCACCGTGTATATAATAATTCATCTTTTACATGTATTCTATAAAATTATTTAAGATCATGATTCATCACTTTGTGCCTTGCTTTCATTGTATTTATTGAATTAGTTTATAATTTACGATGTACTATAAATTATTTTCTGTATTTATTGTGTATTGTTCTTGAAGGTTCATACAAACTTAATAATAACTACCTGTGAAATAATTTGTGAATATTTTGTAACAGTCTTGAATATATACAAAATTATTTTAACATCCCTTTTTGCAGCACTGATAAATTATTTGCACTATGGTGCATTCAAATCCTATTGGCATAGTCTTCATTAAGTTACATTAGAAAGTATGCAATTGGATGTCATTTAAATAAAAGGCACAGGGATCAAAAGGTTTAAACTGGAGAACCTTGCAGACTGCCTAAAAATTCTTATGGAGCAATGTCTGCATACTGTGTTGTCCACTCGTCATCAATCATAATGGCGACATCACATAATTTATTCTTGCAATAGTACACAGGTAGTTCAAAATAAAAGGATGGTAAAACGGGCATAAAGATCAGCGCGCCACATTGCAGTATCTCTGAACACCCCCATCTTTAATGTATGTCAAAGTATATGCCACTAAACCTGGAAGGAGCAACAATTGACATCCTTACAGACAGTCGTCAAGCTGTACAAAGTGTGAACCCCCACTATTCAGAGATGGTCTGGGAATGAAATTGAAGCAGCTGGCAAACAAAAACCATGTGACACTATTAGTCCAGGGTAGTAGCTACCTAGCATACAGAATTTGTTTTTCTTTTGTATCGTATGCATGTATTCAGTATTGTAAGTAGCTAATAAAAGTCATTATTATTATTATAGAGGGTTTTAACTTGCAAAATGAGAAGTAGTTCCAATTTCTTTTGCATGTCATAGACAGTCATCTGGTGGTTAAGAATCTAAGTTTTCGACCTTCCACCCCTTGTGCTTCCCGCGTACCACCCGCAAAACCCTTTTTCAATCATATCTTTTTATAGGTTCACTTTACAGAAAAATATTGTTATGAAATATTGTAGATAACAAAATTCGACACAACTTTGATGTATATTAGACACTTAGGACAAGCACTGTGTAAACGTGTGCGTATTACGTAAACGTTACTTTGTCACGGATACGTATACGTATGCTGTGAGTTAAGGTTGCTTTAGTTAGGACTGTGTTTTTCTAAGGTAGCGTATCTGACGTTTAGAATATTCGGTTACTCTGATGTCAACATTTTTAAGAATCGAAAATGGGTAAATTTAAAGGTAAGTAATTTAAAGTGGGTTAGGTGTAGGATAATTAAATATTTAGATTTGTTTAAAAAAACGCAGACGCTGCTTGGAAAAAGTTATGTTTAGCTGGAGTAATAACAACTGAAGACTATTGGAAAATATGTAAAAAACGAACATTGCACTATAGCAGAATTTGCTCCTACAGTCGAAAAAAATTTGATTTATCAAAATATTCAGATGACGATGCAAAAAATTTGTTTCGATTTACACATTTTCAAATTTATACACTGGTAAATTTACTGCGGATCCCACAAAATTTCACTGTTCATAGAAGTCGATGTACTGGTAAGTGTTCCTAGTTAGGTTCAGCATTTGTATGGTACTTGATCACACAAACCAACTTATTTCCAGGAATAGAAGGCTTATGTATATTACTTCGCCGCTTAAGCTATCCAAATAGATTATGTGATCTTGTGAACATCTTTCATAGAGATCCGTCTACAATTTCACGAATTTTCAATTACATGGTAAAATTTGTTTATTTTAGAAACAAACACCGTGTTCAGTCCTTAAATCAATGCTGGATACTTAATAGATTGGAAGAATTTGCGCAGGTGAGATTGTCATTAATACCAAACTCACTAAATGTTTGTAATTAATTCTAGTGTTGCGTAGCAGCTGGGTCAATGTATCCAAACATTATTGGATTTATTGATGGCACTGCGAGAGCCATATGCAGGCCAAAATACAAACAGAGAGATTTCTATAGTGGCTACAAAAAGCAACATATGCTGAAGTACCAAAGCATTGTATTTCCCAATGGGTTAATTGGTAGGCTTGATGGCCCATTTATTGGAAGAAGACATGATGCAGCTATTCTTAATTTAAGTGATATAAGGCTAGAAATGGCAAATGTATTCTCTACACCTACCACAAACTATGCCTTGTACGGTGACCCTGGTTATTCCAATTCCCAGTACATTAAAGTTGGCTATAAAAATCATCACAGTCTCACTGAAAGGCAGAAATTATTCAACAAAACTATGTCTGCTTTACGTGTGAGTGTTGAATATGGTTTTGGGAAAATTGTGCAGTTATTTGCCTTTGTGGACTTCAAAAAAAATCAGAAAGTTTATTTACAACACTTAAAATTTCAATATTATGTAGCAGCGTTTTTAGTAAATTGTTATATTTGCATGAGTGGATGTCAAATCTCAGATTATTTTGCTTGTTTACCACCTAGTATCCAAGAATATTTACAATAAACAATGTTGTATCTGTAAAACAATTTATTTTTTGGCCAATAACATTAACAATTCATGCATCTGTTGCTGTTGGACATCACGTCGTTTATTTTCTTCTTCTGTAATTCTGATCTTCTCTTTCTCAACTTCTAGTTTTTCTCGTTCCAATGTTGCTTTTTGTTGCTGCAGGTCATACTCGATTTCCATTTTTCGCTCTTCAAGTTTCAATTTTTTCACTTCAATGTCATAATCCTGTTCTTGTTTTCGTTTGATAAGCTCATCCTCAGGAAGCAGCGCACTACGCTTTTTTCTTACTGTTATGGGTCCTGGTGCTGTATCTTCTACAGCATGTTAATGGAATGTATACAATTTTATTCTTGCCATACTAGTTACTTGCTTACCGGTCTGATTTAAGAGTTCATCTCGTTCCATGTCTGCAGTGTGTTTTTCCACATTTGCTGCTGTGGCCCGAGGTCTTGCTGTTTTAAGTTGGGGTGTGGAAACTACATTAGAATTGTCTGTTTCATCTTCATCTGCACTACGGGAATCAGCATTTGTGGTTCGGGTTATAGGCACATTGCTTGCATCAATATAAGCAACGACTACCTCTAACAAATTCCCTAATTCCGTATGTTCTTTTTCTGTACCAGTTCTACGAAATGTAATGATTATAAAAAAATAACAGTATTGGCTAAAGTACTTATATTGCAGCTGCTCTTGTTGATATTTGTCCACCAATTTGTTGGCTCTCTCTTTCAATGTGCGCAACAAAAATTCCACATTAAACGTCTCCTTCATGTCGGCAAGAATCAGATCCCACTGATTTTTGCCTAGTTGGTATGGATTGTGTTCTACACACAATCGCATTAGATGGATATCCATTTGAAGTGAAAAAAACGTCCTCGATTTGCGGGCTTGAGAACCCTAAATTAAGGAAACCTTTATTGGTCATTTTAACTCAATGGTATGCGCACTTACCGTTTTTGCACAGCTACTGTTCTGTTGCAGAAACATGATTTCAGTGATGTAAACACAAACGTAACCTCACTTTTTCAAATACACCGACTCTCATAACCCAACCGTAAAGCTATGTTGCGTACGTCGGTTTATTCTCAAGGCTACACGTATCCGCATGATAATACGTAAAATGGGAGGAGCCTAACGTAATGCGATAAGGATAAGTCATACGGACACGGATACACAGCTCTGTCCTAAGTGTCTATTACTTTTTTGTGAAATGTTTATTAAAAAAGATATAGAGCTTCAAAGTTTGCTTATATTTTTAAGAATTCTGAAATTTCTATGAAGGTTTTAACCAAATTTTATACTTTATCTCTATAATTCAGAATTTTATGAGAAAATATCTTCACCTTTCAACCCTTGCTAGTGGGGATATTGGAATCACTGAGATTGTAGCGCATTCTAATATACGTTTGTTGTTTCACTTCAGTTCAGCTTCCCCCCCCCCTTTCCCGCAAGGAAATGAATATTTCAACTCCCTTGCGGCAATTGATTAGTCAGAGAGTACAACGCTTATTACTTATATTTTTTAATACACTGGTTCTAGTTTAACCCATTCAACACTCACTATAGAGGTTGAAGTAGTCCCTTTTTGTAGGAGATGAAATTGGTTAAAATGAAGTAAGACCACTTTTTTTATGTAATTATTGTATTCGAAAGCGCCATACACAGTGATTCAAATACCTACTACGACCAAGGGGTTGAAGTGCTATCATCCCCTTTGATAGGGGTGCAGGATACCAAAATTAATAGCACCATAGCTTCATAATCGAGGTATTTTCTCATATAAATGTTATGATTATAGAGATAACTACAATTTCATTAAAATATGTGCATCCATAGAAATTTCGGAATCTTCAAAATAAAGACAACTTTGAAGTTCTGTATCTTTTGGAATAAAAAATTTACGAAAAAGAAGTATATGACAAATTTGTGTAAAATTTGATGGTCTACAATTTCTAATAACAATATTTTTTTGTAAAGTGAACCTATAAAAAGATATGATTGAAAAACCAAAAAACCACCAAAATTTCTTTGATTTTAGGGGTGGTACGGAGGAAGCACAAGGGGTGGGAGGTCGAAAACTTGGATTCTTAACCATCACATATTCCCCCATGGCATGCAAAAAAAATTGGAACTACTCGTTTTGCAGGAAATGGTCCATTTTCAGTCTCTATTCCCCGGACCCGGACCGGTGGGTGCACTGAGACTATCTAGGCAGATGAGTGGAAACGGCTATAAGGCCTGAGCCATTTTGTGGACATAAAAAGCCATATAAAACACGTGCTAGAGCAGTGAGAGAAGGCTTTTAGAATCAGGGCTACGACGCTAGGCCGTTTATAAAGGCCAAAAACTAAAGAGTTCTAATGTTTAAGCATGGGAGAACTACAAACTCTTGCAAGGCTTTTCTACTGTACCATCTACATAAGATGGGTATAGCCGATAACAGATGCTGATTGCGGGCTGGCAGCAGAAACAGTCGAATATATTCTTTGCACTTGCGATGCTGCCAACAGACCGACAAACTGCCTGGTAAGGTCACCATAATGTCTGAAATAATTATGGAGGTAAGTCTCAGGGTGTTGATCAACTTCTTAATAAATCAGAAGCTACCCTAAGTTCAAGGTGTCATAAAAACCCCAATGGCATTAGGTAGATGGTTAGGGGTGCCACAGCGTCAAACACATAGGTACCGTGTCAACTCTGTTAAAGATCTTGGCGTCACATTTGATTTTCGTCTCAGCTTTAAGGAGCACATACACTCGATTTGCACCTCAGCTATGAAAACCCTGGGATTTATCATAAGAAATACGAAACAATTTAAAAATATCAATTTACTCTTTCGTTTGTATTACTCCTTGGTGCGCTCTAAGCTCGAGTATTGCGACCTCGTATGGTATCCACTATACAACGTATATAAACATGACATTGAAAACATTCAGCGAAGATTTTTAAAATACATTGTTTTCAAAATCGATACTGAATACCCGCAACGTGGTTTTCCTCAGGACACGCTGTTGGCACGTTTTGACGTTCACTCAATGGAACAAAGACGAGTAGCTAATAGCATTAAGTTTTTATACAAACTTGTAAACAATACTTTAGATTGTCCTTATTTACTTGAAAAACTGTCATTTAATATACCAATGTATTCTACCAGGCATTTAGACACATTCACTTATCCTACTCCAAAATCCAATCTTCTTCGTAGAACTCCATCTTTAATAATGGCATGTAATTATAATATGTATTGTCAGAACTGTGACATTAATTATAATTCTTTATCGAATGTTTTAAGTTCTATTTTTAATTAACAGAGTTTTGTAATTATTATTTTGCCTTCATTCATAGAATTGCTTTCTACTTTGCAACATTACGTGTACCATTATATACACATACCCTTTTCTGTTATTGTTTGTTTACTTTTCTTACTAATTTGTAACAATTATATTCCATTCTTTTTTTTTTTTATTTTACTTTTTTTTTATAATTATTTAATAATAATGTATGTATACGCCTCTATATTTACTTTTATAATTGTTCATTTATGGATTACTAATCTGTTGAACAATAAACATTACTGAATTACTGAATTACATACTAGAACAATGATTATCTGTTTTGAGGTAACACACCTCTCCTGCCACGCTTTTATGACCAACCCTATATAATTAAAATTATTACTACTTCCTAGTTGACATTAAAGAACTTCAAATCTTTTGTATGAAACTTGTTTTGATACCTTGTATATTTTCCACGATAATCGACCGTTTCCAAACTTATCAGTGACCCTGTATGTTATTCTATCACATCGAAGAGGTAGGTATGTCTTATGGAAAATAAGAACCGTTTCATAAATTAAAAATCCGATGCAACTGAATACCGAACGATCCTCGAGATCTTCACACATGCATCATTTTTACAGATTGATTCTGCCCCACCAGATCACCATAGCTTGGAAAACGCATTTTTTGAATCGCCATTAGTTTTACTTTTATTTAAGGTGTCTACATACCAAATTTCATTTAAATATCTTAACAAATAAAAAATTTGAGATTGCGCATGCGCAAAACAAATTTTTTTATTCATTATTGAGGTGCATACATACAAAATGTCATTTAAATTTCTTAATAAAAAAATTAAGTTGGGACTGCGCAAACACAAAAGTAGGGTTGCGCATGCGCTTTTTTTTTAATTTATGTAGGTACATAGTTGCCTGAGGTTTGAGGAATACTAACACAGAAAACCGGACATTCATATGTTCTTTGTAAGAAGGATTATAAAAGAAACCACTTTTGTTTGAGCTGTAACTTTTTGGCCAGTTAATCTTTGTAGTGAAAAACCAATAGCGACCTTTCTTATAACCTGAAGAACATGTGTATCAATTTTCAATGCAATCGGACTTTTCTACACAAAGTTATCGTGCACACGGACAGACAGACAGCAATACAAAATTATGAACGATCTCGAGTATCGTTAACAAAGATTATTATTTATCATTTCACTCTTACCCAGGGCCGGTTAAACCACAAGGCGAACATAGGCGGCTGCCTGGGGCGCCAAGCTTCAGAGGGCGCCAAAATTAAGCAACATCTTTCAGCGAAAACACAATAACGTATTTATGAACGCCACTTTCTATTTTTTGCCTGCCTAGGAATAACCTCCGGAAGGGCGCGCTGAGAACATCTCGCCTAGGGCGCGCTGAGAACATCTCGCCTAGGGCGCCAAATAGCCTTTCACCGGCCCTGCTCTTACCTTACTTAAGAAGCCAGAAGAGGTTTACTGAACAACAGCTAGTCAGCAGACATTACATACCGGGTGAAAATTTACAAACCGAACATAGGGAATTAACATGGGAAAAGGGGTTTTTGTAGATAGTTGCCCTCTTTGTTAACTTAGAGGGTTTTATAATGACTACAATCTAAAGAAGATTTTTTTCCTCGTCTAATGATTTACGAATTAGTTCATTTTCAGGTGTATTTCACACTATTTTATCAAAAATTCGGCAATAAATCCACTTACCAAAATCATGTTAGAAATAAACAATGCAAAGGGTCAAATGCGTGTATTTGCTAAAGCCGGTCCTGGCGTACCGGAAATGTGCGTTGTGTTAACGCCCACCTTAAAGTTTACAATTGAATGATAACAGCTGATTCAGCTGTCAGAATTTGCAACAATAATATGTAAAGTCATGAAAAACATTTATTACACCATAAATCAGCTACAAAATTGCGCCAAAAAAGCGGTATATCAATAGGAACAAAAATGGCAAACGTTTCCGGCAATGCGGGCGGTCACAATTTCAAAGTAGTGCTGCTAGGCGAAGGCTGTGTGGGAAAAACAAGTCTATTGTTGCGATATATAGAGGATAAGTTTAACGCTAGGCATATTAGTACAAATCAGGTAATGAACGAGTACTCGTTTTGTGAGAGCACGCATTACAAGTCTCTTTTAGGCTTCATTTTTAGCTAAGAAATTAAATATCGAGGGGAAACGTGTAAATTTATCCATTTGGGATACGGCGGGACAGGAGAAATTCCACGCTCTAGGACCTATATATTATCGATCGTCGAACGGAGCAGTTTTAGTTTACGATATAACTGACGTAGATTCATTTCAACGCATTAAAAGTTGGGTGAAAGAATTGAGGAAAATATTAGGTACGGATGTGTGTCTGGTGATTGTTGGAAATAAGACTGATCTTGAGAAGGATAGAAATGTTGACATTGAAGAAGCCGAAGAGTAAGTTATAATGTATAGGGGTCTCATACATGGCTATTGTTTTTTATAAGAATTGCAAATAATGTGCAGTTTTCATTACATATTGTATAATAAAAGCTGTGCAAACAGGGTTGAGATGAATTGAATGATTTTGTACAGGGTGTCCCAACTACACATAAATCAGCTTCCTTTAAAAAAATGCTTAAGAGAATGAAATGAATAAGAGATATTTGTATTGAACAGATGGAACAAGTGGTAATTTGTCGCACTGACACCTATTTTTCACAATTAATAATGTACACCCAACATAAAAAAATCGATGCATGATTATCAACTACTTGCTAATGATTAAAGCTTTGCTATAACAACACGTTCATATGTATTTTCATTGAATAGAAACACTATAACAAGTATAATGCTTATGCAAGGTAAATTAAATAACCAACACAAGAAGAAAAACGAAAGCACTACATGCAGATTAAAAGGGGAATTAAAAAAATTAGTTTTTCATTTTAAGTATTTGTTTTTCTTTTCACTTTGGTTGTTTCTTGTTTGTCACGATTTTTTATAATTTTTTATTTTCTGTGTATCATCTTGGCTCTTTCCATAATTTTAATTTTCCAAGAAATTTTTTTGAAAATTTTCAGAAAAATTAACAGATATGGTACATGCTATTGCAGCATAATTTTTGTTTGGAATGTTTTTTCAATTTCTGCCATTGTTTTTATGCCATATGCAGTTTAAAGAAAAATAAGAGTGTTAATGGAAAATAAATAAAAAAAACCAGAAAAATCGAATTCTCCTATTTTTTTCAAGTAAATCATGATTTTCCTCAACACTGTTGTTTGCCACCTTTTTTATAGAGTTTAACTAGAAAACGAGAAAAACCCCTGGATATTTATGGTTTCATTCTTTGCAGGTATGCCAAAAAGGTAGGCGCGACACATTTCGAAACGTCCGCTAAACAGAACACGGGGATCGAAGAGATGTTTCTTTCGTTGACCCAACAGATGTTAGACAGAGTATGCGAACAGGAACAGCAAAATAGCACACTAAATAGGCAGAACTCGCAGAGACGAAATGTTCTCGTTGTCGAAGATGATGAAGCCCCGCCTCTACCGACCAAACATTGTTGTGGAAACTCCTAAAGAACACTCGCGTGCGTGAAAAACTTATAATCATAACCAAATTGTGTTTTTTTGTTATTAATATATTGAAGGACGTATAGCACTTCTTTGTAAATGTATAACGTATACGTTACTCGCTTATTATTGTCATAACTATTAAATATAAATTATAATAATTGTTAAAAAATGTACAGGAGTGAAATTTCGTTTGTGTTACACACCAATATTCATTATTTAGTTTAAGACCCTTTTAATGATGCCATTGCAGTTTTCATTGCTTTGTTATAAGTTGATTTATCGAGGTTGGTTACGATTACATAATACAAAAATGTTACACGAATAAAGAATGTTCTCTAATTTATAAATATATTTTCTTCAATTATTTCCTTTTTATGACAATGGTGCCCAAATGAAATGTGCCTATATTTTGCTGTAATTATAATGTATTGTTAGATTTTTCGAGTCTGTCTGGACTCGCGACCGAATGGATAAAGAGTTCTAAATTAAAATAGAATATAACAGTATGCCTTTTGCACTGGACCTATAATCCAGTACACATCGTCATACATGTTACCATTGACACATCGGTAGAGAAAACAAAAGCTTGCAATGTAACGAACGCTAGAACCAATTGAACTAGGTACTACAACTCAAAGTAAGATGATTCAAAACGACGCACAACGGCGGTCTACCCCTCTACTTGCAGTGTTGCCAAGTGGAAGTAGATTTCTTAAAAGTGGTAGGCTGGTTGTTCCTTGTCCCGATATCTCAAGCACAGTACACGGTTTAGAAAAATCGGCGTAATCTGAAGAATCTATAGAGAATTAGGAGAATGTATCCTGAATTTGAAGGAAGAAATCTGGAAGGGAAGAAAAAAACGTTGAACCTGAGGAACCTTTTAGAGAAAATAAATACTGCAGAGACTGGGATTTGAAGAGGTGAAATTTAAAAACTTTAAACAATCGGAGAAATTGCAATAATCTGATCAGAAAAGGTACAATCTGAAAAACGTAAATCAGATGAATGCAAAAATAGTTAATTGCTGCAAACGTGACAAAAAACTCCGACAGGAATTTGGTTGGAACCTGTTTGACCATCCTCCGTACATCCCGGCCCTCGCTCCTAGCGACTTCTTAGTAAGAACCTGCAACCTTACTTTGATGGTCAACACTTAAACGATGATTACGATCTTTTACGAAGAAGCCATTCAAAAACTGTGCCACGTTATGACATGAGCCTACAAAATTCCGGAAGTTGTGTAGAAAAGGTACGTTTTTTTATAAAACCAAACGGAACTTACTTTGTGGACATACCTATCGTAGATTCTAGAAAATGGAGGACTTCGAAAAACCTGATTAACTAGAAGAATTGGACGATTTTCCGTAGAATCTGAAACTGAAAAAAGTCGGAGATCAGACGAATTTGAAAAGTCTAAAGAAATGGAGAATCCGAATTATCTGAAGAATCAGAAATATTGCCGACTAGTCTGAATAATTCGATGGGCGCGTATCAGGTAATGATCTCCTGAAACATCTGAAGGAAAAAAAATACCATTAACCTGAGGAATATAGGTATTTCAAAGAAAGTAAATACCGAATAATATAATTCAAAGAGATGAAAGAATCTGATTGGCCAGAATTTAGTCACAAGAAAGTGAAGAAAGCGCATAATATAGATCCAAATAAATAATTTGGGATATCTGCTGATGAAGTATCCAAAGAGTGGGCGAAGAATGAATGAAGGTATGTGTGTATTCGAAGAAATGAAATAATGCAAACAGTCTGCAGAATTTGATGAAGAGTGAAACATTCGAAGAAGAATCCAACAATCCCAAGAATCTAAATGTATGAAGAATAATTCAAATCGAATGAACGAATCTTACTTCATTTTTGTTAATATTCCTTTTAAACTGAAACATACAATATTTATTTATTGTATTCAGGAAGATTGGTTCATTGCCTATTCCTGATTATATTGCAACTTCGTCTTCACCCTATATATTGTAGGTCTGGAGCCGCACCTAGTCCGGATCTGTTGAATTTCGAAACAAATGAGCCGAGGATCTTGATCTAATCTCACAGCACACTCTGTAATAATTACAATAAATAATAAGTTCATGTTCATTTAAAAAGAGCGTTACATTGCCTAATAATAAGGATTCTACAATTATTTATCGCCATATAAGATCCCAATTTATTGCCGCCCAATTTTAAATTACCCGGCCATTCAGTTCCTTCCAGACGAGGTCAAAATAGCGTTTGCAACATCGAATCAAACCCATAAAATGCGGATAACAACAATTTTTTACACCGGTAAAATGAATAGTCCCCAAATTAACAATTAACCCATAAAATTTCGGGCGATTTCCTCGCAAATTAAGGGAATATTTGTTTTAAAACAGCCACTGCGGCGCGAGAGTATGCGCAAACGTTCAATTCGTGCACCAGCCGTCATCTGGTTTCTGTTGGTAAGTGCATTTCTCTCTACATTTTACCGAATTTCTCAAAAAATACGTAATTATTTTGGACGATTCGTCCTGTAAATTGGCTCGCGTCGTCGAAAGTCGAAGTGTGAGTGATTGTCACGCGAAGTTATCTCGTAGTTCATTTAGAAATGGACAAAATTGTGGTAGCGTCCATCGGCTCTTGAAGCCTCGCAGACCTTACACTAAAAGTGCATTATTCAGGTCAGGGTGTTTTCGAAAAATTTGAACGTTTCGGCATGTTATTTTTTGGTGACAGTTTGATATTTGAGGCTTCCCGTCGTGATTATTTCGCGGTCAGGTGTTGTGAAGGTGCCGATTTTCTCGCTATTCTTCATTTTGTTTTGCACGTCGACAATTCGTTTTAATATCACACGTGTGATTTGCCCTACATAGAATTACACGAATTTAATCCGAGTAGATGGTTTATGTAACTTCTACCCTTTTCACCTGTAGACTAAGAATTTTTTCTGAACTTGACACACTTTTCAAATTGAGCTTAGAAAGTAGATTCCCAAATGGTAGTTAATTTCCTCGTGAAATAGGTGCATCGTTTAAAATAATTTATGAATTTTAATATCTCGGCTATTTTCTTATCGTTTGTTGTGTTTAGTGATATTATCAAAATTGTTTGTATTTAATTATAAACTAGACTAATCAGCGATGGCATTATCTAATTGTTTTTTTATAACAGTTTTGTTTACAAATTGTGTGCAAAATGCACTTAGTACTTTGTGATAATCAGACTGTTCATTTGCGGTATTGGTCAAGGTATGTTGGGGCAGGACTTGCATAAATGATGATAAAAGTGGAGGTAGGTAGGTACGCCGATTCATGATGGCGGGTGTGGACGTGCCATCGATCGGGTCCCACAAACGCGTGTGGATGCTGTAGGTCATTGATCTCTTTAGTGTTCTCGCTTTTTATTCACACCCCCGCTTTTTTTAAAATCTCGTACCGGACAAAATCGCATCGAATTGCGAAAATGGAACGTGCCTAAACAGCAAAATAAATGAGTCACGTTAGTACTTAGCGGTCATTCAGTCGCAATGATTTATTGCTCGTTAAATTTATGGCAAATCACCTAAAATTAATTAATTCCGTACTTTAGATAAGGATACCCTTGGGACTCGTTTGCGATCATCCGTTAAAACAAACAAAAACAATTCAAGTATACGTCGACATTTGGGCACACGTTTTAAGTGCGTCCTGTATAGATAACTTTGAAAAACGTCTCCGAATAATGTACAATAAAAAACGATGGAGAAAATTCAATTTTTCTGTGCTCGCAGAAAAACCGAATTGATTTTGTTGCTCCAAAAATTACAAAAAAACGGAGAATATTTTGTTCTAAATTTTCACAAATTTTATTAAATTTAAAGTAGGTACACTCAACTTGGTTTGTGTTTCATGTCCTGGCCGGAATATTTGAATTTTTCTGACTTGTGAACTTTCATTGACGTACAGTTTTCGAAAAATTTCCCCAAAAATTGTCAATATGTAAACCTATATATTTTTTTGTTAAAAAGAAATGCAGAAAAATGTTTCAGACAAAAGATTCTTTGTAATGATTGTTGAATAATCTACAGTTTTAAAAATATATACGGGGTTAGGTAAATAAGTTATCGGACCTAACCTAATTTTTTTTAATAGAGCCTGTATATTTTAATCTAACTTACATCTAACATATTAACTTCTCGGGTGATAAAAAAGTTCAAAATTCGAATTTTAAAAAAATATGGAATTTTTAATATATCTTTTTAGATAAAATATACAGGGTGTTCTATTTTTAAAACAAAGGAGCTTAGGTTGCGATAACTTTTTTACTTGACCCCGTACACTTATGTTGATTGTTCAACAATCATTATAAAGAAATTTACAATAAACATTTTTCTGTATCTCTTTTAACTAAGATAATATAGGGTCGTTCTGAAATTTTTTGACTTTACCATTTTAAGTTTGACCCAAAACGAAGCACCTGCAATTACGGAGATAAAAGTGGCGAAACTGGGACACCTTGCACATTAAAAACACAATGGATGGCTTGTTTATTATATTTGTCATATTATCTGGTCGAAGGCATCTTCAGACTTATCTCCGTTTTTGTTTTGTTATTTTGTTAGGTGTTTTTAAATATTGTAATTAATTAAACAAGTATCGGCCGGAACTATTTCTAGCTCCCATCAGTGTCAATTGTTTTTCTAGTTTTTTAAATTTTTTTTTATTTTTTTAGTTTTTCAAATTTTTCATGAATTTAGTTGCGCAATTTAATTTAATTATCTTTCAACAATAAACGAACTAATTTGGTTTAAATCATAATCAGCCATGGAATTACTTTTCTATAAGAAATACATTGTAAACTTCGAGGGAAAAATGTAAGGTTGATTCCCAAATGAAATAAGTGTTTAGTATCACTGGTTTTGTAATTTTTTTTTCAAAAATATATAACACTAAACAAATTGTCGTAGATTTTTTTGATTATTTTTTAAATTTTTTCATATCTTGAATATTTTTAATTTTTTGAATCACTTGAATCTTTTTTGAATATCATTTTTGGGGTGTTATATTTTTGAAAAGAGAATTTATTTAATATATTCTATCTGTTTAGAATGTTACACTAAAAAAATGACGGTAGATTATTCAACAATCATTATAAAGAAACTTAAATAGGACAATTCTGAAATTGACAATTTTTTGATACCATTTTAAGTTGCACCCAAAAGGAGCGCAAGTCGAAAGGTTCGGAAATGGGAAACCCTGTACCGAAACAGTCTTAAACTTGATCAAGTATCACCAGTGGGGAAAGGGGGGGTTAAAAACATCACGTGATTAATGGACGGCCCCTTAGACACACTGAAATCTCTGACGTCTAGTCTTCGGGATTTTCAATTGTTATGGGATAATTTGGATTTGATATTCATTAGAATCAATGAAATCTTTTCGAATATCTGGAATCCTTAGAATATCTTTTGTATTTTTGATCGTTTGGAGTCTGTTGTATCATTGGAATCTTTGACTATTTTAGGATGTTTGATCTTTGGGATTTTTGAAATATTTGATCTCTGGAATATTTCTAACTGTTTTGAGTCTTTGGAATCTTCATTTCATATCCTTTTCTCCAATATCGACACTTCTATTCTACTAAAACCACACGTAGAGGTCACGACCTAATTAGATTGTCAAAATTACTTAATTAATTTAGTGCACCGTAAAAGAATTTCAAAGTTTCATCGAGACTGAGTAATTGAGGTTAACGATATTATGTAAATGCCAAGCCCCAATAAATGTCCAGGAGGCAGGAGTAACGAATTTTATTATCTGTCATGGCGCGAAAGAAGACTACAAGAATTTAAAGTAAACATCCAAACTGGTCTAACGACACCACCGGCGCGTGACCTCAAAAAACGCAGTTGTTTACATCGGAACGATTTTATTGCTCAACCTAAGGAATTTGTATTCCGCCAGCCTATAAGAATAATAATATACTCGATATTCTAAATTTAGCTACTAGTGAAACACTCGAGATTTCGCTTTTTATTGAAAACTGGATGCTCTTTGAAACGCGTTGGATGGGTTTGATAATAATAAGTTACTTATATACAGAGTGTCACGAATTGGTGCACGAAATAAATTTCGATTGGGCAGCAAGTATTCCGTAAAAGGCCAAAATATGTAAGTCAACAGCGCGGTACCTAACGGTTTTTGTTAAATTTCGGTAAAAAAATATACCTAATTAATTAAAAGTATGTACTTCTTTTGCAAGTCCACTTCGACGCTTGGTTTTTGAAAAGGCAAGGGATCGTGCCAATCAGTATCAAAATCCATATGACTATTCAGTTTTCGAACAAGATTTTGGCTCCATTCGGTACAGAGAATTAAATTAAATAAAGTTGATTTGTTATTGTACAATAAACGATTCTTTTTAGAAATTGTGTTAATTTATTTTTTTCTTTTCAGGTTACTAATCATAATTTCATCATGTTTTCGTTTCATCGTCCAAAAGTTTATAGATCATCAACAGGGTGCTGTATTTGTAAAGCAAAGTCTAGCAGGTGAGACCGATTGTAGTTTGTACAATGTAAAAGGTGGGTATATGGCATTTAAATGCGTTTCAACTTTTCGAAAGTTTAAATGTTTTCTACAATTGTAATAATAATAATAAATAAAAGTCGGGTGTTAGATGCCATCCATTCCACTCCCTCGTGGAGAGTGTTATAGGCTCATTTTAATTGTCTTACCAAAGTAGAACGTTGGAGTCGTCTTAGCACACTTGAGTTGCTCACATTGTATCTCCTGTCTCTTTACTTTTAGGGGATGAAGCTCAATAGTTCCACTCCTAGACCAGTTAGTCATACCTTGCAGAATTGATATTGTCCACATCTGCTATGTATGTCCATTCACAAGTACGCTTCCCATTCCAGATTTTCGAATGAAGATTATTGCACCCTTGTTTGTATTTGTAAAAGTACAGTACCATTTAATTTAAATTGTGTTTTAAATTTAAAACATTGTATTACGTAAAGTAAACAATAAATTTAATAACATTTATTTTAGCATGCACTATTACATTCTAAAGACAGTGTTTGATTTTTATTTTCCGTTCATGGTTATGCTAGAAGTTTTTCAATATTTGAACAAGCACAGAAACAAATGATGATCTTCTAAGAATTTATTAGCGTTACACCACCCCCTCCTTAGAGTTGTTGCATCTTGTAACACGCATATCATTTTTGATACACATGGTCCTTATTTGGATGCAATATAATTTACCTACCTGGCATCTCAAGAATTACTGGTAGCTCTTTCTTCTTAGAGACTTACCCTATGGTCTTAATTTTTCAAGTTCTGGTGTTTTGACATGCGATGTACACGATGATACATGCTATTACATTTGAGTTGTGCCAAAAAAGCTTGAGTGGTAGAGTGGCCCAAATCAAAATTTTTTCGAGGATTGCAAATGCTTCATTTGGGAGCTACCCTTAAAAAATACCCAAAATTACCAAGAAGAGATTGTGAAATTAGTGTCAGCATAACGCCGAAGAAGTTCAAGTCCCACTATGCTTCTTGTTCACAATCCAGTCCTAGTCGCAGTAAGTTTTCAATTTACTTTGACTACCAAGCCGGCCGGTGTGGCGCAGTACAGTTGAAGATGGACTGCGGTACTAAGGGTACCTGGTTCGGGCATGGATATTTATTTATTTATTTATTTATTTATTTAACCAGAAACCATACAGAATAAAAATTCCAATTACATGGTACTGGGGCTCTGAACAAATATTAGGACTAGGATCTAATTTTATTTATTATTGAATTTAGGGGATCGTGAAAAAAGTCGATATCATTAACTGAGGATAACTTATTTAAAGCGATCAAGATCTTAATAAGTGGGGAAGTTGTGTTGTTAACTACAAAAATAGTATTATTTTGCCTTAGCTTAACAAATGGTACCTTAAGCTTAATTTCTTGAAGTAATTCGGAAGAGTATAACAAGTTGTGTAAAATTTTGAAGACAAAAATTGTGGAGGCAATGTACCGTCGGGTTTCTAACCTCGTTATATCTAAGCCGAAAGTACTATTTAAGTAATTAAGCTGGGTACCGTAAGAGATCAAATGTGGATAATTTTGGGTTGACCTAAAAAACATTACTCGGATGAACTTTTTCTGCACTTTTTCGATCATGTCTGAGTATTTGAGAGTTTGAGGAGACCAGATACATGCAGCATACTCAAGCTTGGATCTAATAAACGCATTATATAAGGTTAGCATTGTCTGTATATTCGTGAAATTGAGTGTATGCCTGATAACGAAACCAAGAAGTTTGTAACACTCATTTGTTAGGTATTCAATGTGTAAGTTAAAGTTAAGGTTGGTATTGAAAAACACGCCCAGGTCCTTAACGGAGGTGACTCGTAGTAAGACCTTTCCATTCATCTTATAGTCAAAAAGTAAGGGATTTTTCGATCTAGTAAAAGTAAGGACTTTACACTTATTGATATTTAGTTTTAGTTTATTTTTGATACACCACTTAATTACTGAGTTAATGTCCTCTTGAATATTTAAACAGTCACTTGGGGATTGGACTTTATTAAAAAGTTTTAGGTCGTCCGCAAATAGTAGTGCTTTCGAGTTTTTTATCACTCGCGGTAAATCATTTATGTATAAGAGAAACAGAAAAGGACCAAGAAGTGTTCCCTGGGGAACGCCTGATGAGGGATAAAATTCGGCTGAATTCACACCATTGAATTTCACTCTTGTTTTACGGAGAGATAAATATGATTTTAAGAATTTGACGGTCGGATTACTTACGCAATTTAAAACAAGTTTACGGAGCAAGACTTGATGGGATACTGTATCAAATGCCTTCGCAAAATCTGTATAAACACAGTCAACCTGGGCTCTCTCATCCAAGGCTCCTGCTGAGAAATGCGTAAACTGCATTAAATTTGTAATCGTTGATCTGTTCCGCGTGAAACCGTGCTGTTGATCTGCAATTATACTGCTGAGATGGGAATAAAGTCTAGTATAGATCACTCTTTCGAAAATTTTCGCTATTGCTGGTATAATTGCAATTGGGCGATAATTCTCAACTAATTTTCGGCTTCCACTTTTGTGAATTGGTGTTATTCTGGTGCATTTCCAAGCTTCAGGGAATGTACATGTTTGCAAAGCTAAATTAAATAGATGTTGTAAGGGGGTTACCAATAAAGATGCACATCCTTTCACGATGTAGGGTGGGATTCCATCTTCGCCTATAGCCGGCCTCGGTTTCAATTTTTTAATTGCTTCCAGTATCTCGGATTCATGTAACTGAGTCAAGTGCAATTTGGATAGCACCAGGTCCGATTCCACGTCATCTTCCGGGTCATCCTTCCTCTCCATAGTGTAGACTGACTCGAAGAAGGATGCAAAGGCGTCCGCAATGCTTCTGGCGTCCGTTAACGAGGTGTCTTTGTACTCAAAAACTCCAGGTAGTTGACTATTCTTCCTCAAATTTGTAGAGCAGCCTTGGTGAACTCCGCCCACTCAAAAATAAAGGCAAAAATAAATAAATAAATTTTAATTTTTTTACTACGCCACAAGAATTGTTTTTTTATTTTCTCCGTATGGGCACCACCAGGACGCAAAATCTAAAAAAATGATTTTAGATTGTTTCTTTGATTCTCAAGCAAAAGGTATTGAGGAACAACAACTTTTCAATAATGAACATTTTCTCACACACCGTACATATAATTTGTTACCTGAAGATGATTAACAATCGAAACATGTCGTAACATTTCACAATATATCTGTCTGTCAACAATTAAATATCCATGGGGAAGGTTTTGAGGAATTGAGTCGTTTATTTCATTCATTGTTCATCGCCCCATTTTGAGCATGGATCAACCACAAGTTTTTTCTGAAAACAAAACAAGTCAAATATTTCTTTCACTACAGATAGATGGACCACAAAACACCTGTCCAGCTAGCTCAATACAAATCAAAATTGAACCTTAAATTTTATAATCCTAAAAATCCTATATTGACTTAAAACCTGAAATAAATCTTGAACTCGAAAAGAAACAAGTTGTAATAAATCAGCATATGCATGATTAAAGCGCATTTTTGGTAATACAGGTCAGTTTTTATTAGCGAAGTTTAAAATTATCGATCTCATGAGTAATTTAGGCTGCGTTAAAAAATTAATTATATTTCATTTCAATTGAGGGTACGTCTTTATTTTGTAAAACAAATCACAAAGTAAATAATTAAGTTTTTATACTGGTAGCGCTATCTAACGGAAAAATTATAGCACCTCCGAAAACATTTTTTTCAAAAATGCGCTAATAATAATCTAAAATGAAAAACTATCCAGGTCGACAAACAAATAAATCAAAAAATCTTATATACAGTTTAAATCTAAATAACCTGGCCGTAAAAGGTTTGCGATATGCAGGCGCACTTATCAAAAATACTCCCCGACAGCTTCAGGAAACTTCACTTTTTTATTCAACTGGATCTTGATATATAAGATGAGAAATTGTCCGTAACTTCTCGTCAGGTAGAAACTTTTAATGAAACACAAACCGTTTAGAAAGGTTTCGCTAAGAAAAAAAAAACTAGGGCTGACTGCCCAAGATTTAGCGTAAACAGATGAACACCCTTTTTAATCGTCCCGCCAATCACAATTAGACTTGATAACGCCAGCTGCGAAGGAACGCTATTTACGCCGAAAATAACACGCACTCGCACTGATAGAACTTCCTATCGCAAACGACCAGATCTATCTTACTTTAAGCATCTTATCTAAATTGTATAAATTACAAAAGTGATAAAATATTACGCAATTACAAACAATTCTAAAAAAACCAAGATACAAATTCAAATACAATAAACCAACTTTGTGCTTATTCGTAGATAATCCCCCACTTAATTAATTATAGGCTCCCAAAGTATTATTAAAATGGCTTTACGTAGCATGTGCACGCCAGACATAAGACACAAAGTCCAATTTGAAGGGCGGCCGCCATCTTGAATCTTTTTTAATGACAACATGGCGACATTGGAAAGCGTGTTGTTTTCTCTTCCTAGGGATGTAAACATTTAATCTTTTTTTTTTTATTAAAGAAAAAAATATTTATTATCTGGAGGATTTTAAAGGTACTTTGTTATGTATATTTCGGAATGAAAAAGAAATTTAAATGGCCCATGTTGTCGAGTTAAAAACGGCGCGCCACCCTCAACATTCGGGTCATGAAATTTCTTATTCATTCCAAAACATGATGGGTATTAGTTTTGTGAGAATCTAAGAATGTTACCAACAGTGTAAGTCAATCAAAAGTAACTAAACTATCTCTATTACTACACACTAGGGCGATAGCTACTTTTTCGCTCCTTGCGGCGACAATGCTTCAAAGAAGGTTGGGAATCTATGGTCTAATTGAGTAAGTACCAGGAGAGCATAATATTCAAAGGAGATTTCACAACCATAAAATTATTCTTAAATGATTTGGTATTATTTTTAACTTGATCAGTGGTTTATAAATAATTTTGGTTTGCCACCAAGTACCTACAAGATGTGTTGTTTGTACTCTTTTAATTCGCCACCCTGTAGATGGGAACTGAAATTGTAATTTAATTTTTCAAACTGAAGTGTATAAAATTTGAATGGTAATTTTTTTTTCAGCTCGCGATTTACCGATAGCAAAAAATACGAAGACGACTTCTTGGAGTGCTTCCAACTGTCAACTCCACGTCAAGGCGAAATATGTAATGCGTGCGTGCTGCTTGTGAAACGGTGGAAGAAGCTTCCAGCCGGTTCTGACCGTAATTGGAGACATGTAAGAATTTGATTTAAAAATTTTTCCCAATCTAGTCGCCTTGGAAACAATCACTAACAAGAAAAATAAATTATTTGCTTCTAAACAAACATTGACGCTTCTCTCAATTTCTGTTGCTAAAAAGTAGATGTTAAATCAATCAAAAATGTACTTGTGGTATTCCAAACAGGTCGTCGACGCAAGAGCCGGTCCAGGTATAAAATCAATGACGAAAGTCAAAAGTAAGAACAAAAGACTTGTAGACAATAACGGCGAGAAGAATGTCAAGAAGAAAAAACACTTCGAGCGCGAGTATAGTCCCGCGCTCTCGGAGAAGAGCGACGGATCTCCCGATATCGAAATGGCCGACGTGGAATTTTTCGCCGAAAACGTTCCGAGTAGGTTGTCGAGCGGTGCTGCTAGTCCGGCGGCTAGCGATTGCGAAGATAATTTCGGTCATAGCCGACGCCACAAGTCCCTAGCTAAACGAAGAGAGAACACGCATGAAGTTAGTGGGTTCATCGATTTAGATTATTGGAAACAGTAAGTCTAATTTTTTTTTTTTTTACATTTTGGTTATTGTTAGTTTGGATTTCAACTAAAGGCAATTTGCTGCAAAAGTAAGTTTTTTGCAAACCAAAGAGGATCGCATTAGGATTTTTCCCTTTCTCTTCTACTCTTTTGTAAGTTCTACTTTTTGGTGTGGTCCATAATACTAAAAAAACCAAAGCATCTTTTTCGACGGAAGGGCACTTGGATCAGGCTTCAGGTTGGCCCAACTCATGAACTTATAAATTAAGATGGACTGCTAATAAGCAAGCATTAACCTCACGTTTTCTAAATAAATTACACATGTCATTTTCCAAGGCTGCAATAGTCTCAAAACTTGAGGACTAGGAAAATTCCCCTAGAAAATAACTAAAATGTGCACATGGCGGCGCCCATGCTAGGGCCATTTTAAAGTCACTAGATACAGAAAGTACCGCAATCATCCGCCATTTTTGGGCAAATTTGTTGCCAACTTAAAAAAATTGACAAATAAAATCTGAATAGTAATTTTTTATAACCTAACTTCATAGTACTGTCATGTTTTATAAAAATATATACAGATATCTCCAAACAGGTGGACCAATCCCTAACATTAAAGTTACTAGAATCTGGTAACTTCCGCCATTTTTGGGCAAAAATCGTGCGTTCTCTCTAACACCATTTCTACTCTAGTTTCTACCTCTATACAACTGTCTTGATCAACAGTCCATCTTAATTTAGTTCGTGGCCCAACTCTTCTTGTCTTTGGTATTTAGTACAAAACGTCCAATAGCAGAAGAACTGAAATCTATTGTTCCAGCTTTGGTTATAATAGATTGAGGAAGTTTTGTTTGGGAGTTGCGTCTCGATAAGTTCTCAAATTTGCGTTTCAGTTTTAATTTTTTCTTTTTGCAAAATTCGTATTGCAAGATCTGCAATTTGGTATCTGGAGGTTTTGAACATAGCAATAAATTTGACCTTATCTTAGTTTTAGAAAATATTGGAAAAAGCTGCCAATTTTAAAAAAATATCTTGACATTGAATTATGAACTAATGATGATCTTTCAAGCGAACGGTAAAATAAACTTATTTATTCTTTTATTTTTTTATTTTTTTTTGTGTTCTTTATTTTTACTTTGATGCATGTACAGGGTGTCCCATTAATAATGGTCACAGGCTATATCTATGGAACCGTTAATTGCACAGCTTCGGGAAAAAAATGTTGTTAACAAAAGGGGCCAAGAGAAATCGCTGGAAATTATTTTGAAGTTTCTAGCTTCGCCGCTACAGGGCGTACGATTCATGGTTAAGTAGAAAAATGTCTTTTTTTCTAAAATATACCCAACAAACATGCATAGCAATCTTGTATCACTTTTGCAGCACATATTGCTCTAGTTCATAAAATATGAGTGGTGTGGGAAGGGAAACATCTCTTTAAGAAAGTGAATGTAACTTCGGATTAGGTTAACAGATTTTCACATAATAGGTCTTGTTGGAAAGAGCTCTCTTCGTGGAAACAGATTTTACATGAATAGTCTTTTTAGTAAATGTGATAGGTGGTAGAGGGCGCGATGTGAGATTAACAAACTTTTTTTGAAAATTTCAAATGGAACGTATAATTATTATATGATATTATCAAATAAGATAAAAAAGTGAGAATATCAGTGAATATCTGTTTTCTAAGCAGTGATATGGCGAAAATACAAACATTCACAAATTTTAATTGCAATATTGATGCTCATTCAAGTTGGATTTGAAACAAATGAACACATATCAACCGATAATTATGTCAAAGTGAATGAGGCGATGGCAACGATTTCTCTTGGCCCCTTTTTTTTTCCCGGAGCTGTGCAATAACGGTTCCATAGATATGATCTGTGACCATTATTAATGGGACACCCTGTACAGGACTAATAGGTAAAGATTTACTGTTTGAGAATTCAACATGAATTTGTGCAAAAATGTCAATAGTGTCATAGTGTTCCTGTTTTTACCCATGTACAGGGTGGTTCAAATTGGATACTTTTTTATGGGAACGCCCTCTATTTTATGAGATAGAAAAAAATGAACCCAAGTGTCTGGAGCTCAATTTTAAAGAGAAAATCACTAGCGCAAATAGAATTCAGCTATCTTTAAGGCTAGGCGCAAATTGGGACAGGTATAGCACGTGTGAGGTGACGTAACAAGAGACACGATGCCTATATGTGATGAGCCGTTTTTCTCTACTCGCAACCGCCATATTGGAAAATGTCTGATACACGAACAAAACAATTGCTATTATTAACATTAAGTTCTGAAACAGAATCAGGTCATACATTTTATCAGAGGGCAACATTCTCTTTTGCCATTTATCATTTAAAAAAGCGCTAAAAATTAATCATCAGAATATGTGGGTATCTAAACAAATATCAATTCTGATTAACACCTCTATATTGACATTAATATCAAATTCTCACTGAAATTTTTTTGAAATCACTGGAATTCTTTGGAAGTCGATTGAATTTTTTGGATTTCGATAGAATTATCTTGCAATTTTGGAAATCTGATAGGGATTTTTTTGGAATTCTGGAAATCTTTTACACTTATGGAATTCTGGTGTAATATACCGGGTCAGAATTTCTTTAAAAAAATTCACTGATTTCGCAATCCTTGCAACCATCGGAGGCATTGGAAATAATAACCGTACAATGCCATATGTAAAACACAAATAACCGTTATTCATACGGCATCACTCGCTCGCAAGCTTGCTCGTGTCGTAACATGCGTGTAATACCATCACGGGCGATGTGCGATAAATTTAGATTCGAATTAACAAAACCCTTGCGCACTGTTAAGTAAGTACAATATCGACAGTATCCGCGACTTTTCCTGAATCTACCGATTGCAGTCAAGTACGGGACAATCATCACTTGATGCGACACCAATTGTCTTCTTTTCTGCTCGACTAACCAGTAACTTTAAACCCATACAAAACATAAGCATTTCCAATGCTAAAAATCTTCTCATCTCTGGTCATAAATGGTTTTTTATTGGCGTTCATAGTTATGACGATAAGAACAATATTAATAGTAACAAAATTAATAACCCCAATAACAGAAACTAATAAGAATAATAACAACTTTAGGAACAAGGAAGACTAACAAAAACTATGAGATTTGCGAAAACGTCAGAAATAAGTTTAAATTAAATATCTGTTTATGCTGAAGTTAGCGTTTCCAGAGCGGTTTGTTTGTTACTTGGTAAAATTTCCACTACAAATCGTTCCCCTAACAATATTTTTGACAGATTCCATACTAAAACCCCACTCAAATTAGTCACTCATTACAGATGTTATCTGAATACCAAAAGTGAGAATGAGCAGGATTCGCACTAACTTGAGTTAGAAATGAGTGACTAACTAGTTGAGTGTGAGTTTGAAATTAGGAAGGACTCTGAATTCGGCTCTAAATCTTTAATAATAAGAAAGTTGTAGGGATTAAGGAAATTGAATAAATTCGAGAAACGCCCCCTAGCGGGCAAACGATTACAGATAGTTGAATTCTGTGTGCGTCAGTGATTTGCAATAATGGAATTCTATTTGAAGTCCTAATGTTTTGGTAGTTGTGAGAAATGTAACACCACCATAGCTATACAGGGTGTTCGAGATCGAGTGAGATTGCTTGTATTTCACTTGGTAAACACATGGGCGAAGGTTGGCATTATGTGGAATCTTGGATTATTTAGTTTTCTCTTGAAAGTCACTCAGAAAAAAGGAACCACGAAATTGCTCTTTAATACAGGTTGTCCTATTCAAGACAGGTGGAGAAGCAAGCAAACATTTCATCTTTTCCCCAACAAAAATGATATCGATTTTAATATTGCCGCTCAAAAAGGTATGAGGGTTTTTTGTTTGAAAAAATCCAAAAAAAATTTCAAAAAAGAGACAGTATTGGTGTTATTAGCCAAGTTTTTGTGCGTTATTTAAAACTCAACCATGGTGGTACTAAACACTCCCTATGACTTGAACTGTGAAAGTGCACAAAATTAACCCACATTTTTCTTCCAGAGAGAGCGTGTGCTGTGGAATAGTATTTCGTGGTCCGAATAACGAATTGCTAGTCGACGCGAGATTTTTAAAACCGTGCAACGCGCGCCTGGCCAGTATGAAGCAGCACGGTTACAATTCCGTCAAGGCGACGGGCGTGATTGCGGACACGTCGTCGATACCGAAGAACTATAGCGACAATAGTTCGGATTCCGGATACGACGAGTGCTCGAATCCGGGCGCCGTAGATAATAATAATGCCTTTAAGAAAGCGGCGCCGCATCTAGAGGACGAACTGCGGGATTGTAACGGTAATTAATAATACGCTCTCTGTAGATTGTTTTAATTTATTGATGCTGTTAACTAATGCATAAGTTTTTTAAATTGTATTATGCATTTCTTGCAATGCAGATCGTCGAAATGAATAGTTTATTTGAAATCATTTATATTTTAGTTGTTGAATCGTGCATCGTAAATTAATTAATATATTTTGCAATTGATAAATCATTTATTTATAGTTGACGTAGTTAAGAAGTTATATGGATATATTTATTATACTGCACACGCTGAGGTTGTGCAAAGAGATTATTTATAATGTATTGTAAGAAATACATAATTTGTCTTGCCGACAGTACAAACAATAAGATGTCATCATTTGACTGCATTTTATAGTAGGTAGGATTTTAGGATTATTTTGAATTCCGAATTTCATCTTCAAAATTTTGTTGTTGGTGTGGGTCCAACTTGTTCAATTTTAAACATAGACACCAGTAAATTTTTCGATAAAAACATTCTAAATTTAATGAGCACATGCTTAAGAGTGCGAACAAATCAAAGAAATTGCCTTCAAACGTAAACATTTAAAGGATCGATGCCTTTTTTCATTTGGAAAATATAAATACGTATTTTCAAGTTTTTCTAAAATATTTATCAAGAGCAATATAACGAATATAACAAATGCTATTCTAAAATACATCATATCAAAATCATGGTGTCTTCTGTGTTACTGCCAAACTAATTAAGTGAAAAAAATAAAAGAAACTAACATACCAAGTGTTCCTCTTATAAAACACAATGTATTTTCCATAAAATTCAATTTATTTTTAAATATTTATTTCTTTACGTATTTGTAAATGGCAGCAATATATTTTTTAGTGATTGGTTTAATTTAAGAATTACATTTTGTCGTTCTTGCTTTGTGATTACATAGTTTTAACAAAATTGAGCAGGAGCACAAAATGTTTATTGACTGGATCACTAGTCGTTATTTTTTAACATGTAAGCAATGAAAGGAATCACTAGTTTTAATTTCATTTTTTATGCTACGGTGACGGGGTTGGTGTTCGGGAAGTTCTCTTTCTCAAATTTCTCGAGATTTTATTTATTAGGACAGTAAATTTAAAAATTCAAAAAAATACAATTATTTTTAAGGGAAGAGATTAAAAATATACCTATATTTAAAAAAAAACCAGATATATAGCAAAAACCATCAAAATGGGTAAGTAATTGAATATTTTGCTTGTTTCGTTTTTACAATTTTTGGTGTACCAATGCTAACTGATCTACACCTCATTGTTGTAAATTTATAAGCAGTACATATTAATAGCTGCAAATTTCACAGACATCTTTGATCACCATGAAATGGTTTTTATGGTGTTTTTAAGTGGACCATTAGAAGTATCTCGGGAACTGTTTGGAATTTCAATTCGGAACCCATTACCTTTTTTGAATTGAAAACAAAAGAGATAAAGAGTCCCGAATCGAAATTCCAAACCGTTTCTGATATACTTCTAATGGTCCACTTAAAAACACCACCCTGTACAGTGAGCAACTAAAATGTGGAAGAAATTCATTTAAAAATCATTCTACGCATAATAAAAATAATTTTAAAAAATACGATTCCATTTAAAAAAATTAAATAACGATATCAAAATCTACTTTTTGACACACCCTATATATTTTCTCTGTAGTGCAAAAAATGCACAACAAAAATTAGGTGCGCGAGTATTTTTTTAAAACCCAACACCTGATTGTTAAACGAATGTGTTACATATTTTTTTCACTACTAGCGTCTGATGACATGATTATTAACCTTTTTTCCACTTGTAAAGTAGGCTTTCTCGGCATTTGTTCAAAGTGGCGTCTGATGACATGATTATTAAACTTGTAAAGTAACATTATTAACTAGTAGTCAATAATGAGCTGTCACTTTTAGAAAACACAACCCGAAATTTCGCTCAATGAACGTTTAGACAAGTTCTCTAAAACGAATAATTGCCACCATTCGCAATTTCCAGAGAAATTACATACCTAAAATTATCACATTTTGAAAAAATTCGAACGAAATTACTCTTTGAAAAATCTCAATGACAGAACAAAATACGGCCTGTTTGACTTGTACTTCACGTACTTGATTGACATGTTAAATTAAGAAACAAACAATTCTGTCCAACCGTTAACTCTCTTATCAATATAATATGTTAATTTAGAGGATTTCAAGTGCTAGTAGTGAAAAAAATAGTATATATACCACGGTAGAGAAGTCTATTATTGCCTTCGCACCTTACACCCCTCGGCGCAAGCGCCTCGAGATGTAATCTTGGTGCTCAGGCAATAATAGTGGACTTCTCTACCTTGATATATAATGTACTATTATCTGCTCACTGTATACATAGATATAGCCTTTCATTTACTTTCAGCAAGGAGCATCTGTGCCAACATATCTAACACAGATAGCGATATATTTTGCACAATAACACACAAGACTACCAAGAATTTAAAATTGTGTCCAGTGTGACTATGGAACAAATCATATATCTAATTATAAAACACATTTATTAACATACAAGATCACTAAGGATTTAAAGTGTGCCCAGTGCAATTCTGCAACTATAGTTATAATTCTAAATTTCAAAAAGCATCTGTTAATGCACAAGAATTCCAAGGTTGTAAAATGTGCACTGTTTGATTTTACAACCAATTGTACACCCGGTTTCAAAACCCACTTGTTGCAGCAGAAAGCTTACATAGATATAAACGAGACATAAATGTGGTAAATGTGGGAATTTTAAAAATCATTGATTGACACCAGTGGGTAACGTTGCGACGTTACCGTTCATTATTTAGAGACAATTATTAAATTTAATTTACTAAAATTAGAAGACCAAAACCGAGTTTGGAAATGTCGAAAATCAATAAAGGAAGTCGGGATTATAAACGATCGTTTAAAATAGACATGTATGAAAAATCTGACTGGTTATGCGGTTGTAACTTTAACATAGTCTGTATGGTTTTCCGTGTTTGTTGTTTGGTGATGAGGCATCAGAATCGACAAAGAATGGCGTTACAAACTTAGTGCATTTATCCGAAAAAATAAAAGATATCAATCGTCAAAGGCACATCTGCTAAACTGAGATTTAATTTATTAGGTAAGCAAGATATACAGCAACAGTTAAATAGTGCATATCGTTTGAGTATCGAAAAACGTAATGAGGAAGTAAAAAAGAACAGGTGTGTTTTATCCAAAATTATAGACCGTATAAAATTTTGTGGTGCTTTTGAACTTGCTCTCAGCAGCTATGACAAACGAGAAAATTCAATAAACCCTGGAGTATTTAGAGGTCTCATCAATAAGCTTTTTTATGCCATTTAATAGGCCCAAAAAATTTCGTGTCGCGGTGACACTCAAAAAATTTTCGTTTTGCTCGTGACCCCCTATTTTTCTCCTTTTTTTTAATGGTGCACCCCCAAGACACACCACTACGCGCCGCACATAACACACATAAGACTTCCAAGGATTTAAAATTCACCCATTGTTTTTTTGCAATTCAGGTTTGTATAGGTACGTTAGAAAATATCAAGCCTTATAATTCAGTGTACATGTCCCATTTTTATAGAGTTATCTCTGTCATTGTTACTGCGATAACAAAATAAGTAATATAGTCACATGCTCTGGGGTCCAACTTCAAATGGTAAAATCAAAATCTACAAGTTTTCACTTACGATTGTTGACCGGTTTTAGAATAAATATACAGAGTCAGGTAAAAAAGTTATTAAACCTAACCTTATTTTTTTTTAAATGGACCACTGTATTTTAATCTTAAAAGATAGTAAACGAAATTCTCGACAAAAATAGTAACAAAACATTTATAAGATTTTAAAAATCTGGATTTTTTAATCACTAGAATCTTTTTTTATTAAATTATACAGGGTGTTCCATTTCAAAAATGAGGTTAGGTCCATACAATTTTCACCAGACCCTGTGTACTTTTCATTTAGATTTTTATTGAGGAGCCGTAAGATTTCATGTCAGTTTTTATTTTATAAACATAAATTATTAAATAAATAATAATAATAATAATTAAAGTTAAATATGGCGAGGCGACCATTATGAGTGGTAAGACAAATGGTGTTCTAGCTATTGTCAAAGGAACAATTTCCACATTTAATTTAACAATTGAACGAGCGGCACAGTGCAAAAAAAAGTTAACATTTTCTTTACAAATTTGCAATTATTATTATTATTATTATTAACTTTGAAACCTACATAAAGATTGTGTTCTTGCTTAGACTATGAAAGAAAGGGGACTGATAATATCCTGCGCATTGAAACCTGGGGCGGCCATATTTTCGGAGCCAAACTTTGTTTAATTTTTAAAATTTTTTAAAACGCACGAAAGTATATCGTTTCACAGGTTATAGGTTAGTTTTCAGTGAAATAACAAACAAATGTGGGCTTCACTTTACGGTCATTATTATCACTCTTCACTCTTTCCTTCTCTAAGGTGTTCTTAAGCGTTTAATTTTTATTTTAGCAAAAAAAAGCACATACTCAAAAAACTAGCCAGTTAGTTCCCTTATATTCAAAAACAAATTATGGCAATGTTGAGGCAGTGCCTAAACGAAACCTTTAGGACCCTCAGTTTATGTGATTTTTTATCCTCATTATCACCCAATTTTTGCCACACTATATTTACGTTCTATATAAATTCACGTACAAACTACCATAGATACATATGAAATACTATTAATACTAAAGTGGATATACCAGAGTTGTAAAAGTTAACATGGATTAAGTGGTAGAGCAGGACCTGAGAAATCATTGCTATCAGGTAACTAATTGTTGCTTTTTTTTATTTTTAAATTTATGCTTAATAGACGCTCGTTTGAACAATGAGCACTTCTGGAACACCTTCGTCTAGTTTAAGAAATGTCACTATAGCATCGAAAATAATTTTCTTTGGGACCTTTCCATTATAGCGTCTCGTTGATTTTGACTTTTATTTCTTCCAGAAATTTAATTTCTCTCGTTACGCTTGTATGGTATATGCCGATCTCACAGTTAAGACATATGCATTTTATTATTTAAAGGACGACCGTTGTTGTATTTATGTAATGTTCGAAATTGATTTGACCGATTCCATTTCATTGTTCGTAAACCTACCGTTCCGATTAGTTTATAAACTACTGATAGTTACGGTACTACTGTAGTCCATTGGGTGCTATTGTAAATTGTTTGTAAGGCCACGATGTGCGCAACTCGCGTCTCGTCGCTTTACAAGGCTAGGAAACAACCTTTTGGAATCGAAACTAACTGCATACTTTTATATTTTACAAAGAGAAAAGGGTTTAAACCTAAGTACAAGAATTTTTACTTCGACTAGAATATAAAACGTATACAGTGGGTATTTTTATAAATTTAATTAATGAGAAGTATAGATTAAAGAAATTTGTTTAGATTTTATATTGTAGAGAGAACTAGCTAGCCAATACTGCTGTAATTGTTCTTATTTTGGCTAAATCAGTTGATTAATGTTGTCTAAAGAGGCATTATTAGTAATTATAAAAACAGTAAATTATTCGTTAGTACTAAAACTTGTTTATATGATACCTTAATTGAAACGTGGCACCTCTGTTTATTACCAATTAGTAAAGTAACGTCAACTCTTCAAAAGCTCTATAATCCACTTTTCAAATTATTGCACTTTTAAATTCGTGTGAATTAGTGAATGAATGACAACCTTTAATCACAGAACTTATCAGTATTACGATTAGGCACAATTAGCACTGATTTTAATGTGCCTCTGAAAATTGCACAGTTCACTCTTTGGCACAATGCTACGAAACAAGCACAAGTTTTTTTATATTAAATTAATGCAGTCTTCTAACTGTGTTTGTAATACTCGACTACAACCACTCTAACGAGTACTAGCATCGAATTATTCGACAATATTATCCGCTAGCAATTCTGTTCTTCTAACGATCTCTAGTAACTCAAACCGGACGGTGTGCTTTTACAATTTTATAGTCAATTAAACGTGCAATAACTACACAACTACCTTAAGTTTAAGTTCAATTTTCTATGATGTAGTTAGTGTTGTTTAAAAGAGCTTTTAAGAGTATTCATTGGGGTATCGAAAAATATAGGTGCATTTAAGTTGTTGTTAATAATGCCAAATTGTTATTAATGCAATAATATTAACAGCAATTGTTAATTGAAGTCACCTTATTTAGAAACCAAGTTTCTAACTGACTTGTGAAGTCACAACTTAATTGTATTTATTGTAGGATGAGGCAGCCATTTGTACTCCCCTTTTTTTCCTTCCTTTCACATTGACTTTTGACCACTTTATTATTGACTGCCTTTATTATTTAGATTATAGTTGTAAGTTTAGTCAGTGATTTGTGTATATTTTGAGTGAAGATTTTGTGTGAGAGATTATTATTACTGTATCATGTATCAATAAATAAAACTATTCGGTTCATTAACTCTGTGTTTTACTATACGCAAAATATATCATCCACTTAGAATTAGCACAGACAACGGAATTAGGAAGATTCATGCTATGACTGGATGATACCAAGCAGCTATTCTTCGCTGTTATTATATGGTAAGTTCTATGATAAAGACCAACCTGAAGGAACTTCAATAAACCCTTTACTTTTGCTCGTCTGAGAAGATAAAATGCAAAGCAAGAATGAAAAGAATTACAGTTGAATTCATGAAAGGTGAGACAAGAAGTGCAGACCTGGTTGGGGAGAAGCGGGGCTAAATCAAGCTTTTATATTTTTAAAGATACGAATTTATTTATTTTTTTTCAAAAAATGTTCTTGAGGCAATTTTTTGTTACTAATAAATTTAATATTTCACGAGCAGAAAAATAAGTATTTACATGTTCGGTCGTCGATGAAATAACGTGGGCAATTTGGCATCCACAACTTGAAAGATTCGATATAAGAATGTTGAATGACCCTGTACATATTTCTCTTCATGATCATGGCGATATTTGATTGGCTGTTGGTATTCACTGATCTGTGGTTGGCAGCAACTGTTTAACCTCCATCTTTGTACTGCGCATAACGCGTCCGAAAAGTTTGAATTTAAATTAAAATTCGGCTGGGATTAATTTAAAAAAAATGGAGGAACCTTCATCCTTACAAGCAGCAGGAGGCGAAGGCCAGGGGGAGAACATCGACTTGATTAAAGTGGAAGTTACAAATATTGATAAAGCCCTGGTAAGCAATTTTTTCTGCCACTTAAATCCAGGCAATGATTTGTGAACTTTTAGCACAAAACTCAAGAAACCATTAAAGGGCTCTTGAAAACTGTCGATGACAAATTTCAATTTATTTATGACAACGAAAATCTACAAGGAAGTTTGCAAGAACAGGTTGGTCAATTTAGGAGTCGCCTTGTAGTAGAATGTCAGGTAAGAGACGGACTGATTGAGCATATTTCTGCAACACGAAAAATGTCGGACGACATATCCAAATTTGCAAAACTCAACGATGGCATACTGCAGTCTATGGATGAAATGATTCAAGAAGTAGGGGGGGAGTTATCGCAACAAAAAAGAATTGCAACCAACAATCTTAACGACCTTAGGTCTTACATTGAAAAACTAGATTTGCAAATTGCCGAAACAAATAATGATTTAATTCAACAACGTAAAACAAACGATGAAATTCTTGCTAAGGAAGATGAGAAAATCGAATCTTTAAAGAAATTATATGTCGGTAATGAACTAGAGGTTGCAATATCTAAAGAGATAATGCAACAATGGATCGCTAAACAGCAGGATATTGCAAATGACATAAAAAATAAGCAACACGAACTAAGTTTGGTAAAAAGAGATATATCAAGTAAGGAAGCTGAGCAAGAAGAGCTTCGAAAGTTACACGAAAGGAAACAAGAAGAGTTTGATCTGACTACCGAACGACTAGAAACTAGTTTAAGTGAAATTAACAAAAGGTAAGTTACCTTATACATTTTCAACTGCTAATTTAATAACGTACTCTTTACACAGTATTTTAAACATTGAAGGCAAGTTACATGCTTGCGACCAATCTAGTGAGTATCAGACAGGGTGCATAACAAGATTATTGAAAGAAATTGAAATAAAAAAGAATTACAACTCCAAACTCGTGGAGGATACTGCAGAGATTTCTCAAAGCGCAGATGACGATATCTCCAATTGGAATAAAGCAAAATTCGAGGCGGAAGCCAAAATTAATACGGAGTCTGCGGAAATCGAGAAGTTAGAAGTTCTACTTCAACAAGAAGACCAAATAATTAAGGATATCGATGAGCGTATACTTAACAAAACTAAAGAACACGATGAGCTTGATCAAGCAATCAAAGAAATGCAATTGAAGATGGCACAAAGAGAGTCTGCAAGAGAAACCCTTATGGAATTCATAAAAAATAAAGAAGACCAAATTCGCACCCTTTCTAAGCAATGCGAAGATTTAAGCGATGAATATCAGGAATTCGAATCTTCTTCAACAACGATGAAGCGAGAAGCAGAAGAGGAACTAACAAACCTGAACATTGAATTAAATCGTATCAAAGCCGACACCGAAAAGATAACCCTCGCAGAACAAGAACAACAAAAGGCAACGCTGCAAGAGATATCTGCACTGGAATTAGAATACGACAAAAAAACCTTCCAACAAACTAAAGACTTCGAAGAGTCAGTTAAGTTGTTAAAAAGCGAGTTGGTATCAGTGGAGAACGAATTAAAAGAGATACGTTTGGAAAAAGCTAAAAAGCAGAACGAATTACTTATGCTAGACCAGGCGTGCCAGCACGTTCAGATTAGAATCAAGCGAACGGAAAAGATGAAGCAACTTGTATCGACCATTCCATCTTCGGGAAAAACGCAGTCAACACCACCACCCATGAAAAGGCCATCGGACTTACCCGTGCATATGCAAAAAAGACTGGCAGTAGATCAACTCAGCGATAGCAGTACAGATGCTGGGTCCAAAATCACAGCGGCGGAAGCTCGAAAAATTATCGAGCGAAGGGAACAAAGACGCCTGGTAAGGTATGCATTTCTGTAACAAATTCTCCAGCGTTTGTTTCAGTTGAGACAAAAACGGCGAGAAGAAAAGGAAAATAAAACAAGAAAAGAGGAAAAGTCTAAATAGATTTTGTACAGTATTGCAGAGAATTCTTATTTATTTGTGTGTCAGTTGTGTTTTTATTGATAATTAAAAGTTTATTTTCAAGTATACTTTATGATTTATTAATATATTTTTTTGACATTTTACCCACAGATGTTTCCAGTAAAGACAAACATATTGCAAAAATCTGATGTGGCGCATGCGCCGATTACGCTATGTCAACTCTTTTTTATGGAGACATTTCTTTGAAATTTTGACCATAGATGCTTCTAGCAAAGAAAAACATAGCGCCTATATGAGTGGTTCAACTATCTCCGTGGAGTAGGTGCCAAATACAATCTTATATTCTTCGCTGTATCTGTTGCCTTCTCGTGTCGTGCAGATTGCAAAACTTAGCATCTTAGCAATCCGAGAATTAAGCAACCCTCTAATTAACATTTCCTTTTGTAAAAAAAACTTTCACACCCTGTATCTAGAAAACGAAGCAGGTTCGGACATACGATTATATGAACAAAATTTCTTAAAATCCTTGCACTTAATTTTGAATCACCCTGTATATTATTATTGTTATTAGATTAATGATATTGATGTAATTCTTAACATTATTTTGAAAATTTTTCTATATACATAAGGGTACCAACATGTTACCTCATAAAAAAATCTGTCAACTCAGCCTAATTAAAGGTTTGTTTTTAGTTACTCATTTGTTTTCTTAAATAAAAACAACTGAATGCTCCCTTGTTATTTGTTACGAAAAATAAAATATTAAACAACTTCTATATAGACAAATTTTGTATACTTACAGTCGTTATTTACCGAGATATACACCAGACACTATATTCCATACATAGAGTGGACACCCTGTGTGTTTTTGGAAAGAAAATATGTAATAAAAATAAAAAATTATAGTTATTTATGGTATAAGTGTGTTATATTACAAATAAGTCACGCGAGAAAAAAGTAAGGCCACGAGGCCGTCAGGCCGAGTGGGGTTATTTTCTCAAGTGACTTATTTGTAATTAACACACGTGCACCATACAAAACTTTATCCAACACCTCCTCAAGCTGGTTTAAAACGTGGAAATCTTAAAAACTGCGTGTTCCGCGAAAAGCTAGAGTGCATGGAATACAAAAGCAATAATTCGTTGCTATGGGGAATAATAAACAACAAAAAATTTAGTCAGAAAATTTATATGGATTTACTTATGGTTCCTGTACTTTATCTTGCTAGTGAGTTATTTTACGTCCATAACTCATTAGTGGGTTATATTATACCTTACTCGTTTAATTTCGTCATGATAATGACTGGATAACATAGAGGTGTTGGATAAAAATACATAAGATATAATTTTTGCTATTTTTGATTGCAAATTTTAATTAGTAGGGGTTATATAATATTATATATTTATAAATAAATATTTTAAATAATGAAAAGATTGTAGGTATTATATTTTGACTTTTGACCCTAATTCTGTCAGTTCAAATCAAAATTGTTCAATACAGTGGTTATGGTACCTTCTTTGACCATTACAATGTTCAGCTTATGACACGTTCTCATAGAAGTCTATGTACGATATAATATACCTTGAAGTCATTCATGAGAGACTGGCCTTTAGTATAGGTATTTAATAACTATATGATAACATTTATAAATACATTTAACTTAAGATAACATTTTCATGAGTTCACTTGGCGTTCTCGGTAAAATACTTGCAGGATTTTCATATAAATTGTTCGCATCGTACACGCCTTCGTAAAGCTGCTTATATATAGCCAATAGTACATCAAACGCTCGTTTCTGAACCGACTTTTTATGCTTCGAAGAAGACAGCAGATGGATTTGTTGCAATAGCATACTATCGGGCAACGATACTAACATATCCAGCTTACTCTGAAATTCAAATTACAACGAGCTGAATTAGAAATTTACATAATTACCAAGAAGTTGCGAAGATTACCCGGCTCCATTCCAGGTATACCGGAAAGAGGCGCGTGCGCGTGGTCTTGCAAGATTGTATATATCGGTCCTAAGTTTAAATTGGCGACCAATGAACTGGCCTGCTCCGATGTAAGGGTATCAAGTTGGGCGTCCGACTGTGCCTGTAACCGTTCCAATTTGTCATCCATAAATTCGTACAGTGATAGGCATGTTTGCATGGCGTACATGCAGTTTAACATGTAAACCGCCATGTCAGTTGGGGGTAAGCGGGATGACTGCTCATTGACCGCCCTCAGTAGGGGGTCTAATACGCATTGGACAATCTGCGAAACAAAATATGAAAATCACTGCACTGACCTTTATGTTCGTATGGTAAAAATGTTGATATACTTGACTTGATACAACTTTCCGGAGTTGCTGATGTCAGGTAGTATCAGGCATGGTCTTCAGACACGTTGTCAGTATGCAATCATACAGTATAGTGAAACATGGATACAGTGTGGGGTCTTGTCTCCAACAAAAGTGTAAAGCCTTCACACTGATCGAGATGGGATAAAATTATGACGAATCTACAATTTCGTTTTGATTAACCGTTATAAAAATTTTGTAATAGTTACAATATTCGAAAAGGCGAAAAAAAGTATCATTCGGCTAAAAGAACCAAGAACGCTCGTTTTTAAGAAAAATCATAGTATACCTAAGGAGTGAAAATACCTAGCATTTTAAGACTACGCTAGCGTGCATTTATTTTGCACAAACTTCGCCGAAAATGTCGTATTTTACGCTTATATCTTCAGCTTTGCTCGTCTCGTTTTTTGCTATAAATCCCAGACGATGACTCCCTTTTAATTTCGCCTCGCTTCTATACTATTTACTTTATACTATTCAAAAAGGAGCGTGTAATTTAATTTAAAATAATTGTTACTATATGTTTACGTTTGTTGGGGGTTTACACACACTGAGTGCAAATAATTTTTTAGCTTCGCTTTTTAGTGCGGTAAAGTACTGTTGAAATTTTAAGATTTCCAATTTTTTTCTTATAACTTTGTAAGTAGGGTCGAATTTCCACGAAATCCTCATGTACCGGGTGACCCAATAAGACTGTTCCTCGGCCATATCTCGAGAACCGTTCGTCGTATGACTTAGGGGTAAAAAAATTATTGGGTAAATCGGTCATGAAGAATCGCTGGAAAATATTTCTAAAAATGACCACCAGAGGGCGTGACTGCTATTTTAAATTTTAAAATTGCCTTTTCTTTAAATTTCGCATAATAAACTAAACATTCTTTTTTCACATTTTTAAAGAGCCCCAGTTTATCTATCATTTTTTCATTTACATTAATTGATTAATTAATTAAAATGCTTAAATTGTATCTTATTTGACGTATTTCCGGTATTTGTCGATGGCGCGAAAGATTGTGGACCCTACACTTTTAGGTGGGCCTTGGAAAATTAAACACATGAAACACGATGCATTATAAAATAATAACAGCGGTAATTTGTAAATTATTCTGCTGTGTTTACATTCAGAAAGTACAGTATTTTGAATTCGTAATATTTTCTAAAATGCTGATTGTTTAACCAAGAAGCATTTAATATGCTGGCGGCGATGGTTCGTGATCGATTCGGATAACGCAAATAAAAGATGCGGGCAGCGATTTTCGCATTTTGAAAACACTCAAAATATATCGCCAGCATATTAAATGCTTCTTGGTTAATCAGCATTTTAGAAAAGATTACAAATTCAAAAAACTGTGCTTTCTGAATGTAAACATAGTAGAATAATTTACAAATGCTTTTTAAATTCGTGACGAGTTGCCATTACAAGTAAGCTGATAATAAGTGGCTGGTTTATGCAAAAAGAGGAACTTAATTATGTAGTGGAGTCGAACGACCGGCAGCGGCTGATATAATTTTTCACCCGTGAATGGTGCAAACGCAAAGTGTTAAAAAAGCGTAGGCGAACGTGCTCGCATTTAAATAAATTGTTACCACGAAACCGTTGGGGTCTAAGGTACAACACGTTCATTGCGGATATATTTGGAGCATTTAGACGATTAAAAAATAAGTTTGTCAATCAAACCTGTGCACCTATCTTGTGTATACAGGGTGCTGTTAGATCTACAGTAAACAGAAACCAGCGGCCCATAACCTGTTAGCAGAGAACATCATTTCGTACTTGTGAATTAGATAACATTGGACAACTATTTTATTAAACGAAAAAACACAATCATGCACACACTCCGATATCCTTATTTTAACACACACAGAAAAATCATACATTATCAGCTTAGCTTTCGGACTAAGCGATGCAGGAATAACACGATAATGCGAATATAATGCAGAAAACCGGAAAGTTCTGCGATATTCAGAGGTGAGATCTCAATCGATTTATAAAAGGCGGCCGACAGTTAGTGAAACAATAAGCTCCTTTTTGAAAATCAAAAATGCCCTAAAAAGGCAAAAATGCTGTACGGTGTGTTACACCACCTTAGCGATTTATTATTATTATTATTATTATTATATCGCACAAGATTTATCAATGTCAAATGTTAGGGTACTGGGCGATATTAATATTATGCAGCGGCAAATTTATTAATTATATACTACCATATATTCGACACATAAGTATACATCTGCACCCGGTTAAACCGATTGATTATAGTAAATTCCATTAATGACCATTTGCATTGTGTAAGTTAAACAGTGTTTATAATTTATACACATATTAAAGTGTTGGCATTTAAACGATAATTCATCTTAAATGCAGTTTCAGTTTGACCTTGCAAACTGTCAATAGAGCCTTGCATAAACAAACGCTACATAATGAATACTATGACAGAGGCGCATTCACTTATTATTATTATTATTATAAAAAGATTCAGGTTTACACTTTCCCTTTAGTTGTTCGCTGATGATGACAGCGAAATACGTTCGTTTTATAAAAGACAAGACGCCATTAAAACTTTAATCGGCCCACCGATTGACTTTCGGACAACGTTGCCAAACTTCTCAGCATGGCTTGTAATTATAGACGGCTGTGACAGCACACTATGAAATGAATAAATTAATTTTTTAACGGATAGGTATATGCCGATCCATTGCCGATTGATGTAGCTGTTAAAACTAATTGCCGTCGCACCGTCAAACGCGCAATGTTTAAATCTGTGGTTTAAATAGTCATTAAGTTTTCTCCAATTTTCCAAATTTCTGCGCGATTTGCTTAGTTTTTCTTGCCGTAAGAACCTTCCACACAGTATTAGAAAACTTAAAAAAAAAGATGAATGAAATCGGTTAAATCGGCTAAAGTTATTGCGTGACCAGAAGAAACAGGGGTTCATTTTTATATACAGGGTGTTTCGAAATTCGCGCACACGGACTGTGGGATGGTGTTATACAACAAAAACTGAATAAAAAGTTCCTCTACCAGGTTATCGTTGTTCAAAAAATCTGAAATGAAAATGCCGGAAAACAAAAGATGGTTCAAAACAATTTATTGTAATTATCGTACAATTCAAATTGCGAAATAATGTAAAGGTAATTATTCAAATCGAGAATATTACGATATGCTGATGGCACTTAGGGCTTGTAATAATCGAGCAGGGCAAGCGGTGCGTTTATACGCGTTGAGACATCCTCTGCGGCGGTTACCCGATGCTAACGTTTTTAGAAGATTAGAAGACCGAATTCTGTTGCGGTGCCACAACGTGTTTTTAAAATTGTTATTATTAAGTTTAACCAGTGACGCAGCGTAGGGGGGGCGGAGATTTTAAAAATCGCGGTAGCTCGAAAAATAGCGGTCTGATGGAAAACTGGTAGAGGAACTTTTTGTTCAGTTTTTGTCGTATAACACCATCCCATAGTCCGTGTCCGCGAATTTTGAAACACCCTGTATAGAGATTTATTGTGATGTCAAGACATATTGTCATTTTTATAGACGATAATCAATGCCATACTGACAACCATTAACATCAGACATTGATTTTAATTGTCAAATATATCAACGTTTCCGGCATGGTGGCACAACCACAAGCCTCACACAAACTGGGTACCTTTCCCATATCGGTTTCTCGTCCTTCGCTCATGCTGGCTGTTGAAAGCATATCGCGCATGACTGATAATAGGTGATTGATGGCCGGTGTAGGAGACAGGTCTCGTGGCGGGGTTTCCACGCGAACTAGGCAATTTGAGACTTGCTGCTGTAAAGCGATCAGGAATATCTGTTCACTTTTTTCTTGTAGCTCAGATAGCGTCAAGGCTAATAATCCACCCTCGGATACCTACAACTCACACCTCAGTTCATTCGGTTCATAACATTTTTTCATAAGAGATGGTCGTGGAAACTGTTACCATTGGGATCTCAGAAACCGTAAGAAATACAAAGTTGATTATGGGGTCAAAGTTACGCATTTTGGGGTCAAAGACAAATAAAATTTTCCAAGACCAATCGTTAGGCAACATGTTGTGAACAGAATGCATACTTACTTTTCCTATAGACTTCTTGTAATAACGAATCAAGTTAGTAATGGCGTATAGACTGCTCGATTGCGTGGACGCGTTCAGTATTTTATCAATACGTATCTTTAATGGATGGCAAATACCTTCGCAAATACTAGCCATTGCGTTCGTTAGCAGTTCATATTTATCTTAAATGAAAACGATTTTTCGTCCGACTCATGGACCTTCCATAAACTTACCTTCTTTATTGCACAAGCTGACCAGTAAATGTAAATTTTGATTTTCGATCGGAATGGCCTTATTCAACCATACCAAAATATCGGTAACGTAAACATGCGGATCATGCGCTCTCATTTCGATAGGTGCCGGATTGCCGGATGGGCCTCCTCGCGTTAACGCGTCTATAAACTCACCGACCAGCACCGCCCGCCGTGATATACAATATTCGTCGATTACGTACCTAAATTACCGAAGTTAATTTTTAAAAAATATGCCTCTATTTAAGGTTGATTCTCACTTGTGCATTCAGCTCGGTGACGCGACGCGATGTCGCTCTGCAAAATGTCGTAACTCCAGTGTGCAATTATAGCTAAAGTGAGAAAGCATTAATTTAAAAACATGAAATTTTTATTTAGCGGCCCTTTGCGGCGCAGCATTGCATCGTGTCGCCAAACTGAGTGCAGCGCGCAACTGAGAATCAACCTTTAATCTTACTTGAATAATACAGGTCTGTCTTGTAAACGACACATCGCCTGGGTGAGTAAATCGGTCAGATTTTCAACGTTGCGACAATGGTTTTGAGTCCAATGGTACAATCTTTCTAAAGCACCTTCCTAAAAATTATGCATTATAGTAAATGAACAAACATTATTATCAATTTTCTTTTGGTCCCATGTATACTCCCTAAAAACCCACAACAAATGTAATACCGGAACCTGGCAGTCAATTCATTATGTACTTACTAACCGCCAGTAAAGTCCATTGCAAGACGAGTCAACACTAACAATGCCTATAGTATATAGCTTTCACCAACGCACGTGATTTACGGTATACTGCTAAATCGATTCCACTTTTTAATCGCAGCATTGTTTGAAGTTTTAAATTCGCCAAAGGGTTTGTTTGAAAGATCATCCACGTCAACAACTAAATCATAAATAAGCTTTTGCGTTTGGATTTTGCAGGTACCACCTTTTCTTCTGCTTCTGCAGCAAGCCATCGAATGGACCATGTATTATCTTTTTCAACCGAAGTCATTTTATTTACAAAAACGGTGATTTTTATAAGTAAACTTCAAAAGACATTTCCATTCCCACTTAATTAAAAATATATTCGAGTTTTTTATTTCCCTTATTGTTCATATACAAAAAATACTATAAGAAACGATACTAATATATAATATAAGAATCTTTAAAGCACTTGCAACGTTTGAATGCACTCCGCTACGTGTTGCGCGTGTTATAAAGACTTGATTATACACCTTTTGCTTAATATAGGTAGTATTTTCTCCATTTAGCGAACTGTTCTGCATTTTCGTAAACCCCGCGCCAGGAAAGATTGCCGGTCACAGAACACTTGATCCTGGTCTACAATCTGTTTTCCTAAAGATGTGAGCGACTTCTGGGATAGTATCATGTCAATGTTCAACAAAAAGACTTTTCGTTCAACATTGGCACGATCCTATTCCGGAAGTCGCTCGCATCTTAAGAAAAACATAGATTGCAGATCAACACAAGGTGTGCTGTGACCGGCAATCTTTCCTGGCGAGAGTTATATATTCTATGATCTTTTTTTAGTTTTGTAATATTTCTCAATCTTTATTAATTTTTTGAATTTTCATGTTTAGATTTTTTACATATTTTTTTAATTTGCCAGAATTTTGTAATTTTCCGAGTATTTCCTAGGGATTTCGCTATGGTTTCAAAATATAAAATGTCTCAGATTTTAAGATGCTGCTCATAGAATTTTCTGAATTTTTCGCTTATTTATTAATTTTTTCTAAATTTTACAAACGAAAATTTTCCGTACTTTGAAATTGTTATTAATTTGTTGAATTCTTAAGCTTCGATTTTTTGCATGTGTTTTTTAATTCATTTGATTTCTGGAATTCTGCGATACGTTTAAAGATGATATCGAACCGGTTTCCCAGGGATTTCGCTATGCTTCAAAGTCTCAAGTATCAGATTTTAAGAAACTTCTCATGGAATTTTCCGACTTTCTCTCTCAATTTTGGGAACCTTTTTGCATTTTCGTAAATTTTAAACATATTTTTAGTTGTGTAATTCTTCCGATAATTTTTTTAATTTTCAAGCTTCGTTTTTTCAGATTTTTTCATTTAATTGAATTTTTTAATTTTCCCCGACTATTTTTTTTATATTCCGATGTTTTTAATGACCGTCTAGAATCGGTTTCGGAGTGAATTTGCTATGGTAAAGTTTCATATTTTAAGATCCTTCTCATGGAATTTTCGGAATTTTTATATTTTATTCTCTCAATTTTCGATTTCCTGCTTTTTCGTAAATTTTAAACATTTTTTGTTAGTTTTGTAATTCTTTTGTTCACTAATTTTTTTTTATTCTCAAGGTTGGTTTTTTTGGGATTTTTTAAGTTATTAGAATTTTCTAATTTCCTCAATATATTTTTTTTATATTGCGATGCGTTTAAAGACCATATCGGACCGGTTTCCGAGGGATTTCGCTATGGTTCAAAGTGTCAGGTATCTTCCTCCTCGAAGAATTTTGTGTGACTCGCGGAATTTTGTGAATTTTCCGTTTTTTTTCAGTTTTGTAATTTTTTTAAATCTCTGGATTCTTCCGATTGTCTATTCGTCTGAATCTTACATTTTCAAATCATTTTCCAAAGGATTTATTTAAAGCTCAGAGACTCAAAAATCAAATTTTTTTTCACATTTTCACATTTGTGAATTTTTTTAATTTTTGTGAATTTTTTTGATTTTCTATTATTTCCTTATTCTACATTTTTTTGTATTTCTGCATTTTATGAAACCTTTCAAATCTTTCTGAACTCTGACAATAACAGCTAAATACATTAGTCGTATCAAACACTTACCCGCCTGGTCATAGCTTAAGGCCACATTTCAAAGCTATTATGGCCAGGTACGTAATCAGTCAATCTCGAGGTCAATCTATATTAACAATTTGTAATTTTTGTTTGTATTTTATAATGATAAATAGTTAACACAAAATTATCGGTGTTGTACTAATTATTCAGAAAAGCATATTGCTACGAGCAAATGGTTTATGATTACTAAATGGCAGATAGCGACAAACAACAAAATAATACAATCAAATACAACATATCAAAACTTCCCCTTCTTGAGGACACTTTGTATGATTAATTATTGATAATATTGTCAGTTGACACTCAGTATTTATCAATGAAAGATTGGTATCTCTTAGTTGGAACAGTAATAATTGTCAATTGACAGTATTAGACAATATCTATTAACGCTTAACATCTGTGAATATCGAACAGTTAGCATCTGTTAAATGATACTGTCAATTTGCAGTTAATTATTAATTGACAAGTAAGAGGTGTCAATTGATAGATATAGTCTCTTTCCTTGAAATAATAATATTGTGGCCCTTTAAACATAACCCGGAATTTCTCTGATCATCATCAAAATTGAGGAAGAATCAATTTTTACCACCTGAATAGACTACCTAATTCTAATAAACTAGTGCCCTTACACTTCATACAGTACCTGATGTAGAGTCATTTGTTCCATTACATCAAGCGCGAGCGTTTGATAACCCGACTGCATCAGCGTCTTGCAATCATTATGAATTCTCTGCACTTTGTCGAGAACCACAAAAATTTCGGGAGTAATAACTAAATCACGCTTCTGTTTGTTCCCGTGTAATGCAACCAACTCCTCGTGTGTCAGTATGAACTTATTCAAGAACGCGGTCGCTACCTTTTGTTGCATCTCATTTTTCGCAATTTCGTTTTCATAGCTACTGGTCTGTTCGAGTAGATGTTTCGTTTGCCTCTTGGCGTTTTGCAAACGTAAAGTCATATCCTCCAGCGATTTGCTCATGTCGGCTATGTCATTGTAGATACTATCGAAACTCTCCTTTACCTCTCGAAATTCCGATAAGAAGTTCTCGTTAATCTGTAAGCTTCGCTTTTCGATTTGGCTACGTAGGTTACGTCTGGCTTGTAGGGAATTGTCACAGTAGAAGGTTGACAGCTCTTTTAAGGCTTCCAAGGTGTCCTAAAACGGCATTATAGGTACAGTGTGTGTAAAATCCTGATGTTCTTACATGGTCATTTTCCACGCGCGTTTCTAAAAGTTTATTTAATCTTTTTGAAAGAACGTTTTCTTTCTCAGGCAATTCACGCATTTTTAATTTTATATGGAAATTATGAGATGACGTTAATTGGAAAAAGTTAGGTTATATTTACATTTGTACTAAACAAATGCTTTTTCCCGATGCCGGGTACTGAGCCATCACATACGGTGCGTGATTTTCTATATACCATGGGGTCATAAAAGAGTGAGTAGATGGCCTCTTAGAAACTAAATACAAGGACTACGCCAACAAAAGACAAGTCAAACATTTCAAACACAAGAGACATATAATCTATTCCACCATCAGTTACCATTAATTTAACACCAAAAGTACAGGTAAAAACGCAAGCAATAAACCTAAAACTCTATTGCTTCATATCCAGTCTCCCTCTCCCATACAAAACACAAAAAAATGGAGCCCCTTCCCCCCGTTCTCGTATTACTAAGACGCAAGAGCTGCAGTGCGCACGAGATGAAGCAACATGATAGTGTATGAGGTACTTTTTCCAAACAATAAATGGTGAGTCGAATCGTACAGGCAAGTGGCAACATCACACCAAAATGGTGACACAAAATTTAAATATTTTTTAATAAAACCAAACAAAATAAACCTTGAGAAGACAAATCATCACGCTACACCCGCGATAACTCAAGAACCCGGATCGTAATCCCGTTACCGACGCCAACTTTTTGCCAAGCTTCATCGTGAAAATCCCTGTTCTTAATCGGCATCTGCGCAAAACGGTCGAAGTCGAGGACGTATCACGATTATATAGAGCGTTACGTATTTTTGTCATACTGCCATTTTTCAGATGTAAAGTATTTTGCCAAACCGTCACCGGCATGCGCTTTTCAGCCCTTCCTTTTATGTCTAAGAATACATGTACCAAATTTGGTTTAAATAGATTCAGCCGTTTAGCCGAAAATGAGAGTACAGGCAGACAGATCGACAAACTGATTGACATCATCGAGATTATGTTTGATTCGACATCCTGGTGCTCCTATCTTGTGACACGAGTGGCGTAGCGTATTACAATAGGTCGCATTGTAACACTTGTCTTTTCTTTCAATAATATACTACAGTATGAGTCTCGTATATTTCTCAGGCCTCATACGCATACGTTAAATTCTCATACTATATTTTTGTGCTCCATAGTCATTCAGTATGATTTTTGTTTATTTGCTACATTATACACCCACCGCGAACGTGTTGGGAACATCATAATCTTAAATAAAAATGTTTTCTAACTTTATTTAACAACTGTATCGAATTTAGGTAATCAGATCATTTTATATGAATTTTGCAATTTGAAAATGTGAATAAAGAAACCTGTCAAGTGTCAAGCCATATATCTGCGAGCTCATATTTCCCATTTAAAAAATTGGGGGTTGTAACTGTCACTCTAATCTATAATTAAAATTTGACGTGTTTTGGGATTTTCTATAAATATGTAAAGTAACCGAAATATGTAATGAATTTATTCCATTTGGCTTTTCCGCACTGTATGTAAATAAACCTTTTTTTTTTATTTTTTATTTTTTTTTTATTGCATATTTACAATCTGCTCCAGATGAACAATAAGTAAATTTTGTAATAAATAGCGCACTAAATTCACTACGACATGCCGAGCGAGCAATGCATTGAAAACTCTCTTGCTTATAAATTAATATTGTTTGATTATGTAAGTATTCCAATTTTCATGTTGATCAAAGTACATACATAAATAATTAATCGAATCTGTTTGACAGGTCCGAAGGTTTGAACCGTTTTAGTCTCCTAATTTCGTCGCGATTGTCTATAAGCTGAGTGGCTAGAACGTTAGGATGCACAGAGAGTCTGTCTTGATATTTCACAGAACAATTCTTTATAACTTTCCGCACTGATTCAATATTGAGATCACTTTGAATTACGTAATTGGGCACATACCACGGCGCGTTGACGATGGTTCTAAGTACTTTATTCTGGAATCTTTGTAAAATTTCGATATTGGAGGTGCTAGCAGTACCCCACAATTGTATCCCGTACGTCCATATGGGTTTAATAATAGTGTTGTATAGTAGAAGCTTATTTTCCATTTTCATCTGCGAGTTTCTGCCAAGTAGCCAGTACATTTGACTAAATTTTATTCCGAGTTGCTTCCTTTTCGTGAATATATGTTTACGCCATGTGAGCCGTCGATCTAGATGCATACCCAGATATTTAACTTCTTCAGTTTGTTATTGTTAAATTAGGGTGCCATTAAATGTTACAGCTGCACATGTTCCTCTTCTCATGGAAACCTGAAAATGAAAGATGTATTGGATCTCATATATTTGTTTCTAAACTCATATATTTGTCCTCTGTTTCATATATTTAATATTTCTCTTTCTAAATTCGGCAACCCTAATCAAGGTACGTTTTCCTCTAATCCGGTTCGAAGGACCAATGTTTTTAGTAGTATTAATTTATATTAATGAAAACAAAAAAATACCATCTGTCTCCGTTGAGCAGTACCTACTATTAAGTATACCTACATACATACGAGTACTGCAAGTGATGAAAAAAGGGTACCAGATTAACTAAACGGATAAGTTTTCCCGGTATACATGACCGGTCTGTCTTACTTTCTTACCACAACAATCAATTTAACATTCAAGAAGCGCCTTTTACCAAATAAAAAAAACCCATCTCCCTATATGAAATTTAAAAAAATGTTTTTTCTAACGGAAATTTTTCCCAAACAAAAACAATAGAAACGAACAAAAATATAAGTTACTAACTTATTATAAAGCGTTTACCAACTTACTGGTATTGCATGTCTAAACGTCAATGACAAAATTTCTTGATCACATGGTATAATCTTGTAAGTGTGATAGAAATCACTGTTAAAAATAACACCTGTGAAACAAGACGCCGCTCTTGAGCGAGCAAAAGCATTTATTTTGGTTCGATCGACAATGCCGGTATAGCAGGTAGCGTTGTCATTCGAATCGTATCCGCAATAATTGCCAAACTTCGGCGTACGGTTTGCATCACATTTGGCCGTATTCGGTTCTCAAACAACAAACATGTTTTTTTGAGTATATTTACGCGCGGAGACTTTTTTTAAGTTGTCGTTAAGTGAGAAATTAGATGAGTGAATTTATTTGATTGAAATATCAAGATGGCCGACTCATATTACCAGGTATGTAAATTTAAAATTCTTTTCCCATTTACGTGCGCCCATTAATTTTATTAGCGGCCTTTATTTTCATTATTCGCGCGGACCGTTCGTCACGGCCGAGTTTTCATTTATAATCGGATAATTATGCGACCGGATTAGCCAATGTAATCGAGTTTCGAGTCGTCGGCGGGGCTTCAAATTTGCATGTGTTGGTCTGTGTTTACGACTTCTTTAATCGAGTTTGCCAATTACTCAGATTTTCTGTCGCCGGTTGCGTTCCAAGGAGCTAATTGGGCAAGTTGGAAAACAATCGCGTGTAGGCAAAATAGTTGCGAATATTAGCTCATACAGGGTAGGTCCCCAATTTTTCGTACCATTTCCAAGTTTATACGAATAAACGTACTTTGAACCCGCAAAAATCCGTGATTTGAATAATTATCGCGACGGCAAAAAAAGTGTGTGAAATTTCTTAAGCAATCATATCCGTTTCTTTTTTGTAAAAGTTCATCGGTGAGCCGGTTTAATTTTAATGGTCAGTTACTTTGGAAATAAGACCATTTGATTTTAAAAAAAAAGGGCCCGTTCGTCTGCCGTATATTTAAAACTTTGGTAAATGGTAGAAGTGTGTCTAGTATGAAAAAATATCTCGCAAATCTAAGCAGAATGCATCAGGTGATAATACGATAAGGATTTGATTTGTTTTGCTGATAAGCGATGCAGATTTCACCTGCTCTCTATCATTTCCCAAAAAATGATTCATTAATCAAATGTATACGAAAAATGTTGGGTAAGTAAGTCGAGCTGTGTCTGAGTAATCAAAGCTAAATAAATAAACAAAAGGAAAAGGTTTGTTTATCTCACACCTCGTCTCGCACCTTGCTCGAAATAGACTAAAATGCCTTAAATGTCTCAGAAATTTTAGAAATATTTCTAAATGAACTGTAAACCTTTCGAAAACGTATAGTAAACGGTTTTGGAAATGTGTAGGAAATTTTGAATCTTCCTAGAAAGTTCAGATATGTTTGGAAAATGTTGCATTACTTATACGCTCGCTTATACGAGTATTTCGAGTGCTGTGGACCGAGTTTGGAAATATTCGAGGAAATATTACAACATTCAAGAATGAGATAAAAAAATGTGTAAGCGGTTTTAGAAATGTGTTGGAAATTTTGGAAATATTTGAAATGTTTTGAAAATCCTAGGGAATTGATGGAATTATTTAGAACATTTTTGGGGAAATGTTGAAAATGTGTAGACATTTTTTGCAATGTTTACGAAATTTTGATAATTGTAGAGAATTTTTGATCTAATTTTGGTAATGTCCCAAATGTTTTGGAAACCTTTAGGATATATTGGTGAACTTTGGTAGTCGAAAATCTTTTGCAACGTCTTTCGATCATTTAAAAAACTTTGAAATGTATAGAAAATTACATGTTGCAAATTTTGGAAATATATAGAAAATATTTTTATTTTATTTTGCCTTCATTTTTCAGTGGGCGGGGTTTCAACCTAGGCTGCTCTACCAACCCAACCCACTATACATTTACAAATCTCCGTGCCCGAACCCGGATTCGAACCAGGGACCCTTAGCACCACAGTTCAGCTTTAACTGAACTGTGCCACGCGGATCGGCTATCTCGAAAAGGGTGTCTGTTTCGGAAATTATTTTTGAATTTGGAAATGTGTCGAATATAATGGAAATTGTGCAAATTTTTTATGTTTTGGGAAACAGTGCAAATATGTCAGAAGTTTTTCGTGCATTTCTGAAATGTTTTGAAAATTTATCGAATTTTTTGGAAATAAGTATTTCAAGAATGGTGGAAGTTCGCAGAAATTTTGGAAAGAAGTTTCGGAAATCTCTGTCATCGAAATTTTGGAAACGTGGAGGATATTCTGGAAATGTGTAGGAAATGTATGAAGAAGTTTTGGAAATGTTTCGGAAGTAATGGAAATGTCGAGGGAAATGTGTAGAAAATGTCATTCAGGTTTGGGAAGTTTGAATTTCATAAGGAATGTGTAGAAAGTTTTACGATTGTTTCAAAAACCTTCAGATATTTATGGTTTTAAAGGAAATTGGTATAGTTTTAAAAAATTTTCAAATGAAATTTTAGAAATATCGCGACTGTTTTGGAAAAGTATGTGTTGAAACGAAATTCTTGAAACGTATAAAAAGCTTGGAAATGAGTTGGATATGATTCGGGAACCTGGAACGTGTTGAAAATGTATACTTTACAGACGTCTCAGATATTTTGCAAAGATTTTTCACAAAAATTGAAAATGAGTTCGAGACATTAGTAATTTTTTGAATTGTGGAATGTATGAAAATAGTTTGCAAACTTTGGAGATGTTTTGGGATTGATTGTCTTTATAGGAAATATCGAGGGAAATATATAGGATATTTTGGAATTATCCAAGAAATGTTGAATGTTTTGTTTAACATGTTTTTGGGGTGAAATTGAGATGGCTTGAACATTTCAAAAATTTTCAAATGTGGAAGTTCGTTTGGAGATATTTTGGAAAGGTATCGGAAATGTTGGAACATTTTTCAAATATTTTGGAAGTTTGGTATTACTTGGGAAATTTTTGCATTTGCACAACCCACGAAAACAGTAGCGTTTGCGTCCTTCCGTTTGTCTGCCCGTCGATGCAGGCTATAGCTCAGTCGCTAGATGTCACTATCCAATTCGGACCTTTACACCGGTTTGCAGCGAAAAAACTTATGGATCTAATTGTGCATAATAAAATTATTATTATAAATGTTGTAATTTACTAAGATATTTTCCGGAAACTTTAAATGCAGAGATCACTTCTCATAAAAGCGAATTTAGTGCGAGGTCTTGTATCCACAGGGCCCGACCAGGCAGCACATACGCATACCAAAGGCCCATGGTGCCTACCACCTTTCTTTCGCAACCCGTTCTCTTAATAAAGGATAGAACTCTGTTAGTCTAAGGTGCTTCACCCTCCCTGGTTCCAGAGAACTCTCGCCAAGGAGCTGATGTCTGAGTCTGTGTCTGATAAGGCCTTGCCACAGAACCTCCACGTGGGCTCCTTCACAAACCCAATGTTGTGCAGGTGATAGTTGACCATCGAGTGCCCCTTAAGGACACTGGTGATCTTCCTAATCTCGCTTCTATTCAGTTTTAGTAGCTTAGAAGACCCAGATTTGCCAAGGAGCCATGGACTGTCTGAGTCCGGTTGTTTGTTGCGACTAAAGGCCCCCCTTCACGTGCAGTTTTATGTCAGTTTTGGACTGACGCTCCTTCAGTTAAATCCATACTTGCACGTGAAGGGCCTCGTGAAGGGCTTAAACATGCCAGGTGCGCTTCAGTTGCGGCGCGGAGCGAAGAAATCAAATCGTACTAAATTCCTGGCGCGAACTGACATGCGGCGGCAGCAAGATGTGAGCATGTAGATGCGGCTCAGTTCTCACATCGGGATTGACACAATATGACAAAGGTGGAGGTAGTACGCTTAAGATGTGCAAAAGAGAGATAGCTTTAGTAGAATGTAATTGATGAAATTTGGAATGGGTAGTCCTATGTTAAATGTTTCCCAGGTTTCAGGGTTTGTTTGATTTATCTCCTTTAATAAATCGATGTGTGTGGATTAATTTCTTCTCAAATACCACGGTTTCGACCAATACTTTTTTCTCTTTCTTTTCTTCTTACTTCCCTTTCGTCGTCCACCAGCAACAAAAAAGCAATTGCTTTCCTCTTCTTCAAACTCATTTTTTAACAGCACGGTTGCACTACCAGACTCAGGAACAGAATAAAACTGAAATAAATTAAAAATCAAGCGTGAACGTGTAGATGCAACGCATGTCACACATCGAGAGCGCGCGCCAGGGATTCAATCCGGGAGCGAAGATAAGAACTGCACGTGAAGGGGGGCCTTAAGGCTTGAATTGACTGATCATCCAGCTCTATAAATCCTTGCCTTGACAACGCAGAAAGATTGCTGAGAATGTCCTAGGGTAGGCTCGAGCCCGACGAAGACCCCACCATTGCCTTCACGAGCCGGCTCGTCCTCCCTTTCTTTGCTCCCTATTCCGCAGTGCGTTGGCACCTAGGTCAAGCTTACCCTATTAGATTTACCCAATCCATCTAGAGTTCGTCTGCAATGAAGCGTCGTAGACGATCGGAACCTGTCTGCCGATAGGGCCCTCCGCGCCACCTGACTGTCACTGCATATGCTCATTACGGTATCTTGTAGAGCTGAAAATGAAAAAGGATCATTTAATTTTATTTAATCTGTTCAAAACAGCAGAAAAAAAATAAAAACGGCAGTTTTCGATTTTTTTGGCATATCTTCAGAAATAATCGGAATTTGCTAGGCTTGTTTAAAGAATGATAATAACTCTTTACTTTCGCATATTTTCCCTAATTTCACCATCGTCGTATCCTTCTATGGTCTTGGAGATCCCCATGATAGACACCCTGTATACAAAAATATAGGTTGTGATACATCAATATAATCAGAAACAAGTATAAATTGTGCACAACCCTTGTGCAGATAAAGCACATTTTAACCGAAATAGGAGGAGGGCTGTGGTTGGTAGAAATTAATTCCTTTTTTTGAGACCTTTCAGTAGAGTACCATGAAGGATAAAACTAGTTCCACTCTCCCCCTCCACCCCGTAATGAGAGATAAAATTAATTTTTGGAACGGGAGGTAACTCGGGGACTAACTTGCTTGCATTTCAAAAAATTCGCCAGTAGATTATAGCGGATCGTGTCTGTTCCATGCATAAAATATTAATGCTGCGAAGACTAAGATATACAGGGTGTTGCATTTAAAAAATACCAACTTTGGGTCAAATCTCAGAAATGATGATCCAAACATTTTTCTTGACTACGCCACTGGATTTTACAACAAAATATATAGAACAAGCAGTTTTTTCATTTTTTCTATTTTACATGGGCAGTACTTAAGGTATGGTAAGATCCCAAAAAGTCAACCTTTTGAAAAATTTTGATTACAGGCTCTATATCTTTTATCCCTCGTTTTATCCTATGTAAAGTAAAAGTCAAATAAATACAGCTAGTATGAAACATAAAAAAAAATAGCTTACAGAGTGTTTTTTTTGTAGGTCCAAAGTTACAAAACTTCATATTAAAAAATCTCACACCCTGTATATTTTTCTGTCATCTTTTAGCTCCTCCAAATACGTTCAACTTTTGATAATAATGTCCTATACATCTCTGTTAGTTTTCGAAATATCTTGAAATTTATTAATTAATGATCACATCACATCACAAAAATGTTTCTCGAACCAACGATCGACGAGACCGTCGTCCCAGCTCAGTTCATGTCTACTGCCAGAAATAGTTTTGACGTGATTTTAAGTTATTATAGTTAATTGAAGGACGCCGCAAACAATCCATACATGGATAGTGATTAAAGTATTATTTACTACATCCGGTTCCGGTACCGCGAGTACCGAAAAATGGTCCGCGTCGAACGTGCAATACTTCCGTTTATCTCGAGACGTTCAACTTCCGTTCTTATGACGCAATTGTTACAATTCCTTTCATTAACGGAACGAGCGCGGCGCGCCCTCCCCCTTTTCTTTGGCTTATTTGCGATCGTACCATCAAATTAACAACATCCGCAGGAGTTAAACAATTAATCCGTTCAAAGCGCGAACGGCGCAGCCGATCGAGTCGTCTTTTTCTCGTCGTGGCAGGGTAAAAGTTGGGTGTCTGGTTTACGTTTCGGTTTCAGCCTTTCAGTAGTACGAAGGTTGTTGTTTCGTGGTGTTTGTGAGTTGTCGAAGAAAAATTTCGTGTGTAACGTGACACTGGCGAGGGTACTAATTAAGCTTTTTTTTTTCTTAAATAAAAAGTGGTCGGTTAATTTGGTAACGTGTCCTTGATATTGTTTAAAGGCAACAAACTAGTTATGAAGTACAAGTGGGTACTTTATTTTTAAAGGCGCCAAAGTAGGATAAATAGTTGAGGCGTGCAGGTGTTTCATGGGTTCATGGTCAACGAATTTATACAACTAAACCGGGCTTTTTTCCAAAAAAATCTGTCCCACGGTGGTGTCATTTTTGGTTGATTGCACTTTGGAGCGGTACCGCGACTGCTGTACGAGCAGAGAAGTACGGTATTTTATGTAAAGGAGGTGCCATTTGGCATATGTAAAATGTAACGTAATTCCGCTACCTTGCTTTTTTATTATTTAGGTAAAGTACTCGTTGTCATAATTGAAGTGACCTTAATTTTCTATCGTTTTTACAGTCGGTAATTTAAGTTTTATGTAGCGTTTAATCAGTGTTCGTGTTGCGATGGCACTTTCGGCCCCAAAGTACAGGGGAATTCCTATACTTCACTGTACTTTTATTTATTCAGGTTTTGCATCGGGCTGTATCTACAAAAAAACCGAAAACATTGGCCATCTCCAAAATTACGTAGACATTCCGGGAGTTGCATACTCAACCAAAACAGTAGGTACTGTGGCTACGTCAGCAGAGTTCATATTTTTGAATTATTAATTTGACACTCAACAAAACTGTTTAGATGTTTTGGTGTAAGTAGAGATTGGAAAAACTATTGGGTAAACAAAAAATATGTTTCTGCTATCGGATAATGAGTATGTATGGTCGTTTTTCTAACAAAATTAGTCAATATACAGCGTAGGTAAACCGCTCACCATATTCGCTCACATTCCGAGAACATAGCGTTTTTGGCATAAGTTGAGCAACTTGTTCCAATGTCCGACTTCTGCTTCAGGCTTCATTCTTCTCTTATGAGCAGGTGAAGCATTTTCATGGAATCTTTACAAATGTTTAGCAGTCGCGTTTTTTAGCTCTTTGATTTTGACTTTTTTGTGGATGGCACAGGCAGCTCCCAAACTTTATTTCTGTGACTTCTGGGTGTTTTAATGATACAGCTGGGCCTCGTACATGCAAATTGGTTTTAATACCCTCCGATATCGAAGGAGCTTGTTTTTTTTACTCAGCTGCGAGTGGCGACTCGTTAACCAATGTTCGGGTGCAGGGGGGGTATTGAAAATCCCTTAGACCCCCTGGTGCTGCATTCTTCCTCAAATGTTCAGCCCTAAGAACCCTGTTATAGTTTTTCATAAAGGACCCCGAATCTTCATAAAAATTATGATACAAGTGCCAAAAGCACACATTATTACGGGGAAGAATGTACAGGGTGGCCAAATAAGAATGCGAGGTATTGTATCTGGGAACCTGTCCATCATAGAGGCTTGCGGTAAAAAAAGTTATTACTAAAACGGCCACAAGAAAAACCTGGAAAATATTTTTTAGTTTCTGAAATGGCCGCTAGGGGGCGTAACTGCAATCTGAAATTTAAAAAAAGTGATGTTTCCAAGGATGTTTCTGTGAATTCCGCTATATTAACCTAACAAAAAAATGTCCGGTCTTTGAAGTCGACGATAATCTGAACCTTTTTTGTTTGACAATTTTTCCTGTATCTCTAAAAATGAAGTTGTGGGGGGATATTCAAAGGTTTCCGTAAAGAACACCCTGAATCTTCGAGACGGCTGAGCCGATTTAAACCAACTCGGGTTAGTTAAAAGCGAGGTTAAAAGGTTCAGCTACAAATATTATAACATTTGAAGTTTTGTTAGTTTCACATATCACCGCTTGAGGGCTTTTTTCGAAATTCCGACAGAAATGGTTAATTTTCTCAAAAAAATTAACTGCGTTGGCTCGATTTTTTTTTCATGAAAGGGTAGCTAAATGATGCCTACACAAGCTCGCGAAAACCGCATCTTTGAGGGTATAAAATTTTCTCTGGCCTAAATTTTAGGTTAGGAACAAGATATCGATATGCTGTTTTCGCGAGCTTGTTTAGGCATCATTTAGCTACTTTTTCATGAAAAAAATCATTTAACGCATTTAATTTTTTTGAAAAAATTAACCATTTCTGTCGGAATATCGAAAAAAACCTTCCAGCGGTGATATGTGAAACTAACAAAACTTCAAATATAATATTTGTAGCTGAAGATTAGCTCTTTTTAATTAACCCGAGTTTGTTTAAATCGGCTCAGCCGTCTCGAAGATACAGGGTGTTCTTTATGGAAACCTTTGAATACCCCCCACCACTTCATTTTTAGAGATACAGGAAAAATTGTCAAATAAGAAAGGTTCAGATTATCGTCGACTTCAAAGACCGGACATTTTTTTGTTAGGTTAATATAGCGGAATTCACAGAAACATCACTTTCTTAGATTTCAGATTGCAGTTACGCCCCCTAGCGGCCATTTCAGAAATTTAAAAATATTTTTCAGATTTTTCTCGTGGCCGGCTTTTTTTACCGCACGCCTCTACGGTGGATAGGTTCTCAGATGCAGTACCTCGCATTCTTAGTTGGCCACCCTGTACAACCCAGAGGGTCTAGGTCTCTGGGGGATAAGCGCACTTTAGTAAAAAAAATTCGTAATGGAGCCAAAAAGTGGTGAGGTGAGGCGGGGTTTCCGACCGAACTATGCCTGAACTTCTGCCATGAGTGACAAATGTAAATAAGTGGCAAACGTTAAAATAAATACTCCCGATTGAAATAAATAACAGTATTTGGGGGGGGGGGGTCCTTCATTATTCGCGGGGTTAATCAAGGTCAATTAAATTGATTCGCCGGGATCGGCATTGGCTGCCATTTTATTTTCAATTAAACGGCAATTACATGTGTGTTTATTGTACCGCGAAAATTAAATTAATCGATCCGCAAATTAAATTATCCAAACCGCGAATTAAGTTAATTAGATGAAATTCAGAGAAATCCAAGCCGCTAATTAAATTGATTAATCCGCGAATTAAAGTAATTGATTGTGAATTAAATTAATTAATCCGCGAATCAAGTTAATTTAGCTGAATTGTTAGAAATCAATCCGCGAATTAAAATAATTAAGCCAAATTTCCAGAAATATCAAACTAATCACCCTCGCCCACGAGGGCGACCCCCACAAGTCAATTTAATTGACCTTGATTGACTCCGCGAATAAAAATGTAGTGGGGGGAAAGATTTCCGTTTACTACTTACGGTTATTAATTTCTTCTACTTACAATCACGATTAAATACGTCTCCAACTAAACAAATAGGGCCGACCTCGGGACCGACTGTCCATAATAACCGCGTAACAAATATCACGACCCCAAACCTTCACCAAATCAAAAAGTTCGTTGTATCCCGTTTTTAAAGGATCCACCACTTGCGTCATAAAATAATCTCCTTTTTTATGAATTTGTCACATAAACCGCAAATCACAATGAGACGCGTCCCGCATCCCCACTTACGCCGAGAAAAATGCGTACATCTTCGTATCTTTGTATCATCTCCTGACACTACGTTTTGACACCACCAATACACATATTTCGTCCAGATGGTCCATTTTCCTCTAGGCAGGTGGAATAATTGACGGAATCTTTTGCGACTTCTTCTCACTAATTAAATGATACGAGATTGGGTTATTTAGAATAACCGGTTACATTATTATACAGTAAAATAATAGTGAGGTCCCTCGGGATCGTCCAAACTCGAAATATTGATTCATCCAAACGATTAAAAATGAGTAGGTATATAACATCCTGGGTCTCGGAAAATGAATGGCTGCTTTGATTTGAAGTTGGAAGCGGTTCCCCCAAAAATGTAGGTATTCCGACGGTAAGCGTAAATGTCATTAAAAAGATTTGCGCGCAAATCGACCTGGCAACTCAATACCAATTGCCTGCCGCTCTCTCCGAACAACCAAGTTCTTACTATTTTTCTTTTTGATTGGCCCCATTCTGGGACGCACAACTTTTAATTTTTTCGTCGAATTAGAACCCTTAGCTCCACGTGAAATAGAATCCCGCTGAAACGGATACTTAGTAAGCTTCATAACGACGGATTGTAAACTCGTCCCGTAATTCTAGCTAATGCCGTCATCTCCCACGACTTCTGGTCACCTTAGACTTTCACACGTATTTAAAAAGTCAGTAAATTTTGAATCAAGTAAAATCCTTTAACGTACTCCCGTTACAATATCCCGCAGTATCTAACCCGGACATGATAACAGTGCCGCTTGAAGATGTGGCCATGGTTGTGTCGTTTTCCAGGGAAATATCTTGTATGTAAAGCATGTATAACACAGGGCGCAGTAAGTTTGCTCTCTGAATATCCTTTCGGTCAATTAAGACTTTCCGGTCTATATAAAAATATGTAGTTGACCTCGCTGTGGTCACCATCTAGTAGAGCTTAAAAGTGTCTATAACGAAGTGTTGTTGGTTTAATATCTTTTCAAATACCTAGTGAGAAAAAATAAAAACCGATAAAAAACGAATATGGTTAATTTCGGTTTTTTCGAATATCTTCGGAAGTGATTGTAATTACTGAATATTTGAAACATAATTTTACTAACTCTTCGTACACGCAACTTTTTTTAAAATTTAACCGACTGTGTATTTGTTATGGTTTCCGATTTCCCCATGCTGTTCATTCTCATCGGGGACACACTGTATAAGAACATTTGATCTCGCATTTGGCTCAGCATTTGGTCATTAAGATAGGGAATCCAAATTATAAAAGTAGAAAAGTCCCATAAAGTCTTTGACTCTGAAATGTATCAAAATTGACGCAAAAACAGAAAGTTACCTTTTTGGGGGTGTTTGGTGCATTTTCAAAAATAAACGACGCATTTTGTTCAATATGATCCAGACACTTGAACCAAGGCATTTTTCCTATAGAGGATGGCCGTTGGTAACTCAAAAACGTACGTGATCATGAATGAATTAAGGATAATACAAATACAAATTTGGAGAAGGGGTAAAAACCTATTTGTGATTGTACCTTAGAGGTTTCTTCCGGTTTCTAGACGCGTCGTTATTAGTTCGTTAGCGTCTTCGCATCGATAATGGGCGTCGCTTTTATTGCGCCAATGAAGCTATGCCCTACCTCCATAAATGACTATATTTTTAATATCCAACCATCTGCTTATTATTAGTTTATCTCACGTATCTGAAACTCGTGTCAAGTTTGACCCATTTTCGAATCGTAATTTTGATGGAATTTTGAAAACTAGTTTTCCCTAAAATAATTGTTTCTCTCTCTGTCCGCGATAATATTCTTTTACCCAAAATACTCGTCTTGTTATTCATAACTGGTCGATTTCAACAATCGTCCTTAAACCGTTGCCAATTGCCGGCGAAAATAAATTTAAGAAATTTTAATATAACGAACGATAATAATAATATTTCAGGATTGCATACGCGAGTTTTACGATACGAGCGCGACGCTCCGCTATAACAATTAAATTTTCTAATTGCCGAAAGACTTTCTAATATACACCTACCTATCACTTAGGTACAGTAAACAATAATGTCAAGTGTTAAACTGCTGTGAAATTGGATATGTTAATCAAGGAACGCGTGTGCTAATTACCGTAACGAGTTTTAACCCGTTAGAAAAGAGTGAAATGTTGGTGTTGAAAAAATCTGGACTGCACGGCGACACTTCTGGCTCAATTGGATCGCTAAACTCGATGGGATCATGCCTGGTATGTCTTGTTTATTACATCTATTTGATTGATACACATTTAGACGTGACGTCAAAGGTTTATTAGCGTAAGTAAATTTCAAAAATGTTACCAGAAATAGATTTTGGTCTGGTTCTTCCCATTCATTTCAATGACGTCGATTCTATACGTCATACGAACACCGGCTCTGGGAATTGCACGATACAAAATGATACGTTTTGCGATTATGTATTGAGAATTTTCACATTCTCATCGTTTATATTGTTTTGTTTTGTTAGGAAATTACATCTCTTGGAAACTTTCTCATTAAAATTATTAAACATTGTTTTCTTCATGTTAGAACTTTTCAAGTTTCCTATCGACGATATAAAATCTTTTCGCGACGTAGCGTGTCGACACTCCCGCTAATTAGGGAGAATTTTCAAGGATTTGTCTATCTTTATCGGTTCGTGGGTGCGAAAATTGAATTTTTTTACCAGTGTCGTCCAGCAGTCAGCACGCGTTACGATATAAACGGAACTGCAGAAATTTCTCAGGGTCATACTCGTGTGATTGCGCTACTCGTACTGCAATGTTTGGTGATAAAACGTAAATTGGTATTTTGTACGCGTCACATTAATGTAATTTCCTGGGGTTATTCTAGCACGTTTCCAGAAAGCTTTATATAAAATATATGCCCAATTATTCTTGACAGAACAGCTTCCTAGCTTCAAAAATGGTAAGTGTAAGGAAAAAACGTTTCCCACAATAGTAATCGACTGTCTCAAGATAATTGGGCACCATGTATATAAATTAATTAAGTGATAGTCAAATATAAGATTACGGAACTGGTAGTCGCAATTTTTACCAGAACTCACAAAAGAAATGACTTAGCTTGCTAATGCAGACGCAGTGATACCCCAATAAATCATCCCCTGAAACGGATATCTTTTCTAGGATTCAAAACCATCGCAGTTTATTATCGTTCTGTTCCGAATCCCATCTCTTGGTTATCTCGTACAGAAACAAAATTTAATTTTTTTTATTGATACGTTCTCTCGTAAATATCTTGCGCTAGCGCCACGTTATTGCGACTGCGTTTTTTTACTTTTGTTTGTGTTTATTGCTAATAATTCAGTCAAGCTACGCTGCTGTCGGTTACTACTCGTATTTGAATGGGTAACCACTCGAAAACTTTGCTCCTTAATAAAAAATGCCAACCTTATTCCCAACACTACAATTAACAAGTTAATATGGATTCCTTCGTGAGCATCGAGCAATCGAGTTTGGTCTTTTCTCAAGAGTGCATGAGAAACGATTTTGACATTTTTTGGATAAAAATATTTTGGTGGCCAAAATACACATGGATCACTTCTTGGGTATCGAGCAATCGAGCTTTGCGTTTTTCCCAATAAAATTGATGCATAGGTAACGATTTTGATATATTTTAAATAAAAATATCTTGGGCACCAAAAATGAATATGGATCACGTCTTGGCGATCAAGGAATAAGGTTTAGCTTCGAATAGGCCTTTCCTTTTTTTAAATAGGGCGTTTTTAGCCTGTTTCCAGAAAATAAATGTGGGAATAATGGCACACGCTCCTATAGAAAATGGGGTAAAGTAAGGAATTAGTGCAGATGTCCAGTGGGTTTGTCGCTAAGCGTTTTACGTACCTGAAGAAAATTTTTGATTGCGTCATCTCTAACTTACGTCCACAGAGAATACCAGAGAAATACAAGGATTTAAAATTTTTTTTAATTTGGTCTGTTCACATTGTAGCAAAGTCTTCATTCATGTACCATTTAGTTGGTAACAAGGCAAAACGCAAACGTCGTTCTTTCTTTCTGAGTTAAGTTGAATAATAAAAAAAGATTCAAAAAGATAAAAAAACCATTTAAAAAAGGTTCAAATAATTCAAAAATACAAAGAATTTCAAAAAGTGTTTTGAATTTTTAATAATTTTTTTCAATCTTTTTTGATTCTTTCTGAATCAATTTTGAATTGTTTAGTGTTATATTTTTGAAGAAAGATCTGTTTAGATTAAATGGTTCCATTTAAAGAAATTTTTGTCTGACCCCGTATGACGTCAACACTTCTTATAAAGAAACTTTTGTAATAACCATTTTTCTGTATTTTCTGTAACTAAGAAAATATATAATCATTTTGAATTTCTAAAAATTTTCTAGAAATTATCTAAGCATAATTTTTTGAAGTATCTATAAGAATTTCGAGAAGATTCGAAAAATTTGAACCTGTGAAGGGTAAAGATTCATGTTCAGGATCGGTAAAGAATCTAAAGCACGCCCGAGGAATCTATGAATAACCTCGGAACCTCGCTCGGAACTAAAGAATTTCTAAAGAATAATAGAAACATCTTCGATGAATCAATTTCATAAAGTATACTGGGCCTCCAAACTTAAGTCGGTACTATTACTACTTGGTAATTATAGGAGATACAATATCGGTTTAATTAAATAACAATGATGAAAACAAAAAAAACAATTGACTGTCGCATTTTCAAAAACACGACAAAAACTGACTTTTTCTAATGGAACACGCTGTATACGATATCCTTACTAGGTAGAGAATTACAATACATTGTTAACGAAACTTTTCATACGTCCTATTTCTAAATTCAAAAATAAGGAAGACATTGACAATTTCATCAAGCGTTTTTGTGGGTATTTTTTTAGAATGCGACTGTCAATTGTTTTCACCATTGTAATTAGCGTAAAGAGCACACTAATTCCCTAATTGGAGACCGACCCTGTGTCTCTTATATTAACGAAGTTAGCAATAGTACGGACTTGAGTTTGAAGACCCTGTATTTTTTTGACAAATGCTTGAAAATATCTTGATTTTAGCAATCTTTAAAGAATATGTGAAGAATCTTTCACGGTTCTCTAGATAACGCTTGACGAATGGTTCAAGGATCTCTGCAAAAATTCCCAAATTGCCCTGAAGTCTTGAAGAATTTCAGGAGAACGTTTGGTAACGGTGTATCAGCATCGTAAAAGTAGCCATTGAAGCCAAAAATATTATTCAACAAATTTTAATTCAATCTGTATCATACCCCACAAAAATTGCATTAGGATTTCTAAAAATTCTTTATAAGTTATCCGAGAAGTTATCATTCTTAAAAGATCTGTAAAAAAGAAGAGAACGTCTGAAGAATCTCCAAAAAAATAGATACATAGTTTCTTTGAAGGATTTTTCGGGACGAAGATTTCATAAAGGTCCATGAAGTCTCTCAAGAATTTTGAGGGAAACCTTTGAAGATGCTTCAATATAAAATCAAGTAAAAAAGTTTTCGCCCTAAGACGAGTTAATTTAACGCATTTTCACTTCCCAAATTGCCATAGCCATGTGCACTATGTTCTTTATTAGAAGCCTCTATGGTTAAAATTTCAAAGAAATGTCTCCATAAATAAGAAAGTTGCCATTGCGATATGTTTGTCTTTACTAGAAGCACCTGTGGTTAAAATTTCAAAAAATTATCTCTAAGTAAAGGAGTTGACTTTGTCCAATGGCACATTGGCATCTATGGTTAAAACTTCAAAGAAAATTGCAAAGAACCATCTTTATAAATAAGAAAGTTAGCATTGTGCAGTTTGCACATGCGCACATCTAATTTTTAGCTATGCGATATGTTTGCCTTTACTAGAATAATCTGTGGTTAAAATTTCAAAAAAATATATTAATAAATGCGCACATTAATAGTAAACATTTTTCTTGGCTCTGGGGCCAGAGCTATAAGCTACCGAATTGAAAAAGAACAAACTAAATATATTGAAAACTGTAGAAGTAGTTAAGGCCTCGGACGGACGGAGGGACATACAGTCGGACGGCCAGAGAAGGTGGCTGCTATGTCGCACCAAACTTCGTGGGAAAATGCGCTCAGTCTGTCCATCTGTCCGTCCGTCCTAGGCCTTACTACTGCAGTTTGCAATATATTTCATTTTATGTTTTTGTATTCGGTAGCCTATAGCTCTTGACACCTGAGCCAAGAAAAATTTTAACGATTGATGTACGTACGAGGAGATGTTTCCATAATTTTAACCACAGAGACGCTTCTAGTAAAGGCAAACAGATGTGCGCATCCGATGGTAACTTTCTTATTCATGAAGGCATTTCATTGAATTTTGAACTATAGGCACTTCTAGTAAAAATAAATAAATTGTATACACCGTTTCCAAGATAAGGGTGTCTAGGCTCTCAGAAACCATGAAAGATACGACGATGGTTAAAGACGCGCAATTAAACAGTTATTATCATGTCAGAAAATTCCGATTACTTCCGAAGATATGCCAGAAAACCCGAAATTTACCGATTTCGTTTTTTATTTTTTTCGATGTTATTTGGACAGATACAAAAAAATAAAAAAAACACTATCTCATTGCGCACACACTGTATTCAGCAGCAATTTTTAATATGATCATTGAATAATAAATTATTATTCAATGATATGATATAATGTCACACACACATACACAAAAAGAAAAGTTCCAACTTTTGGTTTCAACAGGATGGTGCACCCACACACAACGCTGTAATCGTGCCAGAATACCTATCGAATAACTTTTTCATTTTCCCGGGGATGGAAATGGTTTTTTAATTGAAATTAAATCTTTAACTATAAATTTTGGTGTTTCTGATTTGATTGGGGTTAGACACCTCTTCTAGTTTTCTACAGCGTGCATGATGAATAATATCTCCGTCCTTGCGTGCACGCTCTTCCGTTTGACTTACTTTAAAGTTACAGCGAACAAAAATTGGCACTCAACCATAATTACAATAACAAAAGGAAATGAAAAGTTGTTTATATTGACAAGAAAATACGTTTCAGATGTTCATTATAGCATAACTCGCTGTCACCGGCATTGTTGCTGCTACCCTTTCCCTCGTTTCTCTTTTCACATCATGTCGCGGCGCGAAACACAATAACTTCGCCATTCAAAGCAAAGATGTGTCACTTTAGCCTACATTTAAGATAACGTTAATAATAGTCACGGCGTTTTAAGACAACAATAAGTCTTTTGGC